CATGTGGTTGTGGAGCAATTGCACGCTGAGTTGAGCGCGTTTTGGTGGGGTGCGCAGGATACTGATATGCGCAGCTTACTGATAGAACACGTTAGCTGCTGCTAAGTGTAGTCAGCGAACACCTTCAATCGAGTTGTAGCTATTTACAGGGATAAGGCGATGGTATATGAAAAAAGGACTGTGTAGTTGGGTAGTTTATTAATTACATGCAATACGCCTACAATCTGTTCCGAAAAGAGAATCCACCTCAAACACCAAACCCTCCCGCACATCCAGACCAACTGAAGACTTAGTTCTGGATAGTGAAGCCCTCGTGCCTGGCCTTAGCAAGGAAATCGCCGAGCTGGGGTCCCATAACAGCGAAGACCTCGAACGCGAGAACGTGACCGATGACGAACATGGCGAACATCATGATAGCGCCAATCTTGACGTACAACTTCAACAGGCGGCGGCGAGCCTCCCAGTTGAAGCTGCGCCACGCATCGAGGAAGCCGATCTTGCCGGATCCACCGAGAAGCTGGCTGGCGACCTTGCCACTGAATGTGCGATCGAAGGGAACAATGGTGTCCTGCTCATCGGGAAGAATAGAGGCCTCGATGCGGACCTGGGTAACAATAGCAGGGATGCAAAGGAAGAGGGTGGTGAAGATAGCGAAGACGACGGTGGCGAGGACGCGGACAGCGAGGCACATCCACTGGCCCTTCGAGTACTGCTCAAGGTTCTGCTGGTCGAGCTTGTGCAGGCTGAGCAGGATCGCGACGCCGCCGGTCAGGTACAGGCTGATGTAGGGCATGGCGGTGGAAATGGCAGCCGCAGGGGCGAGAGCCTTCCAGTGCGACTTGCTGGGGACGCGCTGCCAGAAGGTGGCCTCAGAGGGCATGGAGACGACTTTGTGACTCCATGCGGCGTGGAGGTTGGCGACAGTTGCGCCGGCGAGACCGCTCACAAGTATGGCCTGGCCAGGGAGTCCGCCGGGAAAGAGGGAGAAGAAGAATGCTGTGAAGAAGTGAACGGCGAGGGCGAAGGCCATCGAGTAGAGAGCGTGGATCTTGAAGCCCCGGAAGCGAGCGAATCGGCCGGCGTTCGCGACAACATGCTGGACGGTGGCGCGGATGCTGGAGGTGATGGGCTTCTGGTGAACAAGGGTGATGGTAGGGCCGGTCTCAAGAAGGCCCTCCTTCTCGTCTTTGCTGGCGGGCTCCTCGGAAGGGGAGATGGTGATGGCGGCGTGAGGGGTCTCAATCATGCAGAGGGTAGCGACAACTTCCTTGAGCATGTAGGACAACTGAGTAGCATGGTCAGCGTTCCAGGTGTCCCGGATTTCAGGAGGCGAGGCTGAGGGTACTCACCAGGCTCATGGCGATGATGGCACCGTAGAAGCTGACGCTCAAGAGAGCAATGCCCCATACTGGCATCTCGATCTGCTCATGGTCCTCCCCATTACCAATAGTGCGCTTGACGAAGCCGACGGTGGCAGGGTGTGTGAGGGCGCGGCGGACGGCGCTGGTGATCTCCTCGGCGCCGGCCGTGTACAGTCCGGTGGCCACGTTGAATTCAAGTTTCGAGACTCCCATGATGTCGTGCAGGTGGAAAGAACTTACAAAGGAGAGAGTGTCGAGGGGACGGTTGTCGTCCTTGATGTTGTCTCGACACTGCCTCAGCCTTCGCCGCTCGACGTCAGCACGGGTCCCGGCACGGACGGCAATTGCGCGGCAGCCTAGAATACAGCTCATTCAAGGTTAGCGCGTGCTCTATAATTGGCCATTCTCCAATCATCATGCCGTTAGCGGGCGAACATCAGACACAACATTGTTTCGATGCGGGACCTGGCCCGCGTGGGAATAAGGCATCACGTTCCGGCGCCCACGTCACGCCAAGCTATAAGGCACTCGATTTCTCAAACCACAAAGAAGCACGGCAGCAACATAGTGTATACTTGAATGTTGAGTTATAATTACTGTGCCCGAGACAGTATCTGACAAAGACCAACTCCTGAATGCCTGTGACTTTGTATGTCCTTCATTCACACCGGTGAACCCGCGAATACGGGTGGAAAAGAAGAAGGGAAGGAGGAAAAGTATATCAACGCTAAAGTAGGTGACGAATCAGCTTTTAGAGGAAGATGATGTACAAGCGCTGGATATGTCCAATCTGAACCGTTCGTGATTGTCGTGAGAGACCAAGCATGGGAATCGTCATCCGAAGTCGTCGTTAAGATGTATGTGCGAATGTGCGGGGTGTCGGTGGCCTTCGACTGAGGGTAGGGTGGCCGGGTCTTGCAACATCACAAGCTCTAACTAAGTAGAATAGCAATGTGCGAAAGCAGAGATGCTTACAAAGCGGTCTGGGGAACCAGAGGGGGCTCGCCCTCGTGCTTTGTGGGAATCTCGACAGCGGGCTCGCTCTTGATGTCAGTCTTGGGGGCAGCGGGGAAGTCCTCCTTCTTGACCTCAGCAGAGGGAGAGCGTCCACGGTACTGGTTGATGGTCTCCTGTGCCTTGGTTGTGTACTGCTGTGTGAAACCCTGAACGGTCTGGGAAGCGTTGGCAGCCTGCTTGCTGGCAAGGTCCCTGATCTGGGTAGCCTGCTGGCTGGCAAGGCTTCTGCCCTTCTCGAGCTGGGCGTCGATGACCTCCTTGTTCTGGAGGTAGACGAGCGGGCCAAGGTAGGCGGTGACGGTAGCAATAAGGGCAAGACCCCACATGGGAACGAACTGAGCTTGCTGTTAGTGCTGGGCCGGGCTTCGACAGCGGAGTGCTTACCTTGATGAGGAAGTAGGAGACGAGGGAAGCGAAGAATGCGGCGATGGTAACATAGACATTCTCGGCAAAGACAATGCGCTGAGACTCAATCACGAAGAAGTTGATGAGCTGCTCAACGTCGTCGAGCAGACGCTCGAGCGAAGCCTTGGGGATAGTGTAGTACTGGCGCGGCCTGAACTGCGAAGTAAGGCCTTTGCCAAGAGCAGCCTGTCCAGCAACCTCTGCCGCAGCGGTGATTCCAAGCACAACCCAGGTAAGCTTAATGATGTAGCGGATGACGTTCAGGTAACGGGCGGCGAAGATGAAGACGACAGCGGCGGCGAAGGAGATACCGGTCGCGCGGGGGTTCTTCCAGCTCAAGAGGCGGTAGAACATGCTGTGATAGTCTTTGCGGTATTAGCAGCTATACATCCTCAGTAATCATCTGGCGTCATCACTCACGGGTGAGGTTCTGGCCGGTAGCGGTCTTCTGCTCAGGAATCTGCTTGGAGTTGGCAAGGTCGGCGAACTCATCGCGAGTCTTTGCGCCCTCTGCCTTGGCCTGCTGAGCGACAGGTCCTGCAAAATTAGCTTCGGGTTGCTAGCGAGCAGTTAGGGCATCTGTGTCGCGAGACCACATTAGTATTTGTGCTGGAGCCTAGATAAAACGATTGCTGCACTGACCATACCGTTAAGGACTGTCTCCTTTGCGTTCTGCACGGAAGGGTGGTTCTGGATGGAAGCCATGGTGCTCTGTGCTGCTGTGCAGATGTTAGGAGGAGAAATCAAGGTGGTGTGCGAGGCGCAGATAACGCTGTCAATGGCGTTAGTTTTCAAGGTTCTCGGCTGCGGGCGGAGGCGTTCGGTGTGCCACTCACCTTACACTCCAGGATGCTGTTCTTTGCGTCACCTGCAGTCTGCTGCGTCGAAGCCTGATTTGCGCTTCCGTTCTGGTTTACCATTGGAGATTGGGCGTCTCCCATTCGGTTGGCAGGTTGCATGGTTAGGTCAGCGAGATCAGAGAGATCGGTGTTGCTGAGCTCAACGCGCGGCGCGCCAGACATGATTGCGACTGTTTTGAGGTAAGGTAGGTGAGTGCAGGTGGAATTGGATGATTGCAGCTGTGCGGAAGATGGGTCGCAGGTCAAAGAACAGGGACACGTTTGGTTTTCTAGGGAAGCAGAAACGCTTTGTCCCTTGGGTGCGGTCACTGCGGTGCACACGACACTGTTCCAGCTTCCCGATGAGGCACGTCATAATCGCGTTCACACAAACAAATCATGGCGGGTCCTTGCTGCTCCACAGAATTGATGTCACTACGACGAACATGATGTGCATTCCACCATCGCTTTCGACAGCCTTCCTTGGGGCGTCAAGCCTGGCCGAACCTGCGTGGCTGCCTCCTGTTCCCAAAATGTTGTGCTCTCCCAGGAGATGCTTCTCGCTTGTGGGATTTTGCATGTGAAGCCCCTCTAGACCATCGCCATGACGTACTAGCGCTCGAATACAAAACACAGCGGCACGCGAGCTCATTTGCGCTGGATCAGGGTTCTGGCAGATGCAGACAGGTGAACTCCCATGGGTTTCCTGTCACAGTGTCAAGCGTCGCCGGATCCATGCGCAAATCCTCCTGTGGCTCGCACATAGGTGCCAAATTCGTACGGTACGAATACCTACAACACCACGCTTGCAAGATACACATCTTTGCCCCCCACCAAACGATTGCTGTGATGCATATGTATTTCATGGAGTAAGTACAGGTATTTTCCTGGGATCCGAGTGCTTGATGCACTTGCTCTAGGCTTGATTAAATAGAGCCATCGTGCGCCCAGCGAACCACATTGATCAATCACGACTGTGCGTATCTTGTTAAGGCGTCTATTGATCGAGGAGACTCAACATGCTGTTGATAAGGTCGCTCCCTCACGACTCGCCAGCCTCGCACGTTAGCATGAAATAAGCACGTGCCTGCGTCGCTTTGCAGCCCATCTTGAGATGAGACCAAACGTGACTGTATCAGGCTTGCGAATCTAGTCGCAGCTCCGAGGATGTCTGCGGTGGCGCCGCTGCGTGAGATTGTCGAGCAGCTGGCTAACAGTCGCTTGATGAGTGTAGCGCTCCAGTAACCAGGCTGCCTAGACCGGCCACGAGCCTTGCGCATCATGACTTACCAAAGATCGGCACTGGACAGCGGGGGACTTGAGTGTGGCCTTCCAGCTTCCATGCCTCTGGGTGTGATCAGCAAGGTGGCTCCACCTTCTTTGTGCTGTTTCACAGCGCCTCCTCCAATCTGTTGATTGCTGACGGCTGCTTGAGATGCCAACAGGCTGACAGCTTGTTGAGGTTTTCAATGTAGCCTCCCGGGCGGTAAGCGGCACCGGTGCACAAAGAGCGGGGGACGGAGACAGGCGAGCAAACGTGGGGGCGGCGTCTGCACGTCTAGTCGCCAATGATCCACGGACGCTGTCCGCTCCCGGTAGTCTTTGCAACTAGGTACCTAGTAATAGCAGCACCTTTGTGCCGGAACGTGCTCGTCGAGTACCTGAGCTAGAGTGGCAGATACTACTGGAGGTGCTCCGTACATCTCAAAACAGTGCATGTGTGCTCTTCCCAAGCGACACCTACCTAGCAGCCGTCAGCAATCTGAAAGGGACCATTCGATACCAGACCAGCCAGTGAGCGGTGAGCTGTGTCCTTGCGACGGGCCAAGCAAGTGCCGTTCATGCGAGCACGAGATGGAAAGCGCTATCGTTCCAGCATGCAGGTCTCCGACGTCCCCCCGTGGACTCTGCGTGTCCTGGACGCATCTCAACTGCGACAGCAAAGGCTGCGAGAGTTCGAGTCACCTGCTGTTAACGCGATCACCAGGGTCGTTGCGCTTATCAGTAGTGCCGCTCGGTATTTGTCCCAAGAAGGCCCGGCCGCTTTGGCGACGTTGGCGGCAGCACTCAATAATGCGCGTGTCGATTCAGACTAACACCGCCACATACTCGCTCGACCCGCTGATGACCCTCGTTCTGGGCGGGATGCGATAACGCACATGGCGCGGCTCCTCATCTACTCGTGCTCAGCCTCCCATCCCCGTTCCTCACGTCTCCTCGATCGTGAACTCCAGCGACAGTCTGCTGCTCCTGCCGGCACCCTGCTGCAGCCCGCTGCCGTGCTCCTCGACCGCGCCCAGCACCTCGGTACAGGCGAAGACATGGTCCAAGCATCCAATCCTGCACCTCGAAGATACTCCGCTATCGCCTGGAGTCACTGAACACGCGATACCCAGCAGTGCTCCCTCCCCGGAGGTGGGAGTCTGTGAGGACTACTCAGCAGCATGCTACTCCCGCGCGGCATATACAACGACTCACCACCGGAACGCCGCTCCCGCGCAACCAACAACCCGACCCTCCTCTACAGCTGGTGGTGCACTATCTTCTCGCTTGTTATCATCGGATTCCGGCTATCCGGTCGTCTCATTCGCAATGAACGACTCTTCAGGGAGGACAAGATTATGGCATGGAGCATCATCCCTCTTGTAGCGCGCATGAGCGTGGTGCATGTGGTCCTGATCTGGGGTACCAACAACGTCAATGTCAGCGCTTTGAACGATCCTGTTAGAATTCGACACCGAGAGATCGGCTCGCAGTTGGTGCTTGCAGCGCGAATATTCTACGCCATGTTGTAAGGCACTCGTCCTGCTTTCCAGCGGTTTTTCCTAACGTCCTGCAGCATCTGGATGGCCAAATACACAGTATCCGAATTTCTGAAGCGCCTGACTGAACGATTCTGGAAGAAGGGCTACGAGTGGGGACTGCGCGCTATCCGGCTCTTCCTGGTCGTCACCTTCGTCGCAGTGGTCATTGCAACACTAGCCGAATGTCAGCCTTTCACGCACTACTGGCAGGTCAAGCCAACACCAAAACCACGATGTCGACAAGGCTTCGCGCAACTCATCACCATGGGCGTAGCCGACATCATCACCGACGTCCTCCTCGTCGCCTTTCCCATCCCTATCATCATCCACTCCGGCATGCCCTTGAAGCGCAAGGTCTCCCTTGTGGCGCTTTTCTCTTTGTCGGTTGTTCTCATCGTCATTACAGGAACGCGTGTTCCAATGGTTATCGAAAGACGCGGGCTTCAACAGTTCCGTTCCATGTTCGCATCATCTGAGATCCTTGCTGCGACCATCGTCTCCAATGCCATTGTTCTTGGCTCTTTTCTTCGTGACCGGGGTCTGAAGAAAGCGAAGTTCAAGGCTCCGTCTACCACCGATAGCATGGAGCGGAGGGGTTCGACGCGCACGCACACACTCCCACAATATAGCAGCGACGAAGACCTTGCGCGGTCGCTTGGGTATCGAACAAAGCCCGAATTGGCTGAGAGGAAAAAGAGTGTACCTAGACCCGCACCGATGGCTGATCTGGGTCTACTAGCGCCCACGCAACAGCCTGGACCGTTCGCGAACACCAATTGGCAGTTTCCGGGGAAAGACGATGGATTGCAGACCGCCGGTAACACGACTGGCAACATTCGCGATCCCATGCCGAGTCCACGTGCCAGCAGTGGTAGGCGAGTCTCGTTCTACGATGTTGGTGGTCTACTTGAGAACGGTTCGACTGCTCCATCGCCAACCGACTCCGTTCTTACGCATGACTTTGCTGCGCAACCTCGTAGAGGATCAAGGGCATCCAATACGCTGCTGCCCAACGGTCGCGCCTACCCACCGCCAGCACGTCGGTCGTCACGATTGTCACAACAATCAGAGGACTACGAGATGTGTTCGCAGCGCAACCAACTGCGGGACCCCGGTGGCTTGCTATCAGAGGACCGCGAGATTGAGATGGAGCAGCAAACGCGCGCGTGTCCATCAACACACTCGAGCTCGTCAAACAGTCTCGCCTTTCAGCGTGCGCGCAGCACATCTCTGCATCGCACTTCAACACAAAAAAGCCACAGCGTCCCATCATTGCAAGACGCAGGTGGCCTCGTCACAACCCGCTCATACGCGCCCATTACGCGCATCACCACGCATACCAGCTACGATACACCGTCCCTGCAGGATGCAGGTGGTCTGCTGTCCTCCCCTCCCCGTTCCAAATGATTCTAGCGTGATACCCAGCTCCGGCGCGAGCTTTCGCATATGCATGGCTTGCCTGTCCCATTCCTCATTCTCTTTCCTTCCTGTATTGCACGATATCCCTCTGGTTGGCGTTCATGTTCACGAATCTATGTCGTGTCACGAGTGAAATTTATCTAGGTACAAGGAATATTGTAGGATAGTCACTAAGCGGCTACTATGCTGTGAAGAGCAATATATAGTGCAACGTTCACGATCAATTACATATCGATGATGTTCGAGCAAACACCTTTTTCAGCAAGCACGCGGCTACCATGCCCAAAGCTTGAGTCCCTGCAGTAGCCGTTGAGTGACGCGCAGTAGCTTCAAATAAGGTTTCAGCAGAAGCAAGGATAGTGGAGTCGCTGCATCGGGGAATTGGTTAAAATGATTGAAAATGCACGTGGGTCAATGCGCAGTCGCCAAAGCCTCGAGTCCAACTCGGTTCTAATCATGTCTCTTCATAGCAAAGAAGACGCGTCGTCCGCCTCAGAGCCTGAAGCTTCAGATACACTCGTCGCAGTCGATACACTTGCTGCGACCGCTCTTCATACTCCGCTCGCTGCACTCAATGGAGCGCCAACCCGGAAGGAAATCACCCAGCTAACCCGCCACGAACTAAGCACTGCGCAGAATGACGACTCGATCACAGAATGCGGCCGCGCAGCTTTAGCCCTGCTTCACACGAATCCCGAGCTTGCGGTAAAGCTTGCGTACCAGAAGTTGCACGATGTTCCCTATAAAGAGGTTAAGACCTGCTGGAGGAGGCTGTATACTGATGCGAGTCTGCGGAGGGTATTGGGGGTGACCGAGGAGCATATCAAGGCAGGTGAATGGACGCATACAAGTGGAGGGTGGTTGGATGAGGTGGTCAAGATGCTCGATATGGTGCTGATATTGACCGCGGCGCCGGGGAGGGAAGAGCTTGTAGAGCTGTGGTTCGCGGCGCTGGAAGAGGAGCTGGCCTCTGATGAGCGTGCCAGTGCGATTCATGAACCCCTCGAGCGCCCGGCGAAGAAGATGAAGCTCGGCGACGTCTCGTCAATACCCTCAGCATTTCCGACCGCGCTCATCGAGCTACCGCCTACGTTGCGTCACCCCATCCCTCGAAGCGAGAATCCAAGTCTATTCGCCTTCCAAAAGAAGCTTTCGCAACCAGCAACCCACACCCCGCTTATCATTACAAACTCCATCCAGCACTGGCCCGCGCTCTCAGACCGCCCTTGGAACTCTCCACCATACCTGCTCAAACGCACGCTCGGCGGCCGCCGCCTTGTCCCGATAGAAACAGGCCACTCATACACAGATAGCAGCTGGGGCCAGAAAATCACCTCGTTCAAGGACTTCATGGCAACCTACATGCTCGCCCCGTCCAGCGGGGAGCAAGTAGATGGAGATGCGAAAGCCACAGGGTACCTGGCGCAACACGACCTCTTTGCGCAAATCCCCTCTTTACGGTCCGACATCAGCATTCCGGACTACTGCTACGCCTCCCCTAACCCATATCTACCCATAAACATCGAACCTTCGCAAGTGACGAGGCTAGAGGACCCGCTGTTGAATGCGTGGTTTGGCCCGAGCGGCACGATCTCCCCACTGCATACTGATCCGTACCACAATATCCTGGCGCAGGTCGTGGGGTACAAGTACGTGCGTTGCTATAAGCCGGAGATGACGGAGAGGTTGTATCCGAGGGGAAGGGAGGGGGGCGTTGACATGGGGAACACCAGTGAAGTGGATTTGGATGAAGCTGTAGGTTTGTGGCCGAAGATGCGCACCAACGCACCAAGGAATGGAGAAGATGCAGAGTCTGGGGAGGAGGGGGCAGATGGGGTAGGAGGGGAAGAAGAAGAAGAAGGCATTGATCAGCGGAGAAGGGAGTTTGATAAGAGGTTTCCGGAATTCAGAGACGCGGAGTATATCGAGGGTGTGCTGGGGCCGGGTGAGTGTCTTTATCTGCCGCCTGGGTGGTGGCATTATGTCAGGAGTCTGAGCTCGAGCTTTAGTGTGAGCTTTTGGTTCAACTGAGCCCCCAACACCATATGACCTCACGACCGAGAAACTGGTGGTTTCATGGCCAGAAAACTGACTGCGAGGGTATCGTTCGTATCGGAATGGTAGCATAGAGATGCCACGCCCTATGTAAGTACCGAATCAATCACTCCTGAACCCATACGATGGTTCCCTCTCGATACGGCCGTTCGAAGTCGACACCATCACCTGCTCCACGTCAGCTGCTCTGCCAATCGCTCGTCCAACTGTCTCCCTAACAAGCATCTACGATTCCGAGGTCCTCGGCAAACTAAACTCATAAGCCGGATGGAATATTGGGAATTTTCCTACCTCCATAGTGGAAGAACAGAGTGTTTGTGCCCACAGGATGCCAACAAGAGTAATGGGAACCAACGGTGTGGTATTTTGTTTCCTGGATATCCCGAAAGAGCTTCGCGCGGAAATATATGAGCAGTGAGACAGGTTTCTTGCCACATAAAGATCATCCAATGGGTTCTCACTCTTGCGCTTGACCGCCTTCGACCGATATCCATCAACACGCTTTCGGGTCAAATCAAAGACAGCACGCGAGCTGAGTGGGAGAGGATCTTCCTCGATGAGCGCAAAGGCATCGTCCACGACGTGACTGACCGTGTCGATAAGATCAGTAAGACGCCTCTGCAAGCAATGTAAGTCGATGTCCCATGTTTCCATCACCTTCGCTAACGTCTATCGTCGCGGGGTTAACGGGCCTCTGCCATTAACGCCGAGAGTGGCAACGATGTACTACATAAAAGCTCCTTATAGAGCTCCAGCGGTAGTCCGCATGTGTAGCACATACCATCATAGTTCTTCAGATATTGACATCCCTCTTTCGCCATGTCTTCTACAGCTGACCCAGAGATCATTCTAGTGACAGGTACAACCCACTCTCTTCATAGCCTCCTATCACTCTAACAACCAAGGTGGAAACAATGGCATAGGCTTCGATACAGTTGCTGCTCTGATCGCCACCTCTACCAATTACCACGTAATCATCGGCTCCCGCAACCTAGACAAGGGACGTGCCACACTCGAAAAGATCAGAGCCAGGAATCACCCCGGCACAGTTTCCCTAGTCCAACTAGACGTCACCTCCGACTCCTCCATCACTTCTGCCTTCACTTCCATTTCCCAGTCCTTCGGGCGTCTCGACGTCCTTGTCAACAACGCAGGCATCTGCCCTGAGCCCGCCGCCAATACCTGGCCCACCCGCAAGGAATTGCGCGCCATTTTTGAAACTAACGTCTCGGGACCCACTCTCGTAACTCAAGCCGCCATCCCACTGTTGAAGAAGAGTAAAGACCCGAGGATCATCAACGTCACCTCCAGTCTCGGGAGTATCTCCACGCGCCTCAACCCAGACGACATCATCGCCAGCGCCAACTATCCGGCGTATCGCATGAGCAAGGCGGGAGTGAATATGTTGACAGCGTTCACGCAAACGGTAGGTGGGATGGAGGGTGTTAAGACGTGGAGCTTTTGTCCGGGGTATGTTGTTACGGATCTTGGGGGTGATAGGAAGCTGAAAGAGGGGTTGGGCGTGGATAGTAGTGAGACTAGTGCAAGGGGAATTCTGGAGATTGTGAGGGGAGAGAGGGATGCGGAGGTGGGGAGGTTTGTAGAGAGGGACGGGAAGAGCAGAGGATGGTGAAGTAGTGGTATGTTGTGCTTTTGCTGTCGTTTTAATGATGCTGGCTTTGGTGAGGTGCGAATGCGATGTGCTCCTATGCGTGTGGTAATTGCTCCATGAGAGACAGGTATGGAAGAGCTTCGGACCGAGGTGCGTAAGATACATATTCATCTGCAACAGTGAGGGCCTTTTGCACTCGAAGTGGTATTGTGAGAGCAGTGAAGGAAAAGCATGAGAATTATGGAACCTTATACACTGTGGGGGATTATACTGTGGTTGAACAGAGAATTGAGTGGAGTTCGATAACACAGCCACGTATGGAAAGCTTTGTACTCATATCCTCTCAACCCTGTAGGTGCATCGCTGATTATTGCTGTCTATACTCGCAGAGATCTTATTAACGTCCTTGGTGATGCTGTTACCATCCTCATGAGTTGCGTTATATCCATCTGCAGCAGAAGTGCCAGTGGAGACGCCAGCCTTGCGGCAGCTGTTGAGAGGATCCGTGAAGCCCGGTGAGACACTGATAAGCTTACGTGTGGCAAAATCAAGTTTCGCTTACTGCAGAGAAAGTGCAGCCTCCAACACTGAGCAGAGCTCCATCAGAAGCAGCACCCGTGACAATGCTTCGCAGAGCATCACTGCTGTAGCTACCTCTTCGGTGCCTGCCTTGATCCTGCCCGGTGAGGCGATGAATGTATTGCCCGAGCTGAAGTATCGGTCTTTAGAGTAGACGCTGGATTGCATGTCGTTGTGCATTACGCAGCGGAGGTGGTTTTTACGCTTCCAAAGGCGTGTTTCGGCGGCCTCCACTTCGTCGGTCTACGGAATAGTGGTCAGTATTGATAAAGGGTCATAATTAGATGAGACTCGAACTTCTTGACCATCTTTTTAGCCTTTCTGTTGCGGTGCAGTTCGGTCCTGTAGGCCTTGATCGTCACCTCAGTTGACTACCTTGGACTAGCACGTCTCAGGGCATGTATATATGGTCGCCTCCTAGCTAGCAAGCAACTCAGCGCAGTTTCCATCAACTATACAGCGGCTACGTCTGCCGCAACACTTTCCAACGGCGTAGCAGTCCGGATAACGGCTATTGTTGGTGGCAATGGATAATGTCTCGAATGTGTAAACAAACGCGAAAGTTGGCTACTTGAAATGATACCGACTGACTCTCAGACGGAGGTGAGATAGCATCATTGATCTGATTGGTGGACGATGAACAATCGGGTGTTCAGGCATTTCCTATGTAGTTGAGGGGCTCAATTTCTCGTCAATTTCGACGGCTTTCGCCTGCGCAATGATACGGATCGTCAATTGACCGACTACGGGTTGTGTGGCTGATCTGAATTAACATGTTCGGATGTTCTTAAGAAGAGCAAACAAATCCGGTTTGAGTATACAGAGCGGTTTCTGTCCTGGTAATTAGATCTAAGTATATGGGAATATTCGTAGCTCGGCCAGTGGGAGCTGCCGAGTTAGACAGCGTAGCAGTAATCTTGTAGGGCAGCAAATTGTTCTTTTGCTCCCAAAGATGCAAAGCAGCAACGTACCGTGAAAAGTACTAGAGCTCAGCATCGTATCGTTGCTGAGGCAAGAGAGGGGGCATCGAGGCCTTGAGCGCTCCACGCTAAGAGTTGAGTTAAGAAATGGGTCTTCTAGCGCTTCAGCAGGTCATGAGCGGTGACAGATCAGAATTCGGTCCTGGGTCGGATTCGCGACGCTCCCGTGGCTTCTTCCCGCGTGGTGGCGCTCCGGGGTACGCGTGCGCGCAGGGCTGCTCACCCGAAAGCGGTAGGTCCATACATGCCATGGCCATTGTGTATTCTGCTCGTATCTGAATTAGTAGAGCAGGCTTCCCCTGTCCCTGCTGCGATTATTGTAAGAGTTGGATATTGCTCGACAAGCATGCCTCCAGGTTAAGAGGGGGAGGGTGGCTGGACCCGCCTTACGGTAGCGTGGGGGCTACCGGTACAGTAGGTACCAGTAACGTTGGCTGACCATGCTCAAGCCAACGCTTCCTCTTTCAGCCCATAACTTCAAGATCTTAACCCCATCTGGATACGACAGCCAGCCACGAAACTGATACGGGCGCCGAGGAACCTGGGCTGGCGAAGTCTTCGACGCGTCTCCGTACCACGGAAGCAATTCTTTGAATGAGAAGAAGCAATGCAACCCCTGAATAATGCAGCTCCAGATGTCGATGCGTTCCCAAGGCTGTCTCTCTCTACGTCAAACACCGATGAGCTATTAAGAGACTCGCTCTCGCCGTAGCAAGTGAGCTGCTGCGGCTTGATCCGTCTTTACTGCCGTAGAGCCATGGCCAGCCCTGCTACTGTCCTACGGCCCTTCAGCCGCGCCCGTGCGTGACTGCGGTCGCCCAATCTGCCAGATGCGTACAACGCCATTGTCCGTTGGTCTGTTACTCCACTACCCAATGATGGATCCGGGAGCTCTCTGCCATCTTTAGGATCATGAGTTCACCATTATAAGCCGCATTAGCAGATCCTGTACTGGGTTGACACCAACATGGATCTGCGGGATCTCCGCGAAGACAGCTAATCCAATTCACTAGGCCCATGTTCGGCCATGGCATTAACGATGCCAGATTCTGAGAGACCCTTCTCGCCTACAGACTCGCGTGTGGCCCTGGAGCCCGCAAGCCAGCTCCACACACTGTCAATCGTCCTTCACGTGGCGCTCTCGCTTATGGCTGCTTCGCAGGGCCAGATGGAAGCTGAGCGATGCTGAACCCGCGTACCGAGTCTTGCCTCCTGCATATCGATTACGCGCCAGGGTTCATTTCATCACAAACCTCAGCCTCGAACCAGGTCCGCGGCTAGTCAACCCCAGCGAATTCTATCAGATGAGGGCCCGGAACGAATCGGCGAGGCCTACATACCCCAGGCTCAATCTTCGCTCATATACCTCAAAGTGGACTGAATCTGGCCAATATCCGTATACTTAAGCTGCCTTGTGCCATGTGTAGTTCATGAGCTTAGGTGCCCTCCTCCAGACGTCGTTCGTTCAGTCCATTTGTTGCTGCTTTCCTTCTCAATATACCCGACCTCGTCACCTTCCTCGTTCATCCTTGACTAGGACGCAGCCCAGCATGGCGCCTATTTCGCTTGAATTTGCCTCCGTACCCAACGGCATGTCGAAGGGCCCCGAGGTCGGGGTGGCCGAGCTTGGTCCCATGTCGCCTTGCCTTGATGTATTCGAGAGCTTTACCGTGCCCAAACCCAGCACTATTCGTGAGCAGCCTGACTTGACTGTGACTGCTCGCCCACGCTTCGGCCGTTCTAGCAGTGTTGCCTTCGAAGGCAAAGGAACAGTGCATGACTTCCTTCGCTTTCTAAAGAACGAGCGCTTCCGGCACATGCCTCATGATGGCTCCAGCTGGGACAAGATCCTGAAATGGGCAGATAACATTGGCGGAGTTGTCTTACTCAGCGTTGGAGTTTTGAGCGAGTTCATGCTGAACAGCGAGGAGGCGACACGACTGATCTGCGATAGCTGCACAACCCTTATCCAGGTATGTCATCCAACTGACTTCTTATGTCTTCGATGCTGACATTCGAACTCAGCTTGGATCTGCGCAGATCAAGACTTTGCTGAAGGTCTTCAGCCAGTTTCACAAGATTGCTCTGGCCCTATCTGTATTCCTGCGCCAGAGTCAGCTCATCAAATCGAACCCTGATGTTCGTCGCGAACTTGCCCATGCATTTCAGGACTTCGCGCACCTGACGCCCGATGTACACATTTACTGCGTGGCTCGGTGCAGGGGCGTGTTGCCCGTTGACCACGCCGAACTGGGCGCTTTTATGCTGCATGGCTCAGCATCCTTCTACCACCATTTGGAAGGAGTCTCGATCTCGATGTGGTCGTCTCACAAGCACTGCTCTCACTTCAATGTGCGCGCAATCCGAGACTTCCTGACACCCCAGGATAGTGTTACCAAGACAATTATGTCCAATCAAATATACTCGGAGGCTCGCCGTGCGGAGTACACATGCGAGTGGTTTTCGGCTCCTCTCAGGAAGTTCACAAGAAACGGAAAGAAGGTTCTTCTTGTTACTGGAGCTGCGTCCACCGGCAAGTCCGTTCTTGCTCGATGGATCCACGAGAAGCTGCAAGAATCGATCGACGATGATCCGTTCGATGTGTTGAGCTTCACTGTTGGTAAGATGATTGATCCGTACAGAATGCTAGTTCTAAGTATAGACAGACACGAGCGTCAAGTACACCACAAGTCCACTGGGCCTCATCAAGAGCCTGCTCTTGCAATTGCTAGATCGTAGGATTGGCCGTGAGCACCTGCTGTCTCACATCAATGAAGCTATTGAGCACGCGCAGTCCGGCTGCCCGGCCAGCGAAGTCGAGGCTACTCTCTGGAAGGGCCTCGAGCATGCCCTTGATGACCGCAAGCTATTGATTCTCATCGATGGCTTGGATCAGCTTTGCAGTCCACGCATTGGCAACCCTATCGCGCTCGAGATTCTCGATCGTATCACCAGGTCTAAAAAGAACGTCAAGGCTGTTGTCCTTACCCGGCCAGTATCGGATGCCGCGTTGAAGCACTGCCAGGAACATATTTCCTTAGAAAAAGCTCACAGTGAAGGCTCTACAGACATCAAACATTTCGTTCAAGACTTCATCTACCATCGCGCCGAGTTGCGACATCTCAAAGAGACTGAGCGACATGACATTATCGAAAAGTACGCCGAGGCAGCTCATAACTCATATGTGCATGCCGAGCTGCTCCTCCGCCAGATCGATACCGAGGATACTGCCGCAGATATTTTGAAGGCTTTGAAGCCTTCTAGGACTACCGAGGAGCTTCTTGACCGCCAGATCGGGCGTCTTGACTCGAAGCGCCCTGAGACAAAGCACATCCTCACTTGGCTTGTGGCTGCCGAGCGCCCACTATCTCTGAAGGAGATCAAGGCTCTGCTCGAAGTTGATCTGGATGACTGTGCTTACCGCCCGTATTTCGGAGATGTAGAGAAAACAGTCCGTGAGCTTTGCACCCCACTTGTGACAGTCAGCGATGGACTCGTCTCCATTCGACACTCCAGCATTCGCGAGCGCCTTCTTTCCCACAAGGCATCAAAGTTCGCCATCGATCTCAAGGGTGCTCACCGCGAGCTCACCGTCCGTACCATGGCTTACGTCAAGATCCATCTCCAGCAGAAAGATATCAGCCCTTCGTCCACCCCGGGTGACCCGGCCGACATCCGCAACGTCTTCCTGCAGTACGACCTGTTCGAATATGCGGCGCGCTACTGGACTTCTCATCTCAAGTCCTCGTCCATGTACGACCGGTCAACTGGTAAGATTAGCCCGTCCGCCCAATTCAAGATCGCTTTCTCCAACTCCACGCGCCTCGCACTCATCGAAGGGTCTTGCATTGCCCGACAGTACATTGCTTGCGATGCGGAGAAGCTGCAGCATCTTGCATATGAGGTGCGCAAAACTCTCCTTGGCGAGCACTCTGCCGCTGTTCTGCAAACCTTGATCCTTGAGATATGCATTGGACGAAAGTTCAAGACTACAACTACGCTATGCAAGTATGCGTTCGAGGCCTGGAAGCTGAGCCAAGAAACCTGCTCCGCTGTCACAGTTCAAAGTCTTGCCGAATCCTTCATTGGATACGCAAAGATATTGAAGGTGTCCGAGCATTCCCACATTTGCGCTCACAAGGTTGTGGTCCTCGAGTATCTGGTCAAGGTGTACAGCCACAGCCACGCCGAGCTGAAGCAGATCGAGTACCTGACCATTTTGGCTGAGCTTCACGTTGAATTCGGACACATTCAGAAGGCAGTCGTGATCTACCGACAGCTTTACCGTCTGCGCCTTCACGCCTATGGGCATCTTCACGAGCATTCCTACACTCTCTTCCAGCTTCTCATCTCGTACTTGAAGCAGCTCTCGCTTCATGATGAAATTCTCGAATTGCACCTTGAGTACCACGGTCATGTGGAAAGTCTCCTCACCACCGACGAGCGACGTATCAGCTCCACACTGACTCTGATTGCGATTTACGAGGAGCGCCAGGAGATCTTCAAAGCCGAGCAGGTCCTTGTGCGCTTCTGGAAGAGTGTTTCTGTGTCCAAGTCTACCACTCGCGTCACTGAGCTCAAGGTCGACTTTGCCCTCAAGTACTCCAAGTTCTTGTTCCGCCACTCTCGTAAAGAGGAATCCGAGGTCATTCTCCGTGGTCTCTGGACTGAGATCCAATCCTACAGCTACGTGTCCCGTTTCGAGTCAACAATGATCAAGAAGGTGCAGATCATTGCCAAGTACTTCTCTCGCTTGGAAGTATTCAGTGTGTCGCGCTCAATCTACCAGTCACTGTACGAGCATTACGAGAGCCACGAGCAGCGCACCTCAATTGAGTGCATCACAATAGTCCGCTCTCTCGCTGAGACCATTACAAAGTCTATCTCCTACTCGAAGACTGTTACGAAGTCAGAGACCAGCACGACTACTGCCAGTACTGCGATCGTATCGAGCGAGGAAAAGACTCTGACTGAGATCTTTGAGAGCTGTATTGAGTCAAACGAGATCACGTCAACTACTATTTCGGTCTGCCAAGCTCTCTGTTCGAGCTATATGTACGAGGAGCGCTATGAAGAGGCTTGCGAGATCTACAGCAGGGTCATCTGCAAGGTATGGACCAGCTTTGAGACGACCGTTTCCATCGATGTCACCGAGTTCGTTGAGCTCCTCAGCGAGGAGGTCCTCGAGTTGGCGTTCAGCCTTGCGCACTGCCACTTCAAAATGTTGCGCATCGACTTCGCAGAAACCATCTACCTCAACCTTTTCCGTGCTCTAATCTGCACTCGACATATCGAAAATAAGCACTTCTTGCTTGCCAAGATCAAGCTCGTCCTGGAATTCTTCAAGATTACATACAAGTACGAGCGTGTTATTGAGATCTACCGCGAGCTATTTGTCTACATGCCGATCGCATGGGGCAAAACTCACAGAGAGACTATCTTGGTCTTGATCGAGTTTGCAAGAATCTGCTTTAAGATGTCGATGTACGAAGAGGCTGCAACTGCCTGCTTCTACGTCTACTCGTGCTTTCACATTGCTCACGGGTGTCTCCACTTCGACGGCTTCGAGGCTGCCTTGTTGCTCTCCCAGATCTACGAAATCCAGTGCAAGTGGGAGATTGCCTACGAGGTTTATGGCTACCTATGGCGTACTTTCGTTCGATTTGGCGCCGAGTACGCGCTCGATGTGAAGATCGTCCAGAAGATTTTCACCCGCTACGTGTTCATCCTCGAGCACCACCACCACGTCGAGCACTCCGTCTTCCTCCAGATTGCTCGCGAGTACCACGAGAAGTGCATCGCTTTCTACGGCCACCATCACGAGATCACCATCAAGGCCACCCTGTACTACGCCCACGTCTGCGAGACCAGGGGGGAGCACCGCGAGATTTCGATCGCCCTCTACGAGCAGGTGATCAAGTATTGTAAGGAGACCCTCACAGAGTTCAGCAAGAAGACCCTCCACACATGCAGCACGAGAGTCGCCAAGATGTACGCTTCGGAGACCAAGCACATTACCAAGGCTGTCAGCATCTACAAGGAGCAATACGAGAGCTACAGCAAGACTGAACGTTCATCTAAGGAGACCCTGACAGCGCTCCACAGCCTGATCACGACCTATAAGAAGCAGGAGACCAAGGAGTCCATCTCAATTGCCACAAGTACCCTCAAGAGTAGCACTATGGATATCTTCCAGCACGAGAGCCGTCCGGAAAAGCTGATCGAGTCTGCTCGCAGCATTGCTTCGATCTACAAGGAATGTAAGTTCTCTGAGAATGCCGAGACTCTTATCACCGAGATACGCACCAAGATTGTTGAGGAGATCAGGTCATCAATGACATCGTCGACCACGGTCAAGTCGAACTCCTACGTCTTCCTGGCCACCTTCCAGGAGTCGATCTCGGAATCGTCATCGTTCACTTCCGTGATGTCTGAGCTATGCTCTGAGGTGCTCATGTACACCTCGTACTTCCACTCCACCAAGAAGCATACCGACTACCGCTCGATCATCAAGTCAGGTTCCAGCTTGTACTTCCATCTCTCGGAAAGGAAGAATACTCGTCACGCCGAGTTCATCAGAATCGACAAGGAGCTTACAGAGTACTTCCGCAAATACCTTAACTTCTCTCGCGCTATCCAAGAAACCACGATGCACTACTTCTTCCAACTGTACCTCAAGCATATCAGCCAGGCCCACTACGAGCATGAAGTTGTTCGTCAAGCCACTGAGACCTTTCTCAATTTCACCAAGACTGCCAAGTTTGCTGAAGCATACGACCTTGTCTTGCTGATCGACAAATTCATTCACATCAACGGTGGCTTCAAGTCCGAGTTCTACATTCGCACTGGACTCAGCTTATCAAGGTACCTCGTTGGCATCGGCACCAACAAGTGCGATGACGAGAAGTTGTACGCATCTATGGTCGAGCTCTCCCGCACCATCTTACAAGAGGCTCTGGCCGGCCTGGACGACGTCGAGATCGAGCTTCACGAGTTGCAGCACCTGATGACAGACTTGATCTCTACATTGAGCCAACAGAAGAGGTACCAGGATCTTGAGCGCATCCTACAGCTTCTGTGGAAGACCAAGACCGTCCGCAGCAACCTTTCTTCCAGTCCACTGGTGCTCCACATCGGTCGCAGCCTTGTGCAGACTCTTGCTGCGCTCGGCAAGTACTCCGATGCAATCCATCTTTGTAAGTCGCACTGCCTTCTAGAAATTCAAACGCCGCTAACGAGTCTAGGCTATCACATCCGATACAACCTCGAGTTCATTCGCGGCGCTCTCGACAGGTCTACCCTTGAGTTCACCGTGCTCTTATCCGAGCTCTACACGGCACAAAAGCGCTACCACGATGCACTCGAGCTGCACGAGGACATCATCTGTCGTCTTGGCGAAGGCCAGTCTGCACCGGGTCTCAACGGCGTTGACGTCGCGAACAAGCACACTGAGCTCATGAAGTTCGCCTTCAAGCGCCACGGCAAATCCGACAAGGATGTTCAGCAGTACGAGGAGCTTTTCCGCGCACTGGATGCGGAGTTTGGCAACGAGAAGGCCTGGAAGGATAAGCGTCCCCAGCCTGAGAAGTGGACACCTGGAGTTGAGAAGGAGGAGATGTTTGGTTGCTGGAAGAGGCCTGAGAAGTTTGAGTGGCAGATCGAGGAGAATGAGTCTGCTGGTGAGCGGAAGTGGAGGGAGGAGCTTGTGAAGAGGAGGGTCAGTGGGAACCTTTGGGCGAAGGGCCCTACGGTCGTTGGTCCCTTGAACGCGGAGATTGTGTACTAGGCTGATCAACTGCATCTGCGAGGTTCCATGTTTTACGATCAGTCATGTTTCGGTTTGGCGTATCTGGAGTCTACACCTTGCTCCTAAAAGCTCTCTATATCATATCTATGTCTTGCTCTATTTATCTTTTGAATACTCGATCACGCCGGCTGCTTGAGTTGCTCTTCCCAAGTTTGCAACATAGCCGCTGTGATGTTCTTCCCGCCGCATACAACAATTACGACTTTGCTCTCCTCCGTCAATTCTGGCATAACCTTCCTGAGCCTCCCTCCGTAACACAATGCCAAGCAAACTCCGCACGACGCCTCCACCATAATCCTCTCATCATCCGCAAACCTCACACACCCCTCCATCGCCTCTCTATCGCTCAAAACTACACTCTTGACCCCCTCTTCCTTTGTGTGCTCAAACGCCCTCTCCGCCACCGTCCGCGCCCCCAGCGTCGTCGCAATACTCGTGATCGCCGGCAGCGTACTCAGCCTACCCTCCCTGACGCTCAGATTCAGACTATCCGCGCCATCGGTCTCAACAGCCAGGACCTTCATGCCCCTCGCCCTCTCGCCTGCGTTCTCACGGCCCAGCATGATGCCGCTAAACATGCCCCCACCGCCCACACTGCACACGATCACATCCGGCCTCTGACCTAAGTCGTCTAGGACCTCCGATGTAATCGTCGCATTCCCGTCCCAGATCGCCTGCGCATCGAACGGCGGCACATACACGGGCTTCTCGTCCCTCTCACGCGCAGCGGGGATGACGACACGCTGGAGATGCTCGTCGGCTTCGTACCAGCTCGTGCCCTCCTGGATGACTTCGCTCGCGCCCGCGTCCCGAATCTTGCCGATCATGAACGCAGAGGTGGACAGCGGGACGACGATGGTCGCGGGCGCACCGAGACTGACGGCGGCCACGACGCATGCTAGGCCTGCGTTGCCGCCGGAAGAGGAGTAAAAGTGCACGCTTGAGCGGGCCGAGGGGGGCTGGGCGCGCAGGTGGGTTAATAGGAGGTTTCCGATGCCCCGCGATTTGAAGGAGCCGGAGGGTTGCAGGTTTTCGAGTTTCAAGTAGATCTGACATCCGGCGGATTGCGAAAGGGTTGTGGAGTGGATGAGTGGTGTTCGCCGCCAGGGAGTGGGGAGATGGTCTTGCGGTGGCGACATCGTTGATGGTAAGGGAGAGGGGTGGGAGGTCTTCGATGGGATCTGTGGTGTACTGATTTGAGTATTCAATCTTTATAGCTATAGGTTAGGATATCTGGTCTTAGCTGTAGTGTACTTGTAGGGCGTGATCCATACACTAGCGTGGTGTACGAGGCGGGATGTGGGGTCCGAATAGTTCCCCACGAGAGACCATCTGTCTTTCCATCAGCTTTGCCGTGCATCTTTCATCTCTCCCGTCTTCGAATAAATGCCTGGAGACGAAGTGTACTCTGAATTGTTGCAGCTGCGAGCGATTGATGGGCCGAATGGAAGTCTCCTTGCTGAGATCTTTGGCCCTAACGCGGAGGCGAAGAATGTCTTCCAGAGTCTCGGGTGGGAGGATTATGGCGTCGGTTGTCATCGCATGTGGTTCGGAGGTAGAGTGCCAGAGCCGCGGCGAGAGTAGGGACTGGGGACGAAGGGCATGGACTCTGCATGCGGTCGATTATACGGCTGGCATGCATCAATGGTGCATATCTTATCCTCAAGTATTCTAAACGTTATACTTCATTTCATGCAAACTTCCTATACTGGTAATATTGCAAGAGCATTGAAGACAGCTGGAATCTAATCTCCCATCCTCCACTCAAGTCCAACCAATCCCACAATGTGTACATTGACTCAACCACACCTGCCTCACCTCAACAAATGACTCAATGACCATTTTTCGACTTCCGCCCCGCCGAACTTCCTCGCCCCTCCACCAACACCGCGCAATCACGCGCAACCCCCGTAAAGATGCCACCCTCTATATGTGTTGTCTGCCGCACGAACCGTGCGCTCATCCTGCGCCCAAAAGACCACTCCAAACTGTGCCGCCCGTGCTTCATCACCGTCTTCGAAACTGAAATCCACCACACGATCCTCTCGACCAACCTGTTCCAGCACGGCGAACGCATCGCAATCGGTGCATCAGGGGGAAAGGACAGTACAGTCCTCGCCTCCGTGCTGAAGACGCTGAACGAGCGGTATGACTACGGCTTGGACCTCATACTGCTGAGTATCGATGAGGGGATCAAAGGGTACCGAGATGATAGTCTGGAGACGGTGAAGCGGAACGCGCAGCAGTACGATATGCCGCTTACTATTCTGGGTTATAGCGAGCTGTACGGTTGGACTATGGACCAGGTTGTCGAGCAGGTGGGAAAGAAGGGAAATTGCACGTATTGCGGTGTATTTCGACGACAGGCGCTTGATCGCGGCGCGGCGAAACTGGGCGTGAAGCACGTGGTGACGGGGCACAATGCGGACGATGTCGCGGAGACAGTGCTAATGAACTGTGAGTCCCTCTCTCCACGATTCTCGGCCGGACGTCTGGTTTGAGAAGTGCTAATCTGTGCAGTGCTGCGAGGCGATCTTCCCCGCCTGTCCCGCACGACTTCCATCGTAACCTCCACCCCCTCCCTGACCCCTTCGAATCACACCGAAGCGCAAGTCGCAGACAACACGCACATCAAGCGCTCCAAGCCGCTCAAGTACGCCTACGAAAAGGAAATCGTCCTCTACGCGCACCACAAGCAGCTCGACTACTTCAGCACCGAGTGCATCTACTCGCCCGAGGCGTTCCGCGGCAGCGCTCGCGCCTTGATCAAGAACCTGGAGCGCGTACGCCCAAGCGCCATTCTGGACGTGGTCAGGAGCGGCGAGGATATGGCGCGCTTGGTGCCGGGCAGTGACGAGGGATGTGGCGGCGCGTGCGGGAGTGTTGTTGCGGTGCCAGCCGAAGAGGAGGAGGGCGGATGTGGCAGTGCGGTTGGAAAGAGCATGGCAAGTGTCGAGCGACAACTTGCATCCAACGAGCGCGCCGAGGAGCACAGTCTTGAGACCGAAATCACGCTCCCGAAAGCTTCACCCGCGCCATCCACGACCTCGACCGCACCAGTCAAGGGCCAGAAGAAACCACGCGCTGAGCGCACCGGCGGGCCCCGGAGAAAGGGCCCGGCGAAACAGGTCATGGGCCAGTGTGCAAAGTGCGGATATCTCTCCAGCCAAGCCGTGTGCAAAGCCTGCGTGCTACTCGAGGGGCTGAACAAGAGCCGGCCCAAGACGGGAATTGAGGTCGGCTACGATGTGCAGGACGTCAGTCTGAACAGCGTGAGGGACGAGTTGGAGGCTACAACTCTCTCGGCTCCTGCATCACCGGCCACCGAGGGCTGAGCAGGATCACGAGTACAAATTACGGGTCTGAAAGAAAAGGCAAAGAGCTTGCAATCGGCGGCTCGTACGGTCCTGCAGACGCGAGATAAGGCGTTTGCAAGCACTGCGCAAACTTCATCCTTCGACGCGGACCGATGTAACCATCTTCGCAGATGTATGAGCGCAGCTGCGCGCATTTCTGACCTGCAAAGCGACGGCAAAGAGCGGAGCGACGTCAGCGACAGGATTGAAGTCAGGGAGACGAGTGGCGTCTCGTCGACAGCGCACAATCTCTCTACGCACAGCATATCACATCGTGCCCGGTGGCGCGCGTGGTGTCAACGGCGGTGTCGATCGCACGTGGTCTTGTGACCAGGCCTGGTCACACGGGCACAGCAGGAGCGTCTCGAGGTGGTTTCGCGCGACCCAGCTCATAAGCCAGCGTGCGCTGTGACACCAGGTGCATATGCACGACGTCAGTTGCGGTCTGCGTTGGAATGGTTGTCCTGGCCTGGCTCCTCGGCTGTGACCAGTATCGAAACGGGTCAATGCGGGTGATAGAGACGAGACGAGAGAGCGGAAGCATGAAGTGGCAACATGAAGATGAAGAGGCTCTGTGTAATTGTGATTGTGATTGTGTACCATATGCTGCAAATGCTCAGGCCTACAACAGCGGATCTATCACGACACGCCAAAAACATCCAAATGACAGCCCAATGCCAAAACCAGAAAGAACGCCATGCTATGCCGCTATGCAAGCTGCATCTGCGCCCTAAACGCCGACGAGTAATTGCGAAGTCCAACTCGATTCTTACAGTTGGAACTCGAACCCACCGTCCAGCTTCCACGGCCCCTGGACCTCCACCGAGCCGGTCGCGGCATCGAACGTGCCCGTCGCACCCGCCTTATCCTGCCCAATAACCAGCACCTTTGCAACGGTGATAGACTCGCCCACCGCGCCCTTGTACGCAAAGCTGCCTGAAGCGGTGAACTTGCCGTTCTGAAAACTGAACTCAACCTCGCTGACGTCGCTCTGCTGAATCTTCTCGCCCTCGTCGAGGTACAACCGTCCCCTCGCGCTCCCATCCGTACCAGGAGCGACGAGGATGGAGAAATCCTCTTGCCTCAGCGCCTTTGTAGTGTTCGCCGAGTTCATGCGCATGGGCAGGATGCTGCCGCCGCGGATGTGCACGGGGATATCGCTGGTGGTCAGGTTGGTCTCTGTAACGTTTGTACCAGCGCCCTGCACCTTCTCGAGCGTCCAGTAGTTGTAGAAGACGTCGTTGGGAAGGTAGTACGTGACTGTGTCCGAGAAGTCTGTGGTGACGGGCGAGATCAGCAGCGCGTCGCCGTAGAACCACTGTTCTTGGATACCGAACGTATTTGCGTCCTCAGGGTACAGGAAGAACAGGGGGTTGATTATGGGCGCGCCGGTAGTGGTCTGGTAGTACAGTGCGGTGTATATATAGTCGAGGAGTTTGTAGCGGGTGTCGATTGCCTTCTTTGCGGCGACGGCGACGGACGCCCACTGGTAGAATTCCTGCTGGATAGTGCTCAGCTCAGCGTGGTTGCGATAGAAGGGCTGGAAGGCGCCGAGCATGGCCCAGCGCGCGCACAGGTTCTCGTTTGTGTTGCCGTTGAAGCCGCAAACGTCGGAGCCTACAAGCGGCATCTGGTGCATCGATACGAAAGACAGCATCTGCCGGATCGAAGTGCGGTAGTGCTCCCAGTCAGAGGCGTTGTCGCCGAACCAGTGAGTAGCCTTGCGGCCGGTACCGGCCCAGGTAGAGCGAGTGAGAACGAATGGGCGCACATCTGGACGGCGGGCGGACATAGACTTCTGGGTCGTCAAAGCCATCATGTGACCGTGGAGGTTGTGCGTGTCGTATTGGCGTGTGCCATCGTAGTTGGAGGTATTGAAGGGGATGGTCTGGTCGCTAAGGCCGCCGACGTGGTTGCTGACCGTGTAGGCAGGATTGAACCACTCACGGTCCGCGAAGCCCTTCATCTGACCCATAGCTTGACGAGCCTCAAGATCGCGCTTCGTTGAGGAGTCGGGCTGGAAGGATGAAGGAAAGCCAGGAATGGGACGTCCAGTGTTGGGGCGAGGAGCGAAGGCGGGCTTTGGTGGGATGCCGTCGTCGATCGCCTTCTGGCGGGAGTTGCAGGTCTGCGTGTCGTGGCAGAAACTGGAGGCCTCATTCATGTCAACCCAGATGCCGTCAATGTTAACGCCGGAGTCGGCATCGAAGAAGCTGAGAACCTCGTCAGTCCACCACTTCTGTGTGTTGGGATGGAACCAGTCGGGCCATGCAACAGCACCGGCCCACTGCACACCGAGAATATCAGTGCCATCGGCCGCCTTTAAGAAGACATCGAGATCGTGGCCGCTCTTATATGCTGCAACTTCCTCGAATGCATGAACTCCAGGATCAAGGATAAGCACATAGCGCTGGTCGCGGGAGTGGAGAGTCGACACAAGCTCCTGCATCTTAGTAAGAGGGAAGCGCTCGGGGTCGAGGGTAAAGTCCTGGCGCGCATCCATATAGTCAATGTCAGTCCACATAACCTCAAGCGGAATGCCAGCGGTCGAGTAATTGGCAACGACCTCAGCAACCATGTTGACGTCCCAGTAGCCGTACTTGCACTGGTGGAAGCCGAGCGCCCAATAAGGGTACATTGCAGAGTAGCCAACAACGTCAGCGTACTGCTTGGATACATCAGCGGGGCCGGGACCAGCCAAAAAGTACAGGTCAACGATACCGCCGATGGCGTTGTACTCGAGGTACTGGCTGCCAGCGTCATTTTGGTCAATGTCGATGTTCATCGGAGAAGAATTCAGCATGAAGACACCGTGAGTACCCTTGTCGCCACGGTGATCAAAATAGACCGGATGTGAGCCGTATAGGTTCGCATTGTTGGGAATATTGATCGACTCGGCATTGAGCAAGCTGCGGCGGTAGCCCTTCGTGTGGAAGCGGAAAGAATCGCTGTGCTCTCCAAGGCCGTAAATGTTGGGGTCCTTTGGCAGGTTAGTGCGTAGACGGACATACTGCTTCTCGAAGATCAATGGAGTGCCAGTGGTGTCGAAGATGGTTTCATTGTTGCTGTTGCGAATGACCTTGAATCCAAACGGCTGCGCGGTAATGTCGAATCGAACAGCTGCGCCTGAAGAAGCGGCCTTGCCGTTGGCAGGACGGGGAAGGACATCCTCCTGAACCTGAAACATATTGAGTCCCGCATCGAAGATCTTAACGTGGAGACGGTCGTCTATAATGGAGTCGGCTACTGGCCAAATGTAGATCTACGATATGCAAAGACATACCAGTCTGGTGCTCAACAACCAGCTTCAGCTCCTGGAGATCTTCACTGTATGCATTGCAAGCAGTGCCAGCGAGAGTGAGGTCGGCTGTGAGGCCGGAGTCCGTGACATCGACATTTGTAGCTGTGTAGCCCGGGCACGTGGTGGAGTTTGCAGCTCGAGGAAGAACACGTGAGGTAGAGTCGTGAGGGTAAGGCACAGCACGTGCGAAGCGCGTGCACGCTGCAAGCGCGATGAAGGACTTGACCAACATGGCGCGCTCAGTTTGAGTAGTTGAGTTGGTGCAAGTGCGGTAGAGAGGCGTTCAAGGCGGGGATGCGCACATTATATGCAGGCGAGCGCAAGCTTCGGTGCCGGGCGTTAGTGGACCATAGTCACGATGACCTGGCGGGAATGGGTGTGGGTCCGCGGCGAGCGTTGATCAACACCTTCACTCCATCCCTGATTCTTAGTCTTGTTTCCGCACCGCATGATCCATGTAGTGGGTAGGATCCGGCATGTATAAACAGATGACTTCATCCCTGCCCGTCGGCAAGCAGCAGCGGTTCGCATTGGATGGTGTTGAAGATGCCAGGATGTTGTTCCTGCAGGCTGCAGATGTGTGGGCCCTGTGGGGAATGCTGCCAAGGAGATTGACTTCCGCGTTTCAACAATAGGTACCCGAGGAGGACAAAGGTATGGATGCGCGTCCTCACAGGAAATAACGATGCGTGGTGGCCGGGAGCAGCGGATACAAGGATGCTGAGGTAGTCGAGTTAGACTGCAGCTGCGGTTATACGTTCGTATTGGGCACGAGACTCCCGTCAAACTGTATATCTCAGGGGAAGCCGCGCGCAGCCAGTAGTGACTTTGGACGACTTGCTGCTGTCAAGAAAATCACGACGCCGAGACTGGGATGGAGTATGCTAAATGAATGACGGCATGTCTGAGTAACGGCGCTGTTACTGGCTCCTAACTAGCATCGTGAGCTGCGTCCGTGACGTTGGAGATCAGACGGCGAGGCTCACGCGTTGCGGGGATCAGGTGTTGTGGCTGCGCTAACACAAAGCTTGGCCTCGGCCAAACACGAAATGAACGTCGATCTTCTCAGACGTATCTTACTGGCTGTGGAGCAATCTCCAATTTAACATCCGGCGGTCTCTTGAGCATTCGAACGGCTCCTTTTGACCTCGGCCGATACTTGCAGCGCGTGCGGCGGGTGGAGAAGGCTTATCGAGCTCACAAGACGGATGTCGGTGGATCTGTAGGTTTGTGGAACGATGAGCTGGCAGTGCAGCTCGGCATGCACGTGTGCCTTGTACATACTCTTAGGCCGGTGTTACTGAACCAGTAGATAACAGCGGAAAAGTGGAAGGTGGAAAAGCGGATGCTTGAGCTATGAACTAGAACTAGGCAAAGTCCGAGTCTGACGGCATCGAACGTGTCGAACAGGCGCCGATGTTTCATCGCGACAACCTTTCAGGCGACAAGTGCGACCCTTGCCCGATCGTCAGCAAACCATTCTCCACATCTGTGAGAAAGGTACCACTTGCTTCTTTTCCTGGACTGTATCGCACGTGACGAAGGATTTACCATTTTCAACCCCAATATCTGCCTACATCGCCCTCACAAAACCCTCGGTGTCCACTTCCCACCCCTCCGGCCAAATCTCTCCCTCTCTGCCATCCCATCCACCCGCCATCATTCCCACCGCAAGCAGCAGCCCCGCTGCGCTGGGGAAATACGGCGTAGGCACCCTGGTCCCACCCTCAGGCATACCCAACTCATTGAAAGCATTGTTCACATCCAGTAGCTGCGCAACCGCTCTCTCCGCGTCGCCACTCCTCGCCTCGATAATTGCCAACAATGGAAAGTCCCAGCCATAGCTGAAGGGAAAGTTCCACGTTTCATGCACCTCCGCGACGGTGTTATTAAAAACCGTCTCGTTGAAGCGTGAGTCAGGAGGGAGCCAGCCTCGGATCCCGAGGAGGCCGGGGTGATCTTCCGTGTACTCCGGAGTCGTCCACATGTCCCGAATGCCTTCGTATGTAACGTAGGTATCGTTCTCGATGGGGAAGGGAGCGAGATTGTCGTGCACGTGTGTCCATTTCTCTGGCACGGTCTTGTTCTGCCGAGTCTGCCAGGCTGATGCGACGGCGAGACCGAAGCGCCAGTATGCCAGCTCAAATGTCGGGTTGACGGTTGCGTTCGGCGGCGTATTCTCGGAGACAGGGTACATGGGGGGACCAAGGTCGTAGACCCCTGTGCTGGTGTTGTAGAATGCGTAGCTAGCCATGAAGTCTGCGATAGGGCTAAGAATGTGATCCCACTTCTGCAACGTGGCAGCAGTAGGAAAAGATCGATATTCCATCTCTGCGAAGTACATGGGATGTGGTTGCTGCCAGATCAAAAGGCTGTTGATCTCGCCGGGTGCAGAACGGCCGCTGGGATCGCTCATTTTGCCCAGTCTCGCACCTTCGTAGCCTTGCTTCGCTGCGCGGTCGAAGCTGATTGAGAGGAAGCGGTCATAAACGCCGATGCTGCGGTTGTACAAATCCCACTTCGACCAGAACATCCAGTGGGCGAGGTGCCAGAAGACCATTTCGAGATGGAACTTGCCATACCAGCCGTTATTCACAAGGCCAGACTCTTGAGCGGGGTCTTTTCCAGCACCGTTGACGGCGAGCAGGTACTGTGAGAGTATAACTCGGCGCTGTAACTCGTCGGCTGAAGAGTTGGCTGCTGTAGGGAGAGAGACAAAGGCGCCAGTCGACCAGTAGTCGGCCCACCATGTTGTCGAGCTGTCTAGGGCGTCCTTGAACGAGGCGCAGGTGATATCGCCAGGATTCTGCTGGTACGTGACGGTGAACGACAGCGCTTCGCTTCGGCCAGCAGGCTTCAGGACATACTTGTGCTGTCCCTCGCTAACTCGAGCAAAAGTCGCGTCACCCTCCCAGGCGATGTCCGCAACATACGTGGTTGCATCTAGCGTGTGGGTTATGACTGCTCGGCTCTCTGAGCTTCTGATGCTGGTGCTGTGGTTCGAGGTAGCGTTGAAAAGGCCAACAAAAGGCGCATCGAACTTATTCTTCCCAGTCGCATACGGAAAGTCGAAGACTACGCCCAGATTATTGTCGCCCAACAGCTCGGACGAGATCTTGACAGCGATTGTGTCTGTTTCCGAACTGCCGACTGTTGTGATCTCAACCTTTGAGCCATCAAGCGTGAAGGATGAAGAGATCACTCCTGACCAAAGGTCCAGCGATTGTGCCTTATCGCCCAACGACTGCTCAGTGACATTGCGGTCGCCGAACCACAGGCCAACTCTCCCAAGATTGATTCGATGCGGATTCGTGATCATCCATTGGCTGATGTCTTTCTGCGTCGGATTCGGCTGTTCGTAGTTCACAAGTCGATCGTGGGTCCACCAATCCACCCCAGTATAGTCCTCAGGCAGTGTCTGGTTTGGCGTAGTAGGCAGCGATGAGTTATGCCAGCCCCATGATGAGAGTATGTTGTGTGGGAGGAAGGTCTGGAGACCTGTGATGTCGGCGCCAAATGCAAAATTCCCATTTCCCACCTGGACCGGGCTGTAGGGGTGAGACTGGTTAAGCTTGAGGTTGTACTTTTGAACGATGGATTTGCGATCGATTGCGCCCTCCGTCGTCGATAGTAGGTGCGAAAGAATCAGCAGAATGGAGTTGCAACCATATAGAGTCAACATGGTTGAGATACGAGATGCATGTCGTGGCGAGAGAGAAGTTTTTTTCACGAGTATCTCATGGCTATGTTACCGGGAGATGGTCACTATTGTACCGGTACCGGTAGCACGACTCGTTGTCTGCGGGGTTGTCGATCATCAACTTCACGGAGCCGCCACCGGGGTAATGGGCCCCGAATACAAGGCAACGCTGTAGTCATCTAGAGGCGAGAGATTCTGAAGGACGCTTGTTTGAAATAATTATCCATAAGTGCTCGGTTGTGGGGTGTCGGCGTGATGGTCAGGCAGAGCTACATAGCGTGTCTACATTCGACCGCACTACCGGTAGTGACAGAAGGGCCCGTCTGTTCACTGAAGGACCGCTAAGTCATCTCAAAAGCGATCGCCAATGTGCACATAGCCGCCGTTCCCGACCAAGGTCTGAGTTTTCCAGAACCTTTCGATGAAGCATTAGGATATCACCAAATCTCGGAGGTAGTCGGTCTTTTTTACAAGGCTATTAACGATCTAATACACCACCAGCAGACTACCAATCCTCAAAATCATGGACCACTTCCAGCGGACTTCTGAGTGCCCCTCCTCAAATTGAAGTCGTGCTTTAGGTTGTGGTTTGACGTGATGAGCCGCTCTGGGATCTCGGCGAACACAGGAACTCGATGTCAGGCGCAAACTTTGCCACAGATATCCAGGTATCGAGCGCGAGTGGTGTTGACAGCGATCTTGTCGGCCTCAGTGGAATACCGCAGGCCTTTATTTATGTCTCTGCGACTTTGCGGTTCGCAGCAACTCCAGCTGTAATGCCGATGAGGGCATCGTCGCCTTGAATACTAGCCGTGGTGGCGACGTACTTCGATTATTTGGCATGGATTCCCGCCCCCTTGAGCTTGCGGAAGATCTGCCGAACTTGACCCTTGTAGGGAAAAAGGATTCCAATGTCGCCCAGGGTGATGTGCTCGGGCGTCGGCGAAGATCCATCGTCCTTAGGCATGGACTTCGTCACGGCACCGACGAAGTCCACAACGAAGGGGAATTTCTTGTCATTCACCATGAATGTGATGTTCCCAAACAGTTGGTATTCGCCGTCTGCGTCGATGCTCGTGCTCCACTTCTTGTTCTAGACTTGGCCGAGGTTGTCGAAGAGATGTGCCAAAGTCTTGTGCTTGCCGGTGACTCGTGAGAGTCTTGGTCGACTCATCGTGGAAGAGCTCACCCTGGTAGAGATGCTCATTCGCAAACGTCGTAATATCAGGATGAGAGCGGTAATGTACCTTGAGAATTTGGGTTGGTCACTACTTTCCACCGGACTTGATGAGTTTTCGAAGTGCGAAGTTTCGAGAACATGGAGAGCTTCGTTCTGCTCGGTCGCGATCACGACAGGGCAAGCTGCACACGGTCACTTGTGAGATTGAACGACATCACAGCTTCCTTGAACGGCGCTATTACCATGCAGATGTCGCCTACAGTTGCTTGAGCAGCCTCATCGACCGTCACCACCTGGGCTTTGAAGCTCGTGAGTGCGTCGTTCGATGCGGATGAACAGGCGGGGAAGACGACATCGACCCAGGGCCCGAGGAAGTAAGCATCAAGCTGGGTACCGAGGTCTTTCAGCTCATCTCTAAGGGCTTGCTTGTCTTTGCCGTTGGCCTTGACAAGGTTCTCGCGGGCCTCTAGATACCGCTGAGCATTGTCGCGATGTGGGTGACTGTCTTTGCTGGAAAATTCCTTGACAGCTGCAGCCTACTCGACGTGAAGCAAGTGTGCATGATGGGTAATGTCTTTCGTCGTGTCTAGTTGTTCTAGATCCAACTCCACACACTCGTCCTTGTCATCAGCAGTGGTGCCATCAACCCCGATAGCGCCTTTGCTCGTCTGAGGTGGCCTATTCACTTGCTAGCTGCGAAGTCGGCCGACGAAACGAACAGCCCTCAGATTGGGGTTGATGTTGAGGCAATTGGGCAAAGACTTGTTGGTCGCTCGGTTCGTGGGACAAGCGACGAGGTGCTTGATCTTCAACTCCTCAAGCACCACAATGGCCGCTGAGCAGGTCTTTGTCTTGCCGGTCCCCAGACTAAAGCGTAGGCTTTGGGGACGAACGCTTCAGCCGCCTTTACGTGGTCCTCGTTGAACTAGTGGTCCTTGCGAATGCGCTTCGGTGCGGCGCAGAGGTCGTGCTTCGCAATCCTGTGTTGGAGTACATTCACTTCCTCAAGCGCCGCGGTCGGAGGCGCGCCAAAGAGATCACGACAGAGATCAACACCGTGATCACGAGAGAAGCCTTTTGATGTCCTCTCGATGGCGTTGAGGGCGCGATTGGTTGCGGTGGGGTCGAAAACACTATTATCCACAGCGCCTATACACCCCGAGCAAACGGAATATCACTGGACTGAATCATCAATGTGACGCAGAGAAAGAGTGACGCTGGATACCAGAGGCGAAGGGGAAGTTTTGGAAGAACAGGACAGACGCAAACGACGAACATCGAACATCAAACAAGGCCAGTCCTGGGCACCGCGATCGTACCTCTGAAGCTGGCTTTGGGACTGCTCGTTAGCGAGCGAGTTCTACTTGGAGAACGTTCTGCGTTGATGTGCCTGGATCGTCTTCATTTCGCGCCGCAGTGTCAGGCTGTGGCACTGTGCTATGAGAAACGACATTCATCAATACATACCACTTGAAAGACAAACGTCTGTTATCCTGCCTCTAAACTATAGCCATTCGATAAACTGCGCCTCTGTATTCTCAACGCTCCAGCCCTGGGCGATTGTGCCCTTCTGCGATTGTCGTCGGTCCGGCCTTGCTGTCGAAACGTCCTTTTGTTCAAGGTTGATTTGGTACTGGCGCTGTTGCCGCCAAAGTGCCTCCTCCCAGCCAGGGAGGGTTAAGCAGACGTAGGAGCTTGTCTGGGAGATCGAACCAGGTGGAGTCCTGGTCGTTCATCAGGAGAATAAACTGCTCGATTACTTGAATGCAAGCTACGCGTGCTTCGCGTTCAATGCTCGGAAGGCCGTGCCAAAGGGTGTTGTTCAAGAGAATCGTAGCTTTGAACTCGTCTGCGACGACGAGCGTTGCAATAATGGCACCGAGACGTTCGAGGGACATCAGCTGGGGAATAAACACCTCTTCCACCACCGTCTTCGTCCAATCAACGGCCCACGTGGGGCTAGAAGGCAGCAGACTCGCGTATTCGAGTAGTTCAAGAACCCAGACTTCAACCGTCCGTCGTGTCGCATCAGTTGATTTTACGCATCCTCGCTTATTGGTGTATATCGCCACTCTGGCTTGTCTCTGCGTGCTCTCGTTTCGAGGACATGGACCCAGCTTCAGCTCGACCAAGAACCAGGATGTATCTTCGAAGCAGAAGGGGAGGAGAATACGCTTCTGACGACGTGTCATGTCCGAGAGCGGAAATTCCTCAGGGTCACTGTAGTCAATGTTGCCATTGCGGACAGCTGGCCTGTCTAGAGGCCTGTAAGGGTCGACATGTGTGCATTCTTGTATGTAGATGTGTTTTGCAGATGGGTCTCTGTAGACTCTCAAGAATAGGTTGAACGAGGCGAGGGCGTCCTCGGGAAGATCCGATCCGCTTTGGAAGATCCGTGTAATCAGCAATTGAATCAAGACCTCATTGCGCGGGAATTGTTGGAGTAAATTGTTGATGCGGTCAAGGGTCTCATGTTCCTCGCGCTCGACACGGTCTAGGAAGTGATCTATGTCGCCCATTTGGAAGCTGTCGTCGCGTTAGCATCTGGTATATTGATGCGCTCGTCTTTTCGCCTGCCAAATTCTCGATGCAAACTCATTCGGACGCTTACATATGATGGTGGCGGACTGGCGCCGACTCAGTACTTGGAGGTGAGGCGGGCGTGCTGTCGAGTGGGCGAAGCTTGTTTTAGTCTATCATATCAGCAAGCACGAAGTTGCGTAGAGAGGTCTTGCCGGAATTGAGTAGGCAGTGTCATCTTGACTGGCTGACTCAGGCGCAGCTGCCATGACCTGCTCCGGCCTTGCTGAGCATGTCGCTCCTCCCATGACGAGGTATTCGAGAACCGAATTGAGCGCAACAGCGCAGGCCAAGCTCTTGCCACCCCGAGTAATGTGTGTAAATGTAGCATTGAGACTTCGGGTAAGCAGTGGTCCTCGTCGATGGACGAGGTCCTCGTCGATGGACGAGGGAAAGCGCGGTGTGTAGTGTGTTGAGTGTGGAGTGTGCCTCGTAGTGTACCTCGTAGTGTACCTCGTAGTGTACCTCGTAGTGTACTTTGTAGTGTACTTTGTAGTGTACTTTGTAGTGTACTTTGTAGTGTACTTTGTAGTGTACTTTGTAGTGTACCTCGTAGTGTACCTCGTAGTGTACTTTGTAGTGTGCTTCGTAGTGTGCTTAGTGTAGTGTGCTTAGTGTAGTGTGCTTAGTGTAGTGTGCTTAGTGTAGTGTGCTTAGTGTAGTGTGTAGTGTGATTGGTATCCAAAACGCCAAAGCTCCATGCCGACCGATCCTTGCTATACCCAATTGCTATACCCAACCCACGCACCCATCGCTCACAGATATCAGAAAAAGCCATACGCCCGCCAAACGCCACGGAAGAAAGACAGGAAAGAGCAGGACGCGCCGGGACGCGCCAGAACGTGGCGGGGCGGCGTTTATCTAACCATCGCTATGCGCGCTATGCAAAGAGGCCAGTAAACGACAAAACGCAGAGAGACGAGATGGGTAGTCAGGGACGGAGACAAAAACGAAGAAGAAGACGTGCACCGCCAACTACGCGCCCTCAATCTCCTCGGTCCCCCCGTCGTCCCTCTCACCCGTGATGCGCACGCGCCGCGGGTCCGTGCCCCACAGCTCCCGCAGCACGCGGTGTTTCTGCGTGTCTCGCACGCCCTTGAGGAAGCCGTACGTGCGCTCGACCTCCAGCAGCTGGCCCTCGAGGCCGCCGCTGCTGCTCTGCGCGCGGCGTATCAGGGGGCCGATTAAGTTGCGTCGGGCCTTGTCGAGCTGGTCCTTGACGCTGTTGATGACCTGGATGTGGCTCTTGAGCTCGGATTTGTTGGAGAGCGTGGACGCGCGCACCGACTGCAGGAGCTTGAGGTTCTTTTCGTATTTGGCGATTTTGAGCTTGTTGGTGATGGTGTTGCGCCACATGCGCGCGAGGAACTCGTCTTTGCGGTTCGCGAGGCTGTCTTCTTCGCGCGCGACGGAGCGGTGCAGATTGTGGAATTGCCGGTCGACGCTCTCGAAGAGCTTGAAGAGCACGTCGGCGCGGAGGAGCTCGTTGGCAATGTTCTCCTCGAGGGTGGAGAGGAGGTAGTCGAATGTGCGCTGCAGAGTAGCGCGGGACCGTTGCGCTGTCGTGTGGCCGAGGACGTCGTTGACGATGCGGCCGAGGGACGTGGGCTGGCCGTCTGCTTCGAGCGCGCCGGTGAGGGACAGCGCGCCGTGCACGTTGGAGACGAGGGTGTCGAGCATGGAGCTGCGCGGGGACTGGATCGAGGAGAGCTCGCGGCGGGCCCACTCCATTGTGATCAGGATGCTGCAGTCGTCAGTAGATGCGCGTGGTGGCTGTGAGTCGGAAAAAAAAAAAAAAAAAAAAAAAAGGAAAGAGACAAAAAACGTACGAGTCCATGTCGCCGTCGACGTTGGTGAAGAAGGAGGTGATCTTCTCGGACAGGACCTTCAAGCTGTCGCCCAGATCGTCCAGCTGGTCGATGATGACAGTACTCGCCGACATGTTGGTGGCGCGCACGCTCTCGCCCAGGTCCTGCACGGCGATGCTGGCCTCGGCCAGCTCCCTCGAGCGCGGTATGACGTTCTCGCTCGCGTACATGAGCGGCTCGAACTGCTTGGCCATGTTTGCGACGTTGGCGACGTCCGGGATCAGGGCCGTGTTCCAGGGGTGCAGCAGCACCCAGCTCAGGACGACAGTCGCAATGGTCATGACGACGTTGCGCCGCGTCCGCGTGAACATGCCCATGCCGCTCGCAAAGGTGCTGAGGGTCTCTTCCAGCGGCGCGGTGCGGAACAGCGTCTCTCCGCGGATGGCAAAGCGGACGACTGCCAGCGTTAGTACGGGAACACGCTCGCCGGGCGGCTACGTACAGCCATCCATGGGGCTCGCATCGGCGTCGTGGTGCGACAGGGCCAGGTCGTCGGCGGGCTCCTCGTCGAGGTCGGCCATGGGGCTCTGCAGGCGCGAGGCGATGTTGTCGGTCGCGCGGCGCTGCTGGTCGTCGGGCTCGGGGCTGCCCTGCGGCGTGTTCTTCATGGGCGACTCGGGCAGCGGGATGCGTGAGGGCGTCGTCTCGCGGTCGGAGCGGTAGTACGAGGGCGAGCGGCTCGAGTGCAGCAGCGAGCGGCGGTGCCACTGGTTGTTGCTCTTCTGCCAGGCGGGCGGCGCCCAGGGCCCGTCGCTCTCGTGCTCCGACTCGTCTGCCTCCTGCGGGGGGATGCTCCAGCGGCTGGAGTGCATGGCGCTGCGCGCGCTGTAGCCCGACTGCGAGAGCCGGCTGCGCTCCGGGTCGAAGGCCTCGAGCGAGGCGGTGAGCGAGGGCACGTCGTGGTCGAAGAGGCTGCCGCGCGAGCGCTCCAGCGTGTCCATGGTGTGGTGTGCGGTGGCAGTGAATGCGCCGGCCGCGGTGCTTCAACTTCTATGTATGGCGCGGGTCGGTGCTCTGCACGCGTGTGCGGCGCCCGTGACGTCGCGGGTCGCGTTGGTGTCTGGAGGGATCGCTTTCACTATTGCTGTCGCCGTCGCTGTCGCTGTCGCTATCGCTGTTGTTGTCGTTTGGCGCAAGTGGAAGAGTACGTTCAGGTGTGCTGTGCGCAGCAGCGACAGTGTGGTACCGGCATGGTCGCCCAGCAGAGGGCTCCACAGCGATAGCGATAAGCCTACCCATGTCCCGCTGCCGCCAGAGGGGCCAGCTCAGATGCCAGGGCTGCACTGCTGCGGCGCCGTGAAACGGGGGAGGCTGGGAGGGGCGCGCAGTGATTGGGCCTCGCGGCGCCGTGTGCACAGCGGGGAGGGGCTCGCACCAGGCCGCACCAGGCCGCACCAGTCCGCGGCCACTATCCACCACTGCCTAATGCACCTTGACATGTCGACGTCGGTGCTGCTGCTGCCAGCTGCGACGTCCACCGCCGCCCTCTTTCGCGGTCGCTGCATGCTGTGTCAGCGCGGGGTAGCGCCGTCCCGTCCCTCCACCCGTCCTGGACGCGTCCACCTCCCACAACCTTTGCGCCTGCAGAGAGCGCACTCCACACGGGACTCTGCCCACCCAGGTGCGCCGTGACCGTCTCCACCCCGCTGCCCCGCCAAAGCTCCGTCCAATCCGTGTGCGGGTGGTGGGGCACCTCACCTGGGCTAGCCGCCTGCGCGCTGAGTCATGAGTACTTGGCTAGTTATCTGAGCACCCGCGACGCAAGGCCTGCGAGCACATCATGTGCCTTGCAGCAGGGCCGACCAGATCATGTGCCTTGCCGCGAGGGGCCGCTAGAGAAGCTATGTGAGGGATAATGCGGCATGTGCACATCATGCACCGAAATTCGTGACGTGCTGGAACAAGGGAGTAATTAGACAATCACTCAACGTGCATTTTGCAGTCATTGTGCGTGCAACAGTAGGTGCATTGCTCATAGGGTACACGTGCGACATCGCTTGCCAGTCCCCCCCCGTACATATGCAAATGGGCGTGGCGGCCAGAGCCAAAACAGCGAACAGAAAAAGAAGCACCCATATCGGATGAGCGTCGAAGAATTGTGAGATGGAGCACCGTGTTGAATGGGCTCGCATCAGATCGACTGCATTCTTGCAGTCATCATTCGATGAGACAGGCTTGCCATCATTCGAGAGACAGGCTTGCCGTCGTTCGAGAGACAGGCTTGCCATAATTCGATGAGATAGTCTTGCCGTCAGTCGATGAGACAGGCTTGCCGTCATTCGAGAGACAGGCTTGCCATCATTCGATGAGATAGTCTTGCAGTCATTCGAGAGACAGGCTTGCCGTCATTCGAGAGACAGGCTTGCCGTCAGTCGATGAGACGGTCCGTGCGCGACCTGAGAGGCCGGGCGTGACTGACTTTAGGCTAAACACCTTCTTCAAGGTGCGCAGCTGAATGGCTCAGTGAGTTCTCAGCTAGACGATGGGAAAGCTCGTTTGAATCTGGTAGCAATGGCATGAGATGGCCATGGCGAATGTTGGCGGTCGATGGATGCACTACAAGTAGTACATCGTCTCCATGAGCTGCGGATGGACGTCCTTGCGCCACGTGGTGTTGCTGAAGTCTGTGCTGCCGTCGCCCTTGAGCACGCTGTGTAGGTAGGAGCGGCCACGCTCACACAGCAGGTCGGCATAGTACGCAGGCGGACAGATGCTAACGGAGCGAGTCGCGCGGGCGAACGTGTAGCAGAGACTGTGCGTCAGGCTCTGCAGCTGGTCGGCGCCAAACTTGATGTCGTCCTTGATGACAACGTAGTGCGCTGGCTTGGACGTGCCCTGAAGACCCTGGTGCGCAAGCAGGAAGAAGTCGAAAAGCTTCTCGCCCGTGACACCACGATCGACAACGGTACCGGGCATGGGGTTGCCAGTCTTGCCATCCGTGTCTTGCACAGTCGTTGGGTAGAAGCGCGTGTGGTGGCGTTTTCCCACGACCATGATTGTCATTTTCGGGTGCTTGTCCTTTGTGCCGTACAGCCTGGCAAAGGCCTTCTCAAACGCAGGCAGCTCGTTCTCCAGGACAAGACGGTACTGGCCCTCAGAGACACCGTCACGATAGACGATGACCTTGTCCGGCAGGCTCCGGTTGCGCATCTGCCAGAGCTTGAGGCGTTCAATAATCATCTCTTCGAGTTCGTTAACCATCTCGGTGCGACCCTTCTGCGTGCGCATGCTCGCTGGATACTGCGAGAAGATAGCGTCGACTGAAGCGACTACGCCCGCGATACTTGGAGCAGTTTCTGAACTGCCAGGAGAAGGATGAGTGACGTCGATACCGAAGATGATGGTACGCGGATCCAGAGGCGACATGCTCTTCGCACCGACGGTATGGTTCACACCACCAAGCTTCTGGTTGAACTTCATAGCCACATTGGCAAAGTATTGCATCTGTCCCCTCTCTTTCGAGAACTTCTGGCCAATGTTGCAAATGTTGGGGATGCCGAGCTGACAGTCGCAGACATATTTAATCGCATCGTAGAGCGTGGCGTTGTCGCTCGGGAGCAGTATGAACAGGAAGTTCGGCTTGGCCGTAAACTGCGACTTGAGCGCATCGAAGATTTGCTTCTGAATCTTGGAAAACTCCTTGTTGTTCAAATCGCTGAATGGGACGTTGATGAAGACCGGCTCTTGCACTGGCCCTGGGTTGAGACCATACGTCTGCAATGCAAGCCTGAATGCGTCCAAATGAGTCTGAACAGCACCAAGACCTCCCATGATGGTGTCGCGGTTCCCTGAGTTGATCACAAGAGTACTCCAGTTGCCGAGGGGCTTTGCAACACGGTGGAAAGGCTTGTCCCCAAGCGTTCTCGGATCGAGGTTCCATGCGCCGACCCTTGGTTTAGCAGTCCTCCGCCGGTACAGCAAGTCCGGAGGCGGAAGAATGCGCCCGGGTACGGTAAGAAGCTGAGGATCCACCTTGATGCCAAATTTGCCAAGCGCAACATTGAGCCCATCTGCCATGGGATTGATCTTAGCGACCTGAAGACCAGGCCCGGTGATCGATGCGGCATTTTCGTGGGGCCGACGAGCTGCAAATCTGATCATCTCACTCGTCTGGGGCCCAAGAAGCAGGCGCTTTGCAAATTGTCCTGGCAAGATCGTACAGAGCTCAGCAGGGATCCACTTTGGATCCTCCTTCGTGCCGTAATTGACGACAGGCGCCTGTGCGACAGAAAGAGTGATGTTGTATGTCTTCCGGAAGTATTCTTCAATGGACATCTTGGAACGTTTGCCGTTCTTATCGGTCATGTCGAAAGTAGTGTTGGTACTGTTCTTGTTGAAGGGCGAAAGGTTCGTGATCACGTGCTGCTTACGCTTCGTCTCGCCCTTGACCTTTCGATCAGGGAGGTAGTTCGTCTCAAACTTCAACAACCGTACAAAGGCTGCCAATTTGCGGTACTGGGAGTCGTTGCTTGGTGACTGACCGCCCGTAAATTCCCTCATCACATCTAGGAGTGGACCAGGCTTGTAGAACGCTCCTGTGGCGACGTTGACGTTAACCAACAGTCGGTTGACGCTCGTTCGTACGCTCGTAAAGTAGCCGCGGAGTGCCTGGAGGCCGGAGCCGAGATTTGCAAACTCCATCTGAGGATGATTCCCAAAGGGGTAGAACTTGTTGCCACCAGCTGTGGCAATGCTGCGTTCACTGCTGGGACCGTGTGCCATGAGAACGTTGAGAGCCTGGATGGTCTCGAGCTTCAACGAATAGTTGGATGTAGGTTTGGAGACGTCGTCAAGAAGTTCCTTCAACGACACAGTTCCGATATCAGAGACGAGGGCCTTGTGCGTGTTCCGCTTTCTTGCAGCCTTGGACCTGTCGGTCTCATCAGGCCCGGGGGCAGAAGGTGGCTCGCCATCTTTGGGATACCATTCGAGTGTGTACTCGGCCCTGCTTCCTCCGATTGGAACTTTCTTTGACGACACAAGAATCTGGGCCCAATCGCTCGCGACAGGAAGACCTTTGAACGGGGCCTCTTGCAGCAGGAGCTCTACAAGACGGTGTTTCCTGGCCTTCGGAATTTCATTGTCCGGTTGAAATGAGAGCGCGTACCGGTACAGATCCATGTTGGGGTCAATGCCCTTCAGCTCGAAGTAGTTCGTGTAGAGAACAATGGCCGTGCCTTCTACTCCGTAGCCAGGACGTTCTGGGAGTACAACACCCAGCGACGCTGATGCCATGGCTTTGGACAGATCGGCCTTGACCATCTTGTTCTCGAGCTCAGTGACCTCGGAATTGGGTGCTGGTGCGTTGCCCGTACTGTGGTCGAAATCAGCATGCATTCGATCAGCGTCGTTCGATCTGCACTTACCCAAAGACTTGGGTACCCTCAAAACCACCCCGTCCGCCCCGAAAGCCTCCACCACCACGATCCCCTCGGAAGCCACCTCCTCCACGATCCCCTCGGAAACCACCTCCTCCACGGTCGCCACGGAAGCCTCCGCTGCCACCGCCACGCCCTCGATCACCACCGTCGAACCCTCCTCTTCCTCGACCACCTCCAAAGTTGTTGCCATCACCTCGCCCACGACCACGATCACCACCGTCGAACCCCCCTCTTCCTCGACCACCTCCAAAGTTGTTGCCATCACCTCGCCCACGACCACGATCACCACCTCGTCCCCGTCCACCGCGATCTGCCATATTTGTAGGTGCGTAGTGAGAACTTGAGGAATGTAGTGTGATTGGGAATATGTTTCAAGTTGGCAGTAGATAGTGTCAGCTGTAAGGAATGACCAGCTGTATGTTGCAATTGTGAAAGTAATGCGAGTATGGGTGAGGTGAGACGAAGTGAGAGGCTATCAGGCGGTGTATGTTTGCTGGCTGAAGACGGAAACGCAAGGGTATTGACAAACATGGGCAATTATGACTAAGGAATTGGGAAAGACAGCGCAGTATTGACAATTGTCTGTTCAACAATACTTTGCTTGAGACAGTTGACGCTCGGATCACGTATTGAAAGTCGGAGACATTGAGATCACTCACCCTTTGCTAACAGCCGGTTTCTAACGAGGCGGCACGAACCGCTTGCCTCACAGACGACTCAATGAACCATGCAGGCAGGCCGGAATTTGAGAAGGTAGCGATACGAACACAACTGAAGTAGGCCAGTTCTGAAGGTTGCCGAGATGAGCCTGCGAGCGGGAAGTTGAGCTGACGCCGTGCGCTAGACGCGTGTTCACGATTCGACCGGGGTTCGCGTTTTAGCGGTGGGAGTGGGGTGAGAACAAACGATGGATGCGACCTGTCACTTTGTTGCTGGTTCAAACAGGCCTTTTGACAACAGCCGGTAGATATTGAACAGGATGATGCCTTGTTGCGATTGGTGGCGGACCAACAAGCGTCTGGAGGGAGGTTTGGCCGCTTGGTCGATCTTGAGGGAGCCAGCCGCCGCAGACGAGCAGGCTGCATCATTATGGCATTGGACCAAGGAACTCCTCCATACTCACCGGATATTTACGTATTGTGTGACATCCGATCTTCCGGTACTGCCTCGGCCTGCTGTGCGATTCCTAGCCTAATGCTGGTGAGGGTTCGATGGCTCTGATGACAGCTGGGCGCTTCGCTGTCCACCGCAGTGGCAGCCTCCAGGACAGGGATAGCCAGGAATTTCCAAAGACAAGAGCTCCATAGATGCAGTCCGCTGCGTCTATTATCTTGTTTTGCAAATGTCGTAAGGCTGACAATGATTGTGATGGAAAGCGACCATTGCACGTGACCCAAATTAGCGGCGCGAGTTTCGGAGAACGACCAAATTGACATCTCGTCATTCTAAGAGAGCGTGTACCGACATCACACAACACCGCCGCCATGCCTCCACGACTGAACGTCAGCGCCTTCTCGCGCTCAATTGCCTTCCGACCCAGGCCCCAGCTCCAATGGCCTGCCCGCTCCGCGCTGCGAATGACGCCCTCGCAAAGCCGCTTCTATGCCGACGACGCCCCTTCACAGGACCGATCCCACAAGCCCAGTTCGGAGCCTATTGAGCATGTTTCGGAGGAGGCAGCGAAGACGGCGCAGATCATGGGCGAGCAGGGCCCCGATGTCAACCAGGGCACACCTGTCGAGGACGTGAGAAAGAGCCGTATTAGGAAGCACGGGCACCGGCTGACTACTGCCAGATCGTGAAGGGCGACTTGGAAGCACAGAAGAATCTCCCCAAGGTCATGCAGGATGCGCTCAAGCAGGGCAGTAAGACGCCTGCACCCAAGGGCTCGCGCTCGTACTCCACCATGACGACACGGTCGGAAGAGGGAATGGACATGGGTCTTGTCGACTTCGAGGCTGCCTCCAAGCTGCCAGTGACTCCCGGGCTGAAGTTTGAGGCGCCGACCCTCCCTCTACCCAAGGACGGTCACGTCAAGCACCGGTATGACCCCGTTGTTGATCAAGTCACCAACCTTCTCATGCGACACGGCAAGAAGAGTGTTGCTCAACGTGTACGTCGCTTTCTCCGTGGGTGCTCAAATTGAACAGCGCTGACCAGTGTTCACAGCAAATGGCAGTAACTCTCCAATACCTCCGAACTTCACCAATTCCCACGATCAATCCAGCGCGTCCACTCCTTCCTGGCGCCCCGCCGCCATCACACCTTCCTTTGAACCCCATTCTCTACCTCACACTCGCTATCGACTCTGTCGCCCCGCTCCTTAGAATCAAAGCCATAAAAGGTGCTGCAGGTGGTGGTGCGGCGCTACAGTTGCCAAACCCTCTCAGCCAGAGACAGCGAAGGAGAACAGCTATTCAGTGGATCTTGACCGCTGCCTCGAAGAGGAGAAACGTGGGTAGCGGCAAGAACAGCCTGGGACAGCGTGTTGCGCAGGAGGTGGTCTCAGTCATCGAAGGCAAGAGCGGTGTCTGGGAGAAGCGCAACGCTATTCACAAGCTGGGAGTAGCTGCCCGTGCCAACATTGTTCTGCCCAAGAGGAGATAGAGCTAGTTATGCTGGAGTTCGGAAAATGGAGGCCTACTATTGCACGGTGTATCATATTGTAACAAGCAAGCAAGGAGTCAACGCGCAAAAATGTACTTCTGCATCATCAAGATTAAGTATTTGCAATGCCCACGATAGAATGAATGTTCCTGCATCGTGGTCCTGTCGTGTGCCAAATGCACAATTCATTAATCATAAATCTGGAGAGCTCCACATGCTCAGCCACACCTGACTAGCCGCCCGCAGGCTTCAGTTGGTGTCATCCATGTGACAGCTCCGACTCCGAGTACCTTAAGAGATCATAACTATAGCTTCGTACATGGGCCAGAACGCATCTTCATATTCAAGAAATACTGCTAGGCAGACTCGCTGAACATCATTGAGAACGCGCACGTCAATTGAGTGACTTCTACACCACTCTCAGCTGCGAACGTCATACGCCAAGAAATCAGGCTGGGCAGGAGGGGGTCTGTCTCCATCAAACCAAACCTAGACCTACCGTCGAGACATCGTGTCGCGCTTGCTGTTCCTGAAGTTCCCTTCTTCTTCCGGCTTCTTCTTCTCTCTTCCACATGTCGTCTGCCTCCATCAACTTATTTGGGAATAATCTCTTCTCAGACAGCGGTTAGAGCTTTGGACACGGTTCGGCCCGCCATCAAATCAGCTCAGCTGCAATCTTTGGAATTACTACCTACCCCACCATATTGATCCCAGCCTCAAAGTGAGGGGTGCATGCGCGCTTCAGGCCCTTTTGCGACTGCTCTTTCACGCCTGTGGTGACGCCATTGCGGCATTGCGCCCTTGCCAATTGTGATTGCAAGTCAACAGTGCCACTGTACCCCCACATACACGCCGTGTTTAAGCTCCACCAAGGTCGCGCACGTACACCGCCAGCCAAACAACCACGACACGCAAATCACCGCGGTCAATCGACACATTCGCACCGCATTACCACCATGTCGTCGCTCACGGCTGCCATAGACGAGGAGATGAAGGAGCACAGAGATGCTAGAAAAAACAGTGGAGGGCGTCGCGCTGAAAGCCCTCTGCCTGGAGGCCGACACCTGAGCCCTACGCCCCGCCATCTCAACACAGGCAACGACCGAGTACGCAGTACGAGTCGTAACAGCACTGGCATTCCGTTCGCCATGCCAAAGAGCGCGCCTGCTTCGCCTCGTGGCAGCAGGATGTCAGACGCAGCCCCATACCAATTCAATTCAATCGCCAGCGTGGCACAGCCAAAGCCCCGAGCCATGTCTTCGGTATACGGAACCTCTCCAGGCCTCCTCGGCACAGGCGGTCCCAGAGATCGACACAACTCGATGAGCGGCGCCTACAACAGGTCGAAGTCTGGATCACCAGGGCCCGGTCGCTCTACATCGCCTCGAACACGCGGTCGACCAATGTCTACCTCCGAAGCCATGCGCAAGATGTCCGAGTCAGCCATGACTGACTCGGATGGCGAATACACAGCACCACCAAGAAGGAAGGCTTCAGATCCTGCCGGAGGTACCACATCTGCGCCAGGCGGTGGCGTACGATTGACCACCGATGACGACGGCGACGAGGCCGGTGAAGACAGCGCTGCTGTAGAGAGCGACAATGATTCTGTGTCCAGTTCAGACTGGGACGATGGCTGGACTCCGGGGTCCTCGAGCAACAAGGATAGAGGTCGGAGAAGATCGAGGACTGAGTCTGGCGGCACCGATCGCATGGGAAGAGAAATCGTCACAGCACAGAGCCTTTTCAAGACTGCGAAAGAAGAAGGTAGGTCGCTTGTTACAGCGTTTCCTTTCTACATGCTGATTATACACAGGACGAGATCTCACCGCATCTTTCATGACTCGTGAGGAGAGACAAGAGAAGCTGCGCAAGCTGAATGGCCCGATCATCAACGTCGAAGGCCCCGATGGCGAGAGAGCCATGGTGCGCCGAAAGTCCACGGACGTACACCCACATACCAGCTTCGATCAGGACAACTCTAGGATGCCTTCGCCTATGAGCTCTGACGCTGAAGATCACATGGCTGAGCTCAGATCAGCGCAACAGCTGGCTCTGCAGATCACGCCCATCCAGTCGAGCCCAGAGGCGCATCGATGCGTCCGTCAAATCGTTCGCGGAGACTACAGTCAGTTCGCGCAAGAAGCGGATAACGGCCTAAGGCGGCAGCGTGTATACTTGGTTTCCACAGATCTGAGCGATGAGGCAGCGTATGCTCTTGAATGGACGATTGGCACCGTTCTGCGCGATGGCGATACACTTCTTGCGGTTTACGCTGTAGATGAAGAAGTGGGCGTCACGACGGATGCATTGGGCGCACCTATCGCGCAAGGAACAACCGGTCTACAAGAGGGCGCCCATCTCAAGAGAACGCTATCTGGCCATGACGGCATACCCCAGAAGACTCCCCTGTCTAGCACGATCGCAGCTGCGGAGGCCGATGTCAGCAAGATGGGCAAAGCGGAGAAAGATCGCTACCAGGCGTGTGTGGAGGTGTCTGACAGATGTGTCAAGTTGCTGCGAAAGACTCGACTGCAAGCCAGGGTGGTCGTCGAAGTCTTTCACTGCAAGAGCCCAAAGCACATGATCACGGAAGTTGTAAGTCTCCCGAAACCTTTCTGACACTTCAGCCGGTTACTGACAGCCATTCAACAGATAGACATGCTTGAGCCAACACTTGTCATCCTGGGATCTAGAGGCCGCAACGCCCTCAAAGGGTAAGTAAGCAGCCCCCGCATCGTACGCATAAACTGATTGTGGCAGTGTCCTGCTCGGCTCGTTCAGTAACTACCTCGTTACCAAGTCGTCGGTACCGGTCATGGTCGCCAGGAAACGTCTGCGGAAACACAGCAAATACAAGCGACAAAACCTCAGGATGTCCAACGTCCTCACTGGTCCCGGCGAAAAGCTCGCAAACGCCAAGATAGACTGAGGCGTTTGTATAGAGATTCGTCAGTCTGTTTCGGTGCTCACGGGCAGACATGCCTGATCGAGCACTGTTTCCAGGTTCTGCGAAACTTGCACAATTTGGCAAACACGGCTTTGTATACTTGGCTTAGCAGGGAGTTTGGAAAATCATGTTTGAGCATAATCTCTTCTCGTTCGAGGTCGCGATGTTGTTACCAGGGTGTTGGTCTAAATATACATTGGTCCCCAGAGCCGGATGGGATCTGCCCCAAACGTGCTACGATTCGGATGCCAACGTCCATCTTCCGCTGCTGATACACCCTTCCCCCCTGTTCGGGTGCCTAGCCTTGTTTTCGACCAATGTGTGAGCCAGCATGAAGCCTTTCTAGGCATCTTTTGTAAGTGCACGAGGTCTGGACACCCCCCAAAAGGCCCTCGATGTCTTCTTACTTTAAGAGTACATAAGCCTATGTTAGGTACGTACAGGGCTGCCTAACCACTTAGGAGGCCAGCATAGGGTATAAAGACACTAGGCACCTGAACAGGGGGAGGGTATACTCCGCGACAGCTCTGGGTCGCTCTGGCATTTGGTTGACGCTAACGTTCTTCCCGAGGTCACGTCATTGTTGTTGGCGCGAAATGAAAGGGCAAGTGCAGAACAGATTTGCTTTTCTTTTCTCGAAGTTCTAGCGTACTTCAGCCTTACAAAAGAATCAATCTGTTTCACACCAATTTCTTTTTGCATCGTGACAACGGTAAATCCTCCCGCCCAGAATCCTCCAATCACCCTGAGAGCTGTGGTAGAGACGCCCCGCAATCCGAACGCGGTCCCAAGATCTCGGTTCGCGACCCTCCACATATCACCCTCTCACATCGAACATCCCGCTAGCGTCCTCTTCCCAACGCCTCATGCATACTACATCCCCGCACAGACGCTTTGTGAGAGGCCTGTTTATCGCGGCCCGCAAACATCGATCATGCAGCGCGTCTGGGCACTGCCTGATCGTGAACGGGCCTCGCTTAGGCATTCCAAAGAGCATGGATGATGCACGAATCGTAGCTGCGGGTGCACACGGCGAAGTGCTGGCGATGATGAGGAGGCAGGGGTGCGGGAGAGGGGATCAAAAGGTATGCCTGCCTCGGCGGATAGATCGAGGACATCTACGGGCCGTTGTTGATGCTCTCCCACATGGACTACACCACGACACCGATTCCATACTTACCTCGGCTCGGCCACCTCGCCTTCCTGGAGCTTGAGGACGAGCTGGACATTTCGAGCCTGCAGGCAAAGCTCATTCATTCACCCACACGAGAATATCTGCTCTCAAGACCACGAACATGGGACGTAGCAACAGAAGACGAGATCGATGCGGATACGCTACTGGCGGACCTCGGTCATCTAGCCCCGTCGGTGGCTAAGGACTTCATCTCTAAGGAATATACCGAGGCCAGCTTCGCGTTCCGATTGATCAAGGATGCTGATCTCCATGGCGAGGAAGAGGGATACATAGCTATGAGCTATTGCTGGAAGAAAATGAACCGGGATGCTCCGCGGAAAGTCGTCGAAGACCTGCCATTCGCCTGGACTAGAGAGGTCGAACAATTCCCCTTACCGACTAGTGCCGCTCTATTTCAGGCCGTGCTCAAGGAAAAGAGTGCAGGAGAAGGACTGTGGTTCGACCAAGTCTGCATCAACCAAGATGATGACGCAGAAAGGGCCATCACCATCGCTGCGATTGACGCCATTTACAGAAATGCAAGAGCGGTGGTGGTAGCTTTGGACGACATCGTGGCTACACCAGAAGAAGAACAGTTTCTTCGCTGCTACATAGAGCAGTACAGTTACTCCGACTTGACCATTGACCAACAGCCCAACGTGTGCCAGAATCCCCCTTTCATGCACCGATACCCAGCGTTTATTTCCTTCTTTGAGCGCTTCAGTAATTCAGAATGGTTCGAGCGGGCCTGGTGCGCGCACGAGATGAGACTGGGACAGCAGCATGTTTTCCTTCTGCGCTGTTCGTCCCAGTATGAGGATGAGGTCCGAACGGTCTTACGATTTACAACGTCATTTCTGCTCCATATGCTTGTACTGGCAAGCGAGCTTGCTACGTTCACACCCACGCAACAAGCGAGGATACGAACATTACAGGATGTTCTCGTTGGGCACAGCAATACGCAGACGAAGAAGCACCTTGCTGTCCGACGACCTGATACTCCACAAACACCGTCCATCGAGGCTCCTGCTGCATTCGTACCCACCATCGTCAACACCTTCCAGATGAAAGCCAGTGGCAATCCACGATTACCAGAGTATCTGAGAAGACTAGACGCCAACCGGGACAAAGCATGTATAACTCTCAGCGCTGCTAAGTTCCCGATCAGTTTGGCACCAGCGAACCCTTATCAACGACCAAATATCGAAGACGAGTGTCTCCGATCGCTGCTACTCGTTGGCCTAGCTGCCCGGGATCCTGTATGTCTCTGCACGACCGGTACACCGCTACAATTACACGACGGCTCGATGTCATGGCTCTCGAGACCCACATCACTAGACACACATTCAATACGCTCAGTACCTCGGCGTTTCCCTCGAAGCTCGAACCCAGTACGACAATCGTCCGATGGCAGAGCAGAGTACTGTCAACTCGATCTCATCTTCCTCGACCTCCCCCATCGCTCCAACCCAAACCCTCTATTCCCCTCTCACATCGCGCGTGCACACCTCTTCATAAACCTCTGCATGCAATTCCACATCCCTGGCCCAGGCATGTGGACCTTCTGGCAGTCGCCCGACCACCCACGCTCCGCATCAATGCGCAACGTGTTCATTCAGACGCTGAGCTGCATCTTCGACTGCGGCCCACAATGGCTTCTCGAGCTAAGCAGCGGCGGGCTCTTCCCTCACACATCCCTCGAACCGCACAAAATCGACATGCTACTCAACCCGCACCTCATCATCCAGAACTATGCCCTCCTCCCCGAAGGCCAGGCCGCGCTCTCCGCGCTCTTGTCAGCTATAGGCAGTATCCTGATCTCTGGCATCCCGTGGGCAAGCGGCGCCACAGAGCGTACTCACGGCCCGCTTGTTGTGTCCGCGCCGGCGCCGGCATTCTACTCCGACCCGAGTTTCGGGGGCAAGGCGGTTGTCTTTGCGCCCTTTGCGCATAGTAAGACGCTTCTCATCGCTGTGCCTGATGTGGTCAAGAGCGCGGAATACGAAGGATTGGCCAGGGCGTGGGTGCTCACTAGTATGAATCCGTTCACGGGCAGTCCGAAGCGGGATGTCAGTTGGACGCTGCAGAGTAAGGGGGTTGTGTTTGGGGATGGGAATTTTAACGCTGGACTGGGCAGGAGTGGAGAGACGAGGTATCATCGGGTTCATGGACCGAGTGTGCAGGTTGGTGCTTGAGGTAGATCCAGACGCTATTCTGATATGGAGGCTTTGGTAAGTTCTAGACTATAGATTGAGGTCAAAAAAAGAGTTATAAGGTTGTTACGACAGTAAAGTATACATGATCAAAATGCAGATAATAATCTTTCCTTGCAGACTCTTTCCATCAAACACTTGATTATAGCGGAGATATTCAGTATGAGTTTGAAATTCTTCTACAATCTAAAAAATATTCTGGAGACTACAAGGTCGTAGTAAGGACGCTCAACATCACGCCCGCGTCATCCTTGAGACGTCGGACCTCAACTTCATCGCGTCTCGCCCCTAGGGCTGAGTACCATACACCCTTTGTTTCTTCCACCTGCAAGCTGTCCAAAAACCCTGCATGCCAGTCCAAACCATGTCGCACCCCTGCTCCGGCCGCGAGAACCGGCGCCGATGACAAACGACCTCCCAGGATCCGGGAACCACGCCGCCTGACCCACATCTCAAAGTGTCTGCTCGCAGTTGTTACGTGAATTTGTTTCAGATCCTTCGATGGCTTTGCTTTTTGCTTCTACGGCATGGTGCCGGATTGCCGCTCGTAAGCAGTTCCCTGCTCGAAGAAAGTAGAATTGGGATGGAAGAGCACAGCCGGTTTCAGATGCTTCGATACTGCTAATTTTTGCTTCCGTGTAACGTGAACCTAGAGTTTTGTGGTGATTTTTTTGCTTTTTGTGTGGGGCCATGCGGTGAGGCTCAAGCTGCCATGTTCTCGGGGCGCAGAGAAAGGCGGTTACGAAAGCGAAAGTGAAATCTTAGGAGGTGCCGAGACATCTATCCAATCGCCAATGACGTTGACGGGCTCTGAATATCTCCGTATTCTTTCGAGAAAGCACGTCTTACGGCGGACTGATTATGCTGCCTGGAAGACACGCAGCAAATGATCCAGTGACCATGTCTCGGTGCTATTGTTCCACTACCTTACAGACCGAAAAGACTCAATGCCCCGGAATCTGTTCACATGTAGAGCTGAGGGAGTGCTGTTGTTAAGATAGCGAAGTGTATGTTTCGGAATGCATGATACCACTGTCTTTCTACAGTGCATCCCATCAAAGACACGGACTTCTGTGGCTTTCCTACCGAAAATTGAATAGATTTGGATATTTCATGGTCTGTACATAGTCATCTCACTTTGAGGGGTGAGCATTTTCCTTAGATTTCCACCTTTCCAACGTGCATAGAACCATACAGCTCGATGCAGAAAGCACCCTTACCCTGTCACAAGAATACACTCTTCGAGGCAGCGGCTGAGACTTAGCCTTGAGAAGAAAGCGGTGACTTCGCTTTGCCTCTGTTCGGACATGGTTGCTAGTAGTGGTCGAGTAGACTCAAGTCGCGAGAGCACAGCCTGCCGTCAGTGTTTCGGATCCTTCCAATGCACTGCTTTTCACTTCCACGCAATGATCTTCAGCTGCGCCCACTGTATGATCGCCCTCTGAGAAGAGAGGCTCGCGTTCGTCAAGTAGATCGAGCGTTCCTCGTTGCATGGGAGGAAAGTGGTGCGTGTTTCGCATGCATGCATCCTGATGATTATGCTCCTTGACGGAATTTTACGCCCCATCAATTCACCGTTCGGACTCGGGTGCCACGTGGGTCAGAGAGCTGGGTCCTCAGGACTCAGGAGGGCTACGGTGTCCAGATTGCTTTTCATGTCGGCCCATATGGCGTGTACGGTGCTCCCGCCGATGCCAAGTTCTGCAAGGTCCACAGGGCTGCTCTCGATTCTGCGTCTTGCGGTCCTATTGTTCCCTCATGCTGGTGAGATGCTGTGAAGATTACCATTGGCCCTTGTCAAGTTCGAGGGTCGTCGTCGGGGAGTACAGATCGTGCTTGCTTTTTCACAGTGCATGTCGCTGCAGGCGGAAAACGTGGAAAACGTTAGCGACGGGGATGCTGCAGCCGCGCAATGGCCCTACAGGCGGTGGAACGCAATGGGCACCTGAAGTCGTTCGATACTTGCATTTTCGATATTCGTGCAATCTACTTCCCAACGTGCAAATCGCAGCCGCAAGTCGCCGCACAGACCTGGCCGTACCGACGATGCAGACCACGCTCGCCACACTCGCTCCGTCTACGAGCTCTCCGCCCCCAACTTGGCCAGATCCTTTGTGACAAACTCTGTCGCGCTGTACAGCGCCGTACTACCATATACGATCCTCCTCTTCTGGCTCGGCCCCTGTGTCCCAGCACTCGTCCGCTTCGCCCACTCCTGCAAATTGCCATACTCATCCATACTCCCACCACCGACCGTGAATACAATGGCCTCGCTGAATCCTTGTCTGCGCTGCCCAAACGTCGCTTCGATCCCGCGGCCAACAGTATTTTGCTGGTTGCGGGCCGCGCTCGCAGGAGGCAGCGTGCCGCGCGCATTAGCCGAGCGCGGGTCGAAGTAGAGGTACGACTCTGTCTTGCTGATTGCCGAGCTCGAGGCGTTCTGCGGGTCCATGAGCGACTCGGTGATCTTGGTGAGCGTGAGATCGGTGTTGGTGGGGAGGAAGTTCTTGATTCCTGAGAGCACGCCTTCGAAGTTTGCGCCCAGTCCGGCTTCCTTGAACTTGTCGGTCACGCGCGACGAGAGTGACGAGAAACCACCGAAGAGGTGCGAGGTGCTTTGTGCGGGCTGTGCGGGCGTAGATGTGATCATTGTCATGCGGGTCAGTTGGCGCACGGATTTGACGTATTTAACGGGTGTGATGTCGGCGCCGGCAGCTTCGAGGGCAGATGTGAAAGAATCGAAGTCGCCGCGCGATAGTTCGGTTTCGGTGGTGAGGTACCATTGCAGGAATAGCCGGAGCTTGTCCAGCGGATCGTTGCCCTTGTCGCTGTCCTTGATGACCTCGAGGATTTGTGCTTTCGTCTGCTTTGCTAGCTCTTCCTCGAGCTGGAAGTAAAAGTCCATCTTTCGATTCTTGATGCCCTCCATGACCGCCTCAAGAATGTTCATGTGCATCTCGATGGTAGCCTTCCTGTCGCGCAACTCTGGCAGTAGAGCCATGGCGCCCTTCAAGTGCGCTGCGAACTGATTCGTCTCTCCATTAAGATCGTCTAGAGAGTTGGCGCCGGTCTTCTTTGTGACGTTGTCCGCGTCTTGCTGGTATTTGTTCCATTCGTTTGTGACATCTTCAGCGACGTTAGGGAACGGCAGCGACGCGTTCCTGGCCCAGAAATAGTCAGAGGCAGTTAGGTCGTGCGACTGTTTCTTGGTTCCCTTCTCGGGGTGGTCCTTATCTACGGGAACGGAGATGCTGATCTTGTTAAGGTGGAAGTCAAGCACGTCGTAAACCAAACTTTGGTACTGTAACAGCGTCAGCTCTTGCATCTATCGCTGGTATTAGTTGACTTACGATCCACGAGTGGCTGAACATGGGCACCAGGTCTACGTTTCGGTCGACTGTTGCTTCATTAGCTTTGGGTATTCGTATTTACAGCCTCAAACCTACCAATGACCATCACCGGCCGCGAAGAGACCGCCGAGGATTTGTTGTCTGAGAAGAGATTGGTTTTCGAGTTCAGAATGTGATCTCGCAGCTTTCGATCTAGCTTCGCACAGATGTCCTCGGCCGCACCGCCTTTGGGACAGCGGATGATGGGCACGACTCCCATTGTAACGACAACCGAGAAGAGTCCAGAAACAATCCTGTCTACAACGCTATCCAGCTCCTGATCTGATGTCTGACCACTGTTCAGGGTGTGGTAAGCTCCCTTCATGTTCAAGTGGAACAGGTCTGGCTCTGAGACGACAAAGTTCAGGTATTGGTCGTAGACCTGCGCTAGGTGCTCCGCTGTGTTTGTCTGGACCACTTGGGCGCCGAAGTCTTCCAGGAGGGGTCGAGGTATGCTGGAGAGGAAGTTGAGGTATGCGGGGCTGTAGAGGCCGCGAGAGAGGTCGGAGGTAATGGTTTGGAGGTTCTGTGCGGTCGGCTCGACGAGGTATATGACTGGGACCTTTACATGGTCAGCATGCTGCGGCGTGGTAGAGGTTTTGCACATACATCAGGGATCATGTGGCGCGTGGTTCCAATGTTCAGATGTATTGTGACCTAGTATGGTGCTCAGCATGGCTCTCCGCCGCTCCACTGGATGTGCCCATACCCCAGAAGCCCTCAGATCGTTCACTCGCAGAACTGAGCTTATGACGTCTCTCCCCATCTCGTCAAAGACCAACACCTTCCATATCGCACCGCCTGTAGCTGTCTCAGGGACCTCGTTCGCATCGTTCTGGGCTTCTACGTCGGTGATGGGCGCGTTGAGATTGAGGATTCGCTTTATGCTAGCTGGGAGGTGGCGTGTCAGCTTTGATGCGCGCATGTAGCTGTATCTCTTACCTATTTGCTTGTCCCGCAGTGTGACGGCCATTGTGACGTTGTCTCTAGCTGTGCACCACCGTTATGCGCACTATCTGATGCGCCGAGGGTGAAAGCGTATGCCAGAAATTCGCGCTGTGAGGCGGCCGGTACTGCTGCAGCGAAAAGACACAGTCGCTTGTCTGCCTGTTGGACACCTTCACCATGCCCGGTGATGCTGCGACCGCGGACTTGTCCCGTCGTGGCCTAGCGCAGTTTGGCCTTGGCGCGTGCCCGCCTGCGTAAAACGTCGACTTGCCCCTGCGCGACCGCCCTCTCTCCTCAATCCCCCCCCGTCATCCCCCAACACACCCACTTCTTCCATTTGAACACTCATGCAACTTCTCAGTGAACTTCCGCCCATTTAATAAGGGCTTCTGATCTGAGCTAGATTCACTTTTCGAGTCCCCGCTTTGGAGGAAGGGTGCACTGAGATTGGCAACGGCGTTTGCAGGAGGGTTCGCGGTAGAAGGCAGAGTGACATCAGCCTGGCATCTGCTACTAATACAGCTCCTTGGACGATCCATCGAGTGTCGCATCAGGAAAGTTAAGCCTGGCTCAGGCGCAAGGCAAAGCAGTTCTTCGAGCGCAGCAAGCGGCGAATCTGTGAGCAAAACGCAGCGCGTGTGTTGTGCAATTGCGTGCGCAAACGTACGTCAAGTGACAGCCTCCGCAGTGTCCCTTTCGCAATAATACGCGAGGCTAAGTGTCGTCCTGATAAGCCAAAAGCATCACGTTCGTGGACTTGAGGGATCACAGCATCGCGGGCGGCGGGACACGAGCGCTGCGCATCTGAACCAGCATCCTTCTCGCTGTCGCAGCCTGCGCAGAGAGGCCCCGAGGCGCCTTGAACACTGCAGACCTCTCGACTCAGCACGACACCCACTACAACCCAATCCGGCTGTATTACCGGCCATTCCAGAATTTCGAATTCCCTGAAACGGCGGCCTTGTTCACTCTTCGTGACTCGCGCCATACCTGTTTGTGCCTAGTGCACCGCATAAGTCTTTTTTGGCCCGACTGAGGCTTGAGGGTTCAGGCACTTTTCAGCCAATCAAAACCGTCCAGCTGAGAGTTCGTTCAAGTCGATCGCTCAACCATGGCTTCCAATCACGTGCCCAGTGACCAAGTCCCGCTGCAGGGTCAGAGCATCTATACGGACCCTTCGTCCTTCAGCTTCTTCCCCAATAATATCGAGCGCTATGGTACCCCATCTTGGGAAGCACAGCTGCACCAGAACACCGCCTTGACACCGAACTCATCGAACCAGAACTGGCACGGTACATACCCCCAACAGGTCTTCAACACACACAGCCAGACATACGCAGGCCAAACGCAAGCCTTCCGAACAGCATCGCCCTACCAGTACGGCCAGTTCACCCAACATGGAACGGCAGGCTCCTTCGGTCATGCTGGTGCAGTCGATCCATCACTAGGCCTCAACCCGAGCGGCCTCCGTCAACAGCAACAGTCTCCCTACCCGGTGCCAGTACGAACCGCAACACCTTCCAGCCAGTCTGGAACAGTGGCCCCACAAGCACTACAACAACTTCAGAACGCACGTGCTTCCGCGTCCCCCTTCCAGGTAAACTCACAGATGTCACATTCTGCAGATGATCAGAGTCTTACTGAAACACAGGTACCCAAAAGCACCACCGAACAATTCACGCAACAAGCGATACAAGCAGCACCCGCTAAACCAGTTCGCAATCCGGCGTACGAGATCCCCAGAGGCAAGAAGTCGGGTGGATTTTATGTTCTTGACACAGCTGTGTTGGCGAAAGCCACCAACTCAACGCCGCTGAATAAACTCGTGACTCTCGCTGTAGAACCGATCGCCTTGTCATCCAACAGAAGTAAGCAAATACCATGCAAATACAAACTTGAGCCGCCTAACATGTGTGTAGCTGCACTGCCTTTGTACACCGCCCGCCAATCCATCAAGGAACTTAAGAAGATCGGAGCCGACAACAAGAAGCTTCTTGCTAAGCTATCCTCGTCTAAGTCTTCGCTCTCAAGAGCAATCAAATTCAGCAGCAAGAACAATGCTGGCAGCCCTGGCAGCCTGAAGCGCGAAGTCAGCGACAGCTCAGATTACACAGATTCTTCGGAAGACGACAGCGAATACAGTGACTCTGAAGACGAAGAAGTGTCACCGCTTCCTGCGTCGAGACCTGACGATGATCCTCACAAGGCTGTTTGTTACGATGTCATCAAGGCATCGTGGTTCTCGCCTAGGTCTCCCATGAATTCAGAAAAAATCAAGTTCAGCATGCGCGACCTTTGGGAAGTGCTGAACACGATTCAAAAGCGTTGGCGGGCTGACAGCAAGGCGGTCGCCGAGGCGGAGGAAGCGAAGAAGATTGGTGAGCTACCCACTTTGAAGAGCCGTGTCACAAGTCAGCGAGACTTGCTGCAGACTGCCCTCAAGGCCGCACTTGAACATGCACATCCCGATGTTCTGTACCATTTGGGTCAAGTGAAACCATTCTTGTATCTCTGTTATCAATTTCTGGCGAACCGCTTCAAGGCTAAGGATTTTGATGGGCCACTACCTTCGGCTATCTATGAGATTCTGGCCAAATGTGGTACTCTCACCACTGAGCTGGTCGAGGAGACCAAGGTGTCCAAAGCATTGGTTTCCATGAAGAAACAAGCAAATGACAAGAACAAAGCCTTTATTCAACAGATTGTTGATGCCGCAGCTGCGGGGTCCAAGAAGGCCAAAGCAAATTCTCCACCTGCAGCAGAGACAACAGAGGCCAAGGGCGCAAAGCGACCTGCATCTGAGCCTGCTGTTCGCACTGCAGGTGAAGGGCTCAAGAAAGTCAAGCCAGCTGAAGCATCTACTGTCACCGTCAAAAAAGAAGCCGCCGTTGGAGTGCCAAAACCTACAGCGGCGGCTGCAATTGCTGCTGCATCGAAACGACCGGGCGAGAAGTCCATAGGTGCACCGGCTCCTGTTCGGGCCCGTGTGAATCCGGTCACGAACAAATCGTCGAGTATATTCGCATCTCTCAATGCAGCCACCAAGAAGCCGGCAGCAACTGCTACGGCCCCGATGGCTACAAAGTCGACTGTGCAGCCCAAGACTGCTGCAGCGGCAGCTAAAGATAAGAAGCCTGCTACAGCGGCCGCCAAATCGGCAGCCTTCTCCTTTGCATCGACCATGGCGGCGCTCACCAAACCTAAGGAGGCGGAGACTGCGCCAACCAGGACCGAGAAAGACGTGCCAAACGAGACGCCCGAGGAGAAAGCGAAGCGAATGCGCAAGGAAGCCCGGCGCCATCTGCGCGTTACCTTCCGTCCAGATGCTTCTCTGGTAGCGATCAAGTACTTCAGTCATGACCCCGAAGAGGAGCTTGGGCACGACGAAAACTTCACTCGCGATGCGGGCGATCTCGGAGGTGAAGGTCACATGTTCAAGCAACATAAGGAGCTTGAAGAGGAGGAGGACGACGACGATGACGAGACCGAGTACCGACCCTGGACGGAGCCATCTCAGGTCGACTTCAGTGTCGTTGATCCAGAGGAGCGCAAGCGCAACTATATGCCCTACGGTGGAGGTGAGAACGTACCAACTTGTCCCGAGAAGGAGGCAAACGAGCGGCGTGAAAACGATATTCTAATGGTGTTCTACACGAGCCCCGCTGACATCCCACCTTCGCCTCACGAGCCTCCAGAACAGACAGAGGACAACACAACGACCGTGACGATATTCGGGACGCCTCCTGACAAGTGCTTGAACAGGGCTCCGAAGGCAGCAGCGCCTACAGCGCCAGCCGACTTGGACTTTAGCAAACTTGAGAGTATTGTTGCTCAACTCGCCAACCAGAACCAATCTGCCGCTGCTGCACCCGTGTCTGTGCCAGCACAGCCAACGTACGCGCCGCCTGCACCAGCTCCTGCTTCAGGGCTCGACCTTGCGGCTCTTTTGGCTTCCTTTGGACAACAACAGCCTCCTCCTTTACCTGTACAAACACCTGCGCCCGCTCCGCCACAGTTCCCGGCCCTCTCAGCTCTTCCAGCTGGTGTGCCGCCTCCACCGCCTGGCGCGCCCCCAGCCGAGATGGCGGCGTTCCTAGCTGCGATGCAGGCGCAAGGCGGTGCCCTCCCACCAATGCCGCCTGGCTTTCCTCCCATGGCCTTCTCTGGTGCACCTTTCTCATTCCCACAAGCACCGCAGCCGGATGCCACTGCATACCAGCAACAGCCGCCGGATCAGTACTACCAGCAAGACTACCAGCAATCTAACGGTGGCACAAAACGACCCCGTGACGACGGCAACAACAATGATCGAAACGGTCAGGGCAAGAAACACAAGGCTGGTGTTGGTGGAAAGCCCCACAAAGTGCTCGCGTGCAAGTTCTTCCAGAAGGGCACCTGCAACAAGGGCGATAACTGCACGTACATCCACGACCTCAACATGTAAATTCTCACATTCTTCTTCTTCTGCACCACGGCTATGTTTCGAGCCCACGGTGCTGTCCCAGCGGAGGACTTTGTATTATACCCCATTTGAATTTGGTCTCATTGTCAGTATAGAAGCATCATGGCGACTGAACCTTCGGCAACGGACTGGTTCGATGCATTTACGGCGTTATCGTAGCATTTTCGCGGAGAGGAAAGGGAGGTAGCATCTTACCGCGGTGAGCGAGCGGTCTGATCTGCTACTAGCATAGTGTAATGTACACATTCTCGCACGATTTCAATTGGCCGCTTTTCGTGGCGTGCACAAGACCGGATTCTAAAATGGGAGGGCTCCAGCGATGAGTGGTGCTTTGCACAAGACCTGTAAGTTGACGCGGTTTTCAGAGTTTTGTTGTTTAGCCTTCACGACGAAATAGAGTTTCACAAATAGAACGTGCTCGGCCATAACTCCAGTCAGACCTGTGGGACTCGAGGTGATGGAGACTACAATCATGAGAGGCCCTCTCACGTGATAGGGAGTGGTTCGAGTCTCGAGTCACCCCGGATCGCCATGCTCGAGATTGTCAGCAGACAGGGGTGCGACTTCGATTATCCTTGGTTGCATTGTTGAGCTGGCGCCATGCAGAGCGATCGCAGGGCCAAGCCAAGCGTGCTGCAGTACCGGACGTCCTTTCGACGAGCTGGCCTTGCCCAATTGTAGGCGGCAGCGACGTTTCTTTGAGCGACGCACCCAGACGGCTGCCCTTCCAAGATTGTGGTGTTCGCGTGTGAAGACCAGCCAGAACTGTGACGAGGCGTGGCTTGGCAACTATCAGTACCGTCATATTCTTTTCGGCAAGGCATCAGACATCACGTCAAGCTCACCGCAGCAACACTGCAGCCTGGACACGCCATTCCCCCTCGCTCCATCACGACTGCACCCCGCGCAGCCTCTGGACCTGCCCCGCCCGCTCGCCCACCATCTTGGCCTAATCCTCCCGAGCCCTACCCGCAGAACGCACCACCCTGGACGTTCACGAGCCGGCCGACCGCACCCCACACCGAACCCTCGCACTCCGCCACAGCCCGCTCCCCCCGCAAACAGACATGGCGCCCGCCCGGAAAAGGACAAACAACATTGCACGCCGCAGGCGGCTTGATGACGAGGACGAGAGCAAGTCGCTGGTCACCGAGCTGGCGGACGACTCGCAGAGCGACATTTCAGCGCCCAGCGACGTGGACGCCGACGCCGACGCCGACAACAGCGACCTGAGTGACGCAGACAGTGGCGTGGCGCCGACAGAAGGGAAGCCAAAGCGGAAGGCAAATGGGACTCGTAGCGGGAAGGCCGCACCAGCTGTCAGCACCCGGCAGCCCTCGCCGCCCATTGCGCGGTCTGACGCCGCCTTCACGGCCCTGAAGGACACGGAAGCCATGATGAACGGACTGAGCATGACGGACGCCGCGAGCAAGGCCGAAGAGGTCGACTTCGAGACGGGGGCGCCTGCTGAGTCCGCGCCGGCCGTCGGCCCGCCCTCTGCACGGCCAGAGACGCTGGGCGATCGCAGGCGGCGGGAGCACGAGGAGTACAAGAAGAAGCGTGACTCGGACCCAGCCTTCATCCCCAACAGGGGCGCCTTCTTCATGCACGACTCCCGCTCCGCGCCGGGCCAGAACGGATTCCGGCCGGTCGGCGGACGTGGTCGAGGGCGCGGAGGCATTGGCGGGCCATTCTCTCCAGCAAAGTACGTCCCCGGATTGCGTGGGTTCCCACGTGTAGACGACCTGCTAACCACATCCCCAGCTTGAGACAACACGCCCCCGAGGCGACGGATTCGCCGTGGCAGCACGACCTGCACGAGGCTGTCAACGCGCCTCACCAGCCCGCACAACACGCACCGCCCAGCAACATGCCCACACAACACGCGCCCCACGCGCCACAACACGCTCAAAGAGCGCCCTTCGCTCCTGTCTCGAGACCGCCGCAGACTCGCAACTTCTCCACCACCGTGCACACCCATAACGCCGTCGTCCGAATCCTCCTTCCCAGCATGAAAGCCCCCGTCACCTTCCAGAACGTCCCCATCAAGTCACACACACGCCTGCCGAACCATCGCCCGCCTCTCCGCCGCGACAAGCCCGTCCGCATCTCGCTGCCTCCATCCGCACCACGCTACATCTTCCCCACAGTCGAGCGGTCTTTCATCTTCATCCCGCGCGCGCTGCGCCCCAACCAACAAGGCTTTGGCCGTGGCCGAGGGAGGTTTGGTTCAATCGGCGGTGGAGGCTTCTCGAGCAGACGGACGAGTGTATACGGCGGGAGCGTGTACTCGCCAAGCGTAGCCCTTAGCAGGCGGTCATCTATTGCTCGGGATAACATGGTCTCGCCGGCTGGCTCCATCATGTCCAGAAACGGCAGCTTCATCGACCCGAACCGGCCTGTTGTGCGACTGCCTCCTGGCGGTGTCAGGATGCCTACTGGTCCGGCCATCATCTCGCCCACCAACGGTTCATACCCTCCGCCGCAAAAGCCAGCATTCCGCGAGAACTGGGCACAAGGCCAGCTGCCCATGCACCAGCCACGCCCCCAGAAGAACGTCAATGTCGCAGGCATCGAGTCGCCTGCTTCGATGAACTTCAACCCTCCTCAGCAGCAAGAGCAGCAGCCTTTCCATCAGCAGGTGCCCGCCCACATCAATGGCGCTGGGCCATCAGGCGAGCAGCCAGGTTTCTACCAGCACGCTCGTCAGCCCTCTTATTCTGGCCAGATATCCACAGGTACGCCGCTGAATAATATCCCAGAGCGTGCCATCCACGCACCCGCCTTCCAGCCCTTTCAGCCTGGCTACCAGCCCCAGCCATTCGTACCAGGCGGCTACTACTACCCACCCAGCGCTCCTCAACAGCCGTACATGGCACCTGGTGGCATGGTACCGATGTTTGTGCCTGGCGCGCAACAACCCTACGCTATGCCGGCACCGGCGCCTGCCGTCGCTCCTCCTGCGCCCGCTGCTGCAGGCCCTCCGAACATGGTCGCTGTTGAGCAGAACGGCATGACCTTCTACATGGACGCCAACCAGCTGCCCTACGCACCGCCTGCGGACGCCTACGCCGCGCAGCCCAGTTACACGATGCCCGGCATGGGCGGTATGATGACTCCTGCACCGGACGGCGCGTACTACTACCCGCAGCAGATGCAGCCTACGGCCTTCTATCCTCAGCAGTAGAGCGGCTTGGGAGCGGTCGGCCATGCCTCAGCTCTGTTGCTCAATGGAGATTACCACCCGAGGATCAAAACGCGGTGGCTAGCTTCCACCGACTACAAGCACGGCATCCCACTTGAGCCGTTCGCTGCAGCCCTCACAGTCGGCCAGGTGATGCAGCTCGATCTTATAGGCAACCGCCCGCGCCATCGCCCTTCTGCTGGCTGCAATGCAGTCATACTGCCGAACGGCGCCTTCCACAACTGCGTCACGACTCGGTAGCGGAAGTCCAACGGGTTGCACCGCGGTACACCGCTCGAGCAATTCGCCGCCGCTCTCACGGTCGAAGAGGTGCTGCAACTCGGGCTTACGGAGAATCGCTCAGGCCCACTTCCTGTTTCCGTTTAGCTGCCTGCTCCCATTCAAGAGCCTTTGCCGTTGGCCCGCGCGCGTGTGCCGTCGAACATCGTTGTCCCTCCGACGCAGTATTCACAAGCGAGCTGAAGAGCGCACTTTTCTGTTCCGCTGGCCGACAGTATAGAAGGTCGTGCTTGGACCCCCCCCCCCCCCCCCCCCCCCTAATGTTTTGATATCAGCACTCGACCCAAACATGACTAGCGACAAAACATGTATTACCCCAGTCTTGTTGTTCTTTTGGCCTTGCCTTTTGTTCTGCATGGCGCTTGCGACGCATGCGAGCGCATTCTTTCTAAATGTATCCAAGGTTGAGGATACGACCTACCTCGCTTCGAATTAATGCTGCTTCTCTTGATTCCCCCTTGGTTTGCGCGCTTGCATCTTCGATGCGTCGTTGTTGGGTTATGGGCGGTCTGGCGTGCTGTGAGGGATGGTACGGTTGAAGGGATATAGGGTGGGGATGGTGGCGTAGGTAGGATGAATGGTCATGGTTACAAGGTGCATTCGGCGCTGGAAATTTTCGTATTCAAGTCGAGATGAGAAATGTTGCGGTGTATGTGTGCGGTGCGCCGAGGCTGCTTTGTGAGTGCGCTGTTGTCGTGCTGAACGCTGATACCGTGCTCAACAGAGCCGTGTCTTCGGGCAGCGCGTGTATTGCCACAACGCTTCTACAGCCCTCGCACAACACTACTCTATGCACTCCTAGACTGCAGTCGAGCGAGCCCCGACTGCGTCTTGTGAATAACGCTAGCTGCGCTCTTCAGCCGGCGCAGTGTGTCTGCGACCGTGTATCGTCGCATTGTCGGCCAAGTTGCTGGAAGTCGACGGTGCCATTGAGCTATCCTCCATGCTCTCGTCTGTGAGATTGATGAGACTGGACCTGAGCCTCTTGCGGTTGATACAGCGATAAGAGTGCTGCGACTCTGTCTCTGCGCCGATCATCTCACTATCTTGGGCAGAAGATGGAAAGGGTGGGACGGATCGACTTGATTTGATGGCTCGCCAGATCCTAACCTTCGGGATGTGGAGAAGTGGGTCGCAAGCCTGATATCTGGAAGGCATGTCACACTGATGCTGCTGTTGTGGACAGCTTCGTTAGTTCCCTGAGAGCCTTTGGGTATGGAGGATTGTCTCCCTAAATTCGGGGCAGACACTACTTCGCTGGTCTGACGTCAATATTTGGTGAGAAGGAAATGTCGACGTTCAAGAACCGACCTCTCGCATCGCAGAAAAAGTCAGCTTGAGCAGGAGAATCATTGTAGCCTTTGGAAGGTTTGTTGAGTCGCAAACGAATCATGGATACACTTTGACTACCTACAATGATTTCCAATGGCGGTCAGAATAATGAAGGGTTCGAAAGCTCATTCAATTGCAATTGTGATTAGTATTACCATTATTTAATGCATCCGCGACCCCATATTCACATCACCGAATTCAATCTACACCTCCATTCTCAAAACCGTCACTACTGCTGGTTTTTCTAGTAGTCGACACCGTCCTCGCCCCAGTAGTCTCCAGATGGAGCATCGGAAGTATCCTCGGCCAGCGCAGTGTAATCGGACTCGAACTCATCACCCTCATACTCGCTACTGTCAGGCAGGGACCCGTAGGAGCTATCATAGTATGAGTTTTCCGAATAGTCTTCAGAAGGGTAGGCCTCGGAGTGGTCAACATAATCGCCAGAATCTTCGTATTCGCCAGACTCAGAAACGTCAGGGCCGTAACCGTTGGGTGCGTATCCATCTGTCTCCTCATCTTCGGAGTGGTTGTAAGCATTGGGGTCATAGACATCGGGAGCGTAATTGTCCTCGTCCTTGCTTGGGGCGTCGGTCGGATTTCCATTTTCATCAACCCAGACAACATCGTAGTCGCCTTCAGGCGCAGCATCATAAGACTGGTCATTATAGGAGCTGTCGTCGTAAGAAGGAGCTTCGTAATCGACACCGTCCTCTCCGTAACTGTTGTCATAGCTCTCCTCAGTGGGGTGGTCGCGCTTCTGAGGGTAGTCCACAGGAAGAGCGTTCCAGGGCGCGTCATCAAGGCCGAGTTTCTCTGCTGCATCGTCATAGCCACCAGCATCAATTGCATCGGCAAGTTCACTTGTCTGATCGAAATCGTCCCAGGGGAGAGGTCCGTCAGGGCCGGAGTAGTTTGTGTCGAAGCTGTCCGTGTTGTCCCAAGGAGCAGTGCCGTCGTAGCTGTCATCGTCATAGCTTCCATCGGCATAGCTGCCATCGCCATAGCTGGGACCATTGTCATAGTCTGGCTCATCTTCTGGATAGGGAGCAGGAGCCTGGGGGTAAGGCTCGGGCTTGTATTCCGGAGGAGTCTCAGTGGAATAATCATCCTTGGCTGGGTAGGGCTCAGCAGTCTCAGTGGGGTAAGGCTCGGGCTTGTAGTCTTCCTCCTTCTCGGTAGGATAGGCAGGAATAGGTTCGGGCTTGTAAGCGTCATCCTTCTTCTTGCAGTCGGTGGGGTAGCTGGTAATGGTGACGGTGTAGCCAGGAACATTGACGGTTGAAGAGTGGGGCTCCCAGCCCAAGTACTTCTTACAGGCCTCAACAATGGTGTCATCATCGTACTGCACAAGACGGCAGGGCCTATCGACACACCAAGCGGCGCGATCCTTCAAGTCGCGAGCATGGCGACGGTAAGGCGCCGGTGCCTCGGTTGGGTAGCCTTCATAGACTGTCGAGGTACTGACACTTATTAGTGAGAGCAAAACATGATCAAGATATAATTACAACTCACGTCCAGTAGGTCGTGTAGGTGGTACTGGTAACAGTGACGTCGTGGCCGCCCGGCATGTCAGTCGCAGGGGGCTGATCAGGAGCCTCAGAAATTAGCTTCAAATCGATGAGAACTGCCTGATATGACACACCTTGGTAGTCTGGTCTGGTACCTTGGTGCTCTCGTCCGGCACCTTGGTGCTCTCGTCCGGCACCTTGGTGGATTCATCGGGTACCTTGGTCGGTTTGGAAGGCTCAGGAGTCGACTCGGGATACTTGGTGGTGGTGCTGTAGCCCTCACCCTCGCAAGTCTTTGCGTACGAGTATTCGGTGACAGTGACCGGGTAGCCAGTTACGGTGACATATTCATCCTCTGGCTCGTAGCCGTAGGTCCAGTCGTGACAAAAGTCAGTGGTGAGATCAGCGGGAAGGTCATCGAGCACGAGCTTGCAATTGTCGACGTCTTCCCAGAAGTCGGCGTTCACCGGTCGTGCATTGTAAGCGAGAGCAAGGAGCAATGCTCCGGATGAGACTCGAGAAAACGAAGGCGCCATCGTGTCAGCGAGTGATGCGTGAATTGAGACTGTCTCGGCATGGTAGGTAACACTTTATTTGAGTCGCAGGTCAAAGAAAACTCCGTGTTGTTGATCTGCTGTTTTCAGCCGAGTAGTGTACATACTATTACGGTAGTCTGAATAATTAGTAGCCGCATAGAGCCGTTACTGTTGAAGCTTATCGGATACGGAAATCTGTGTAACGTTTCATCTGCTTGCTTGACGCTCTCGCAGCCGGTTGTGGAGAGATCGAACTCGTGTGGCGCGAAGCACGTGAGGACTACCACCGAAACGGAAACTTCAGGAATGCCAACACCATGTCGTTTGCAGCACGTCCTCCAGACTCTACAACGCCTTGAGAAGTCCCTCGTGTTTCACATCCCAACTTCCGTCTTTAGGAAAGCCGGGAGCGTCGCTTTCTGACCCCTGCCAACCAGCTGCGCAGTACGCGATAGCTAGGAGAAAGCCGGCGTTGCCAGGCATAAACGGTGGGGGCGTGCCTCCGTCGCCGCCTCTGATAGCAAATCCAGCGTCATCGAACTTCCAGTAGTCGTAAGCAGTAAGGTGATAAATCGCGCGCTCAGGATTACCGATCCTTGCGCTGTTAATGGCGAGTACCGGACGGCCCCATCCGCGGATGCGCGCATCTCCCCATATGTCCCACACCTTGTCGGCAGTGCGCAGTGCCACATCTGGGTCAACTGCAGGCGTGTCTGGCAGTATGCCCTGAAGCATGATCAGGCTGCGCGGATCACCAGTGAGCTTTGTGTCGTTCCACCAGGAGCTATCCAATCCTTCGTAAACAGCATACAGACCATCGACGATCGGAGGTGGTGCGAGATTCTCAGCAACGTGCTTCCACTTCTCCGGAACGGCTTGGTGCAGTTTCCGCTTCCAGTCGATAGCGGCGTCTAACCCGTAGCGCCAGTATGCAACTTCATACGCTAAATTCCGCGTCGAGTTCGGAGGTGTATTCTCAGTCACACCATATGCAGGAGGTCCGAGATCGTATCTGCCTGTAGTGTTGTTAAGGCTAGGATATGACGCCATGTAGTCCGCAGTCGCAGTGAGCACCTTGTCCCAACGTTGCAGTGTCGCGCGTGTAGGATTAGCCTGATACGCCAGGTTTGCCAGGTAAAAAGGATGTGGCTGCTGCCACAATAAAAGCGCGTTGATATCGCCGGGCGAACTGACACCGGTCTCTAATTCCGTCATTTTGGGCCATCGAGCACCTTCCCAGTCCATTGATTTCGCACGGGCGGTGGACGAAGGTAGAAGTGTCTCGTATACCTCCGGAAAGATACGATCGAAGTATTGCTGTTTGCCCCATGTTGACCATTGAGCAAGATGCCAGATCACCATCTCCATATGGAATTTGCCTGCCTATAATTAGCAAGCATCGTGCCAAAGCTGTTTGCAGTCGTGACGTACCGTACCACCCGTTGTTCATCAGTCCACTCTCCTGCGGCGGCTGGCCGTTGGCTGCGCTATTGACACGCACGTGGTATTGGGACTTGATGATTCGCCGCTGGAGCTCAGTTGCATTAGGGTTCGTGGATGCAGTCAGATCCACGAACCCGCCGTCCCTCCAGTAGTCATTCCATCCACGAGCACTTTTGTCTTGGATCTTAGCAGGGAAAGTCGGTACGCGTGAGTCTGGTGAGAAATGGGCTGTGAAGGCCATGAAAGCGGTATCGGAGACTGAGCTCAGGGTGTATCGATGAGCGGTGATGGCGGTCGAGTTGGCAGGCTCGTTCCTGGAAACCTTCAAGGGCGTCTCCTTGGGCCATCTTAGATTTGTGAAGTAGCTTGTTTCTTGTAGCAAATGTTGGATGTGAGCAGAAGTGCGATCAGTGCCGTCTCCAACAAGAATGGTTGTGTGATTCAGCGGAAAACCATATACGCCCGCGAAGACCTCGTACTTGTACTGTGTCGAGTGTATCGGTGGATAAGGGAAGTCCAATTCGACCTCGAGATCGCCAGATTCAACGAGGTCAGACTCAATGCGAACTGCAACAGCATCTGAATCGAAGTCGCCCTGGGTGATGACCTTGATGGCTTTGCCACCGACTTCGAATGTCGAAGTTATGACTCCGTTCCACAAGTCGAGCTCTTGCCTTGAGTTGGTGATCGCAGTCCCGCTGAGTGTAGCGCCCTTATATCGTAGACCAATGCGGCCAAGGTTGATGCGGTTGGGGTTGCCGATGAGCCACTGAGTCGCCTGTTTCAACTTGGGATCGGGGAGATCGTAGAAAACTTCCCGACCGTAGGTCTCCCTTGGCAGGCCCTTGTAGTCAGAAGGCAATTCGCTGCATGTATTGTGAGTAAAGCCATCCACGGAGAAAGGAGAAGGCAGTATACCCGTTGGCTGGGAGTGAATCGTTGTGCCATGCCCATGCGGATAAAGTGTTGAATGGCAAAAATGTCTGACGCAAGATTCAATTCTCTGTTAGGCAACACTTCGCACCGGGACTCACCTGCAGACCAGTGTTGTCCACATTGAATGCAAATCTGCCATTACCCACTTGTAGTGGAGTTGTCTCATTGTCTATCAAGCTGGTTCGGACAATATTGAAACGAGACACGACCGTCTCTCTGCAGAATTGGCATATCAGTAGTGTCGTGCAGAAGGGCTAGATGAGGCGCACCGGTCAATCTTGCCTAGTACAAGTGTTGCTGAAAGACATGCGCAGTAGATGTGCAATAAAGTGGAACGCATTGTGAGTACGTTTCCGAGGAATGTTCTGCATAAAGCGATTGAGACCCGGGAACAGCCCAAGGTCAGATATTGCGCAGCTTTGTACTGTAACAAACCCCGACATGAGCATCCTTCGAGGTGAGCCAAGTGACCCCCCTGGATGGGCTTGCCCCGGGGTAACAGTAGACCGAAGATGTGATTCTCGGATGATCTGTACAAGGAACGGGCTAGCGTGGAGTGCCTGGTGGCTTTCCCCGCCACTTGATCACTCCAATTTTTCCGGTCCACTTAGCCGACAGCGGTGCACCTGATTGAGTGAAAGGATTAAGAACCGTGCGATTGACTTGCTTGTTTCATGCAGATATAGTGGTAGATTCTTGGCTCCTCACCATCTGTAGGCATCTCCAGGTAATAAAAAGTTTGCCTCTTCGAAAGTGATGACACGGTCCATGTCCAAGAACTGAGCGTCCATAAAAGTATCAGAAAGATTCAACAGAGACTGGTCTTGTATAGCTCGCTGATTGTTTGACGGACCCGGCATGCCATTGTAGTGTGCGCTTGAGGGTACACCGTGCCCCAGCTGGTAAACATTGCGGCCGCTGGGTTGTGCCGCATTTGGATGCAACGTCGCTGCTACGCTGGCGAGGCCATTAGGGGACAATGCATCGATGCTTGAAGGTCTTGCTGGTTGCTGCTGTGCGTACTCGATGGGAGGTGTTCCAGTGGCAGTGATGGTGTTGTACGAAGTCTTCCTTCGTGGGCTAAGAGCAGTATGCACACTGCCCAGACTTTGTTGACGCACAGGGCCTAACGTAGGTCGGTCTTGCGCAAAGCTACCAGTACGTTGCAACGGGGTCATGACGTTCATGGGGCTGACATATTGCTGTGACTCGAGTGACTGACAAGTGTGGTCGTAGAAGTCGAACCGATACTGTGGATCCTGGGAACATGCTTCCTGCAGGCGCTCAAGATGCTGAGCATATATGCCTGCTTGATTCAGAGGCCGTGAGTCTCCATCTTGACCTGCGCTATGCTCCCATCGCTTTGACATCTCCCAGAGATCTCTGAGAAGCCTCCCGAATTCCGACAGTGGAGGCCCTCGGTGTTCGAACAGAAGAGCCTTCGCAGCCACGAAAGCGCAAAAAGCGAACTGCACATTGACGAACGGAATCGGCGTGTATGTAAGAAATTTGCTAACGATGTTCGATGTTTCGATCGCAGCCAATTCACATGTCTGAGCGCTACATTCCTTCGGCAGTGCGACGTAATCGTTCCAACTCTGTGCTGGGAACGCAATGGGATGATGCAGCAAGATCATCGAGGTATTGTGGGTGATGTGTGCAAGGGTCAGGTTTGGATCCATGTCAACGACCGTCCTGTCTTCAGATATATTTGAATCCTTCCAGCGTTGGGGTAAGAACAATTTCCAGTGTACAAGCCTCAAATCGAGTTCCTTGAATCGAGTGAGCCAGCTGACTGCGTGCTCCTTATCCTGGGCGTTTATTCGCTGTTGCAAGAAGAACGTCGTAACTTGACTCAGTGACTCGGTGGCCTCCACACAGTAAGCAAAAGCGCCGAGTTTCGATGCATCAATGAAGCCATTGGCTGAGTTGGGACTAGCTCCTTGTGGTTGCTCGGTAGTGGGATCCTCCTCACTGTAAGGTGCCGGGACGTTGGCCAAAGAGCGGCCAATTCTCGCGACAGCTTTATTCCAGATACCAAAGAACGGTGTAGTGACGGGCTCCTCGCGCGTGAAGTATCCACCGTCTGCTGGCAACCGTCGATGGACATCATCAGAGGTCAAGCTTGTGTCCCAGCCAGTAGTGACAGAACAGAACCGGTCGAGCATAAAGATAATCCAGAACAGTCTCCTGCGCTCTTCCAGCTCTGTCCAGTCATTGGAAGGCTGTACGAGCCGAACAGGTCTCATAAGTAGACTCGATTGTGACGCAGACGAGGGTTCGGATGTAAGCTGGAGGTACCCGATCGTCCTTGTCAGGCTACCAATCAGCGGCCATGCGCGGTGGTTCTTGCCATCATTGAGCTGTGATATGTCAGCCAGCGAATGAAGAGTGGGTGGGTGGAGCAATAATTCGTGCCCGAGTGCTTTCATGGATTAGCACAACAACATCGACGTGATCGATGAACTACCAAAGAATCTGATCAAGCGAAAAGGCCTCTTAATCCTCTGACTACTGCGAGAGAGAATGTCTCACGCAGATTGACTAAGGCAGCGTTGCTGATGTTCTGCTTCCATGTCTGATGAATTGGGTACGAACTATTGAGGTGCAGGGTGAATACTGACGTAGTCGAACACGACGAAAATCAGCGCCTGAAGGCTTTCAATGGACACTGATCTAATCGCGTGAGTCTCCACAATGATCCGAGAAACGCTAGATTGCCGTTGAATCTGGTCGTGATCCATGAAGAGGACATTGGTGTCCATGTGACGCAGCGCAACCGCGACCAGTGCATGAAGAACAAGCAACAAGCCATTGCTGCAGACGCCTTCGCTGACTTTCTTGTGCAGCCTTTGCTTATGCAGGTACGGTATCCAGTGATGGAATGAGGTTTTAAAAAAGTCAACGACTTTCAGAAGCACACCCTGGGATGGCAGGTGCTGAGCAAGATCGAGTTCTTCAGTAGCGAAGTACCATCGCTCAACTCCTGGTTCTTCGTGTTTGCGCTTCAAAGGGTTGGCTGAGGTTGCCGAATCATTTGTGGAGGCAGTAACGGGCGGCTGTTCTTGGTTGATAGACGGCACAGCTTGGCTGCCATGAACTGTCGAAGTCGCGACTTGCCCGACAACACGTGACCCGTTGGAAGGGAAGTCACCATTGCTATGTTGCTCTGGTTCGTCCTTGTACTGTGGTCGTACATTGCCACCCTCATCGAGCAAGATCTGCTCCAAGAAAGCTGTAATCGTCAGACAAGGCTGAAGAGTCGTGATCACGCGGGCGCGTACCGACGCGACGCGTCAAAGCCTCCACTGCTCCAGGTTTTAACCCTGGCTTCTGCTTTGGATTGTACACGCACTCTGTCGCTGCATCTGAAGTCAGCATCGCTCGATAGGCATTATCGCGAATGCGCTTACACAACCTCAGACAATGCGAGCAGACGGGGATCTCTCTCGAGCACCGCAGCTTGCGCTTCTTGCATGAGGCACAGGCAGGCTGATCTTCGCCGACGACCGACGGGCCATCATCCTCGCCGGTGTGGCTTCCATTGCTCACGGAGAAATTGGTCCAGCCCGCCGACATCTGTACGACATCCTCAGTCGTTAGTAAGAGGAGGATTGTGGAGAGGATGGGCGCGGCGGGCGTCGGATTAAATCAGATTGTCCTTGTCACCCCGCTTGTACGCTAACTAGCCTATAGTCCGGCTGACCAGCCCACATGGAGAGCCGCCCGACCCCTGTCTTCAACCCCATGAACCTGCAAATCCAATTGTGACCACGTGCGACCGTTGAAAGCGGCGCGGATGCATTGCCAGGAAGGGTCATGATTCACGAGCTACGAAGGATGGTACCTACCGGTAGGCCGACGATTGTCGCGGGCGCGCCGTTGAACGCGCCAGGTTCGCCGAGACAGCCGAGCCGTAGATGACAGTCATCCTAAATCATCGGTGCCAAACAATATGGATGAACACATCAAACCTGCAGAGTGACACCACTGAGGCTCCCCAAGACGACGTCAAACCTTCAGCGCGCCATGCCACCCCTGGTAGGCTTTTCCGACAACCCTTTCCGCACCCATGAAGACTTCAAGCTTGGTGCTATCGCGTTACTGCGCGCCATCAAACCTTATCAATCGCCAGGTGGTGCACGCGTGAAGCTACCGTTGGCAACTGGAACCCATTTTGACGATGTCGCAGCACAGCTCGAGGGTTTTGCTCGGGCACTATGGGCTGTAGGGACCCTTCTGCATTCCAGGATCACCACGGAGGTTGAATACAATGAGCTTGTCCGTCCCTACATTGAAGGGCTGGCGAACGGTACAGATCCAGAGCACGCCGAGTATTGGGGTCCGGTGGTCCTCAGAGATCAGCGGATGGTGGAGATGGAGATCATCTCGTACGCATTGCTGGCAGCGCCAGATGCCATGTTTCATTCTCAAAGTGACACGGCCAAACGAAACATCACAGAGTGGCTAAAGACGATAAATGGCAAAGACTTCCCTATCACAAATTGGCTGTGGTTCCGGGTCATGACAAATCTCGCGCTTGTCAAGGTCTGCGGCATCCTTTATGAGCAAGTTGGCGATGCTATGAAAGAAGATCTGGATCTCATGGAACGCTTTTATCTGGGGCAAGGGTGGGCAGCAGATGGTATGTGGAATGAAGAAGGAAAACAGGCCGATTATTACTCTGGCAGCTTCGCGATACAGTTCTCGCAACTCATGTACGCAAAGATGGCGCAAGACCTCGATCCTGAAAGGTGCACACGATTTCGAGAACGTGCGAAAGAGTTTGCAACGACGTTTTGGAGGTACTTCGATTCCAATGGTAAGTGGGCTTAACCATATTCGGACCATCCGGAGGGAGTCAGCTAAGAAGAGACAGGTGCTGCTATTCCATTTGGTCGAAGTTTGACTTACAGATTCGCTTTTGCTGGGTTCTGGTCTGCTGCAGCCTTTGCAGAGGTCGAACTCCCTTCGCCATTGAACGACTTGGGAGTGGTCAAGGGCTTACTCCTTCGTCATTTTAGGTGGTGGAGCAATAAGCACGACATCTTCAACGTCGACGGTTGCTTGAATATTGGTTTCGCATACCAGAACTACTACATGTGTGAGGACTACAACTCTCCGCAGTCCGTCTACTGGGCTTTAAAGTCTTTTCTCGCTTTAGGTCTGCCAAGTAATCAGCCTTTCTGGACAGCAGAGGAGAAGCCTCTGCCTGGCGGAAACGCTCTGGCATCCCCTATTGACGCACCAATGCACATAGTGTGCAACACCGGGAATCATCATTTCCTGCTGTCATCAGGGCAGTTCTGTCCCTGGCCTCTCAAAGCTACGGAAGCCAAGTATGGCAAGTTCGCATACTCCTCGCATTTCGGCTTCAGCGTTCCCACTGGTCCGCTCCTTCAGCAGATGGCTCCAGACAACACGATTGCCATAAGCAAAGATGGAGGTGACACCTGGCGCGTACCGTGGAAGGTCAAGCATAACGAGCAGCGCGCTGTAGCACTCTTCAAAGGAAGGGACGAGACTGTAGAGAGCCTCCAGGTGCTCAGCAGTCACTGGAAACCGTGGAGGGACTTGGAGGTCGAAGTTCGCACGATCCTAGTTGCTCCTTGTTCTAGGTGGCCGGACTGGTATGTACGTTTCACCAGTATTGGAAACCCAGGTCTGAGCCCCGTGACCCTCAATTTATCTCAAGGAGGATTCGCAATTCAGGGGCGAGGTTCTAAGAAGGGCGAGATTCTGCCTACGTTCGCAGAGAGCGCCACTATCAAAGCCACCGAAAGTTCGTCGTTTGCAGAGGGTATTCTGGAGACAGTTGACGGTGCGTTGATCTGTTCAGATGCTGGAGCAAGTGGGGTCAGATCTGTCATCTTGCGATCCCTCACAGGAGAGCAAGACTCCGCTGAGAACGTGACTTCTTCTGGACATGTTTTGAAACCGGACGCCAACACTAATCTGATGTGGCAAAGAACTCTGATTCCGACCATCCGGTCCAAGACGAGAGTATTGAATACAGGAGACAGTATACATCTCATATCCGCTGTTTTGGCCGTGGCGAGAACCTCTGACAAGATTGCACAGTACGATGCATTGGATCTGCAGAAGATGTGGGAAGACGTACCGGTCATTCGTGCTGGCAAGCTGAGCGCCAAGGGGGGTGGAGACGGTGGGGAATACATCAATGTCCAAATTCTCTCCTAGTAAGAAACATCTATGTCGACCTTATCATTTCGGTCTTATTGCTTTGTCCTCATCTTACGACGTAGACTCATCTGTGTGTTCTTGTGTTGTCTTTACTTAACAATGTAAAAAGGAACAATCAAGGGCCTTGCTTAATGCGTACTCCTATATCTGTCTATTTAGGGTATGCCTGAAGTTGTTGCTTAATTTATGAGCCTGATTTGCAGCCCTTCTGTTGTCTATTTTACGTGTAGGTGTAAGGCTCCCGCACACATCCTTGAAAAGGACAATCTGCGTGTCTACAGTCACATGTCAGAAGTTTTGAACCCCGCGCGGGGAAAACCATCACCAGATTCTCAACACCAATACTTTGACCACCCATCACAATGCCAATACTGCGTCGATTTGGACAGTAGTTATGAAAACGCTCGCAGAGGGCCGAATATTAGTCTGAAAGATTGCTATAAAATCAATGCCATGTGTAAGTGTGGTGTTCCTATCAAGAAGCTAGCAGCAGAATTTGGCCGCAGTGAAAGTGCTATTAAATATGTTGCGGTGCAAGTCGGTCCGACAGGCCTCGATCGTCACCTCAGTTGACTACCTTGGACTAGCACGTCTCAGGGCATGTATATATGGTCGCCTCCTAGCTAACAATCAACTCAGCGCAGTTTTCCATCGATATACAGCGGCTACGCTTGCCGCAACAAAATACACTACCCGTACCTATACCTCTCAGCCCACAACACAGAAGCAACCTCGGTCAGGTCGATCTAGCGTACTATCACGTCATTAGGAGAAGCTGGTTTATCAAGCTGCTCAAAAAACACCAAAAATTGAGTATCAAACCCTTCAGAAAGTAGCACAGCTTGCAAATTTAGACACCCCTATTAAGAAGCCACCTATTCGTTCTACACTCTACTGATGCCTAAAGCAACAAGGCCTTACTAATTACTGTACCAAACGGCGTCCTCTCCTCCATCTCCATCTTATCTAAGCTTCTCTGGGAGGTACTGCTACTTTCTATGGCATCGCCGCACAGTCAAGTTCTCAGATGAGGGCTCAGTCCAGAAGGGCTCAGGCCATAATCAGTAGTGGGTGTTCAGGCTACCATATTAACAATGAAAGAGAGCTATGCTAACTACCCTGAGTACTGCTCCTAAGCCTGCCCAGATGGTATGGGCAAGTGTGTGGCTGGATGAACGTGGTCGACCTCGGCGGTGTAAGCCGGTCACTATGGAGCGCGATTTCAATGCCCCACGCAGTGGGTATAGCAGCCAAAGTTACATCAAGGCCTTGAAAGAAGATCTCTTGCCTCATTGTAGGAGTTCACATTGTTCATGCACGATAACGCTGGTATACATACCCCACGAGTAGTACGCAGCTTCCTGGCCGAGCATCACATCACAACTATTGACTGGCCACTGTACTCAGCTGACCTTGATTCTATTGAACACCCCTGGTGGCACCTCAAGAAGTGCATGCACTACTTCTATCCACAGTATAACAATTGTATACACTCTCAGGAAGATTGGGATGGCTTTTGTAAGGCTCTACTAGAGTGCTGGTGTAGGATACCAGGATCGCTCATTAAGCAGTTAATTATGAGTATTCCGCGACGCCTGGCTACTTGTCGGGCAGCCAGAGGGTGGCAAACAAAGTATTAATACATGTGCATTTGATTCCAAGCAGTTTCATTTGATTGTGTAGTAACTTGGGTGAGAAACAATGCTGTGAGTTGACCAACGGCGTTGGTTGGTAGGGGCGGCCTTGGCCCGGCAGTTCCAAACCTTTGACCTAGTACTGTATACTACCTCCGTGGTGATAACATCGTGACTGCCTCCGATTCACCGGAAGCGACCCATATCGAGAGGCTTAATGTATCAACAGTCTGGCTCAATTTGTCTACAGAAGCCCAGCCCTCAACAGCTTGTTGCCAAACTCCAGCAGATAGTAGTCTGCATACACCAGACCGTGGTCTTTGTACTTCTTGTGGGCATCCGGGTTCCAGTTCGTTGTGCTGTTCCTCAGGATCGCATCGAACGCACTCTCCCTAAGCTTGATGTCCGCTGACCCAGTACCATTTACCAAGCCCTTTCCTGGCCTCTCAAATGCTGCAAGATCGCGGTCATACGACATGTCGAGTGTCTGACTCACGATCTGCAATGCGATATCCAGAAAGTTCATTGATGGTTGTGCCAGCTGTGATGCTTCAGATGTTGGTAGCGACTGCAGAGACTGGTGGATGACAAGCAGGCCGTTGGCGGTTGCCATAGCTGCTGATACGTCGCGCAGTGGCTCTACAGGATCATCAATAGGAGCATCGAAGTCCCACAGAGGTACCAGTGGGTGGTGCCACTTTCCCTCTCCCTCTCCACACCGCCGAAGAAAGTACTCTGCGCACTTGATCGCAGTGTGAAGGTATTTGGTGTCTTTTGTCCAGGCATAGACTTGTGCGAAACCCATAATTGCCCATGCTTGGCCGCGACTCCACGTTGAATGGTCTCTCCAGCCCTGGTTGGTCATCTTTGCTTGTGGTTGCCCTGTTCGAGGGTCAAAGTTGACAAGGTGGTATGATGAGAAATCTGGACGCAAAATCTCGTGGATGATGGAGTCAGCATGCTGGGTTGCGATGTCGATGAGCGCTTGATCTTGCTGGTTGTGACCAACATAGTAGAGAAGGTCAAGATCTACAGCATGTTAGTGGCGATATCCGGGACATAACAGATCGACTCACTACACATGCTGTCGATGATGACAAGAAAGCTTGTATTCATGTCGGTGATCGAGTAGCGGTCGTTAATTGCCGTATCCCAGCTCCTGATAGCTTTGACCTTTTCGTCGTATCTCGATGCGAGCGCATATGCAGCGTTGATCACAGACTGCAAGCTTTCCTTGTTTCCTGTCAACTCCCAGTCCTTTTGCAACGCAGGCTGCACGATGAATCCCATATCGTGTGTATCGGTTCGCGAGCTCATCTGATTGATAGCAACATTCCAGTGTCGGCCGATCTTCAGCAGCTGATCTTGGAACTGTGGACGAATGTGCTCCGGAACATCTAGTGCTTGAGGGTACCGTACTGCGCGCTCTAGAATGGTGTAAATGCAGCCTGGAAAGAAGCCGCATGTCCAAAAGTCTGCTTCCCGCTCTTCGTATCGACCTGCATCAGGTCCAACTTGGGGCACTGTGTGTGGATAGGTCGGCAATGGTGTCTGTGATGCGCATCAGTGCTGGGTTGTTGAGCTCGCCTTCGGAAACCATGCCTCTTGCTTCAAGCCTCGCTCCGCAACTTGGAAGACCTTTGCAGCGATGTTTTCGGAGTATAACTCGCTTAAGTCAACGCCCTTGATGCTGCACACCGCTCAGCAATCCGTATCCCGACCGAGGTTTTACGACCTACCTCGCAGTTGCCCTCCTAGCCGAGTCTGTGGCAGAGAACATGTCGAATTCCCAAAAGACTGTCGAGTGCAGGATTCGAGGGTTGGCGTTGAAGACCGATAGTGGCGCGGGAGATGTTTCAACCGTACTGCAACCTGCTGGCCGTTAAGCGTTCGTCAATGTCGTGTAGCATGAATGGCCAAGATACCTCGTTGAAACTACGTGAGCAATTCGTAGTGTGCATGCCACCATCAGTATGATATCGATAACGGAGCAATTGCGACCGAGGCTCGTCATGTAGGCTACGGGAATGGGATCGGCGTTGAACCGAGGCCCGTCGCCCGATGAAGATATCATCCGTTGTCCGGCCCATCACGCTTTGGGGAGCCGCTCGTGTCCTTCAGGGTCCTTGTGTGTGTGATGCGTCATCAGGTCCAGCGCTCTTCCCGGAATTCGTTCCGTCTTGGGCGGCCCGTATGTTGCGTTTGCGTGTGCATGTCTTGGAATCTCGGTGTTTTACAGTCCACAGTTTCTCCGCAAAGTGGTCTTGGGTCTGGGGAAATAGCATGAAGCTAGTGATAGTGTCCGCCGTGCCTAAATGGTTGGTTCGCAATTTAACCATCAGGTAAACAATATATAGTCGTGCCGAAGCCGAGGAGAGGAATTGAACACCAAAACACGGTTTCCAGGCCGATATCGAGCAGCGCAGCAATCATGCTGTTGACCAATCTCATTCCTGCGCTTGCCCTGAGCACTCTCGCCTCTGCTCTCCCAGAAGTCAAGCGTGCCGCTCAACTTCCGCTTTCCACCAAGGGTCGCGATATCATCGATGCGAATGGCGATATTTTCCATTTTGTCTCTACGAACTGGCCGGGACACCAGGAAGTGATGGTTCCTGAGGGTCTTCAGCACGCTTCGGTCAAGGACATTGTCTCCTGGTTTCCGAAGTTTGGCCTTAACTCTGTTCGCCTGACATTCGCCATTGAGATGGTCGACGACTATCTCGCCAACAGCCCAAATCAAACACTTGAGAAAAGCTTCATCAATGCCCTTGGGCAGACGAATGGTACCAAGGTGCTCGACCAGATCCTCGAGAAGAACCCCGAGTTCACCAAGGATACCACAAGACTTGAGGTCTGGGATGCCGTTGCAAAGGAGCTCTCCCGTCAGGGCGTGATCATTCATCTGGACAACCATGTCAGCAAGGCATTCTGGTGCTGCGGCGACAACGATGGAAACGGCTGGTTTGGCGAGAAGTTTTTTGATGTTGAGAAATGGAAGCGTGGTCTCGCATGGCTGGCCGAGCATGTAAGTGATTCTGCTGAACAATGGCGGCCCTAGTAGACTGACCAGTTCCAGGCTAAGGAGAATTGGCCTATGTTCTCTTCAATGGGTCTTCGCAACGAACTTAGAGCCGCTGCCACTGCTGAACCCGTTGATTGGTACACCTGGTACGTACACATGACGGCCGCTGCACAGGCTGTACACGAAGCGGATCCCAACGCCTTGATCTTCTTCTCTGGTTTGTCATACGACACTTACATCGACCCGATACCCCTCGGCAAGACCTTGAACGGCACCGTCGGTAAAGCAACGGCCAACAAGACCGCAATTTTCAAGCCAGAAGACTTTGCCTTTAAGGACAAGATCGTACTGGAGATTCACAAGTACGACTTCGAGGCTACCCAGGACAACTGCGAGACGTTCAAGCGCAAGTGGTATAGTAAAGGTTTTCAGAGCGTCAACCCTGACGACCCAACAACCAAGTACCTCTTCCCCATGGTCATCTCCGAGTGGGGCTTCATCAACAACGGAACATACTGGAATCAGACCACATACGCGAAATGCTTGGTTGAGATGGTCGAACAGTACCAGGTCAGCTGGATGCACTGGGAGCTGTCAGGATCTTTCTACCTGCAGACCCGACCAGGCAGGAAGCCGCAAGAGACAATCCAGGGGCTGGAGGAGTTCTGGGGCCTGCTGGACTACAACTGGTCGGCTATTCGCTCGCCAATCACACTTGAGAACAGCCTGTACAAGATGATTGGGGCCTTGAAGTAAGACGAATTGTGTGGTCTGCTGTAGTATGCAATCGACAATGTTTCAAAATTTTGTTAGCTAGGAGTTCTTGTATTGCACTAACACGAGTAGCTCTGCCGATGTCTTCTGAAATCTGGGATCTTGGTGTTGTAGCGGTGTTGAAAAGAGCGTGATCGTCCATACATTGCAACCTAGAAGTGAATGTGAGAGCCGGGACCTTGGGACAGCTCAGAACTGCAGCGACAGGGGTGTTGCATTTGTCCGTTGACTAACCCTGGGTCTCTGCCTCTAATATCGTGGAAAGGATTTGACACAGGCTTTGAAGTTCTTGGAAATGGGAAGTCTTCAGCGATGATGCGCACGAGGCCTGCGAGCCAACGTGGCTTTTAGAGACTCAATTGGATGTTATGTTGCATTCAGCTTTCTCCACCACATGGTAGTCTTCCGCAGAATCCTTGTCTGTAGAGGTCTGGGTAGTCGTGTTGCGCATTACTGTCGTTGCAGCTGCGTTTATGTCTGTTGCACACAGAGGGCACAATTTTCACGTGCGAGACGCGTAGATGCCGAACCAGGGACATTGTGACGTCATCCGATGTATCCACCCGAGCGATTCAATTCAGTTCATCAACAGCAAGACCGAGTTCGATAGCACAGGTCATGTGTCTCTATCCTTCACCTATTGTTAAGAGCCCCTTGGTTTTCATCCTTGATATAGCGGTCAGCGATAGCTTTCGCTTAGACGCGCAATGCGGCCTTCGAATAAGTCTTTGCCTGCCCGCTGATCACTTTGCAGGCATTGCTTCGGTTACCTAGATGCTCCAGGATTTCACAACCACTCGCGCATCGGTTCATTTCCTTCTTGGTACTCGTTCGTGGAGAAATGTACCGGCCTTGGTCTCCCCGCGTTGCGCTATGCTAATCTAGGCGATACGCCGATGCCCGTGACACGAACAACATCTTCGCTTACCAGCTATGATGTCTGACGACGGTTTGTCTACATATTACACTGCTGGGGATGACCAGTAGCCGTCTCGTCCCAGGTTAATGGGTACTACTTCTACCAACGGCCTGCTACCACACCCTACAAGCTCCTGCAATGGCGGCAACCAGTACCGGACCCCGAGATGAGACCGCTGGTGTTGATGCCAGGACTGGCGAATTCAGCACGAGTGTCATCGCACCCACTGATGCACCCAACCGATCACCATGGAAGGCGTGGATGTACCTCTGGGAGTGGTACCCAAAGCACTATCCAGCAGAGGAAAGGAAGCTATTGAGGAAATTGGATGCTTGCCTTCTGACCTTCTGTTCGTTCATGTGTAAGTATCGACTGCACTGCATCCGACAGCTAGGTACTGACTCCAGCAGTCTTCCTCAAGTGGCTTGATTCGTCAAACATTAACAACGCCTACGTCTCAGGCATGAAAGAGGAACTCAACCTCTATGGCAACCAATATTCGCTTTTTGGCACCTTTTACAACTGTGGATACCTAGTCTTCCAGATCCCATCCCTGCTCTTGCTTTCTCGTCCGAAGATTGCGAAGTACTACTTACCATTGATGGAAGTTCTGTGGTCGATCGTCACATTCACCCAATCGCAGATGCGCAACGAGCGTGACATCTACGGAACTCGCTTCCTACTCGGTCTGCTCGAGACTCCCGTGGCTTCTGGAACAACTTACGTTCTGGGCTCATGGTACAAGCCTGAGGAGGTCTTCAAACGCACTGGTGTTTGGTACGTCTCAAATAACATTGCTGTTATGTTTGGTGGGTATCTACAGGCCGCCGCATACAAGAACCTCAACGGAGTTGGTGGCATGGCAGGGTGGCGGTGGCTCTTTATCATCGACGGTGAGTTTTTAATATTGCGAATAAACTATCAGTATTGACAGAAGCAGGTGTCATCTCCCTGCCAATCGCCCTCGCCGGTTTTCTCATCTTCCCCGGTCTTCCTAGCAGCGCAAAGCCATGGTGGCTCAGCCCCGCCGAACACGACCTAGCGAAGAGGCGAGTGGCAGCAGCCGGTATTGCACCTAGTCAGAAGCTGAGCTGGTCAATCTTTAAACGCACCCTACGGCGGTGGGAGTTCTACATAGGTGTTCTGGCCTACACATTCTTCCTGTCGTCCTCTTACCCCCACGGGCAGATGGCGCTCTGGCTCAAGGACCAAGCGTCCAAGTTCCACAACTACTCCATACCTCAGATCAACACTATCCCAACTGGTGCGCAGGGTGTCTCGGTGGTGGCAGCGCTCCTCGCTACATCTCTATGCATGGTTTATCCCCTGTGGAGTATCTTCTCGATCGTACAGACTATCTACCTCATCGCCAATATTCTGCTCCTGGTCTGGTTCATTCCTAAGGGCCTTCACTGTAAGTTGTTACGCCTTCTCCCTCTGGTCAGCACGCATTGACCGCCTCAACAGTTGCATGCTACTACCTTCTCGGTGTGTCCGCAGCCGTCACACCCATACTCATGCCCTTCATCAACATGGCTTTGCGCGATGACGCCGAAGCCCGCGCTATCACGGTTGGTGGCATGCTCACGGCTGGCTGGGCAGTCTTCTCATTCTATCCCATCACCGTATTTCCTGTAGTTGAGGCGCCACGCTGGACTAAGGGTTATTCGGTCAATATCTGCTTCATTGTTGGGTGCTGGGCTTGCTTCTTGATTATGCAGTATATGTACAAGAAGAGCGAAGCTAGAAAGGCACAGGAATTCATTGGCGCTGCTGCGAGAGATGAGGAGGATAGTTTGAGCGATAAGAAGCCGATGGATGATGTCAAGGAGCATGTCGAGGAGCGACGATGAGGGACGTAGGCGTCTTTTGGGTATAAAGTGCATCGATATGTTTTACATATTGATACCCAGATGACAGATTGAATGCGAATGATGTAAAGAATGAACGCAAGTGTCTTTGCTGCCCTCTGGTCTGGCCACTTCATTTCTAGAGAACGCAGCTGCCGATGTGCTGACCTTCACCGCTCAAACTCTCACAGGGGACTTTGACTTTTTACGACTTGACCAGAACAGTTACAGGGCTACACAGTATGCGCAGAGTAGTTCAAGAGCTACCATACTCGTCAGTGATGTGTCCTGTTCCGCTGGCGGCGAAAAGCGCTGTTTAACGTGCCAAGCTGATGGTCTAGCACTCAAACAGAACACGACTTTCAAAGACCAGGTGACGGGAAATGTCTCAAAGTGCGGATCATGCTCATTAGTCATCATTCTTTCTACTCACAGAGTGTCTTGATGCATGGAAATACAATCATCACCTCACCGACACTCTCTCAATCGACACTCTCTCAATCGACACTCTCTCAATCGACACTCTCTCAATCGACACTCTCTCAATCGACACTCTCAATCGACACTCTTCTTCTTGGCCATACCCTCACAGTCTCAAGCCTTCTTTTCTGGATGCTCGTGGAGCTCAATAACTGTCGGGTCACTGATAACCTTGGTTGCCGCAGCAGCCAGTTGATCACGCTCATCTTTCTCGGACTCGAACAAGAAGTGTAACTCCTCCAGTGTCTTTCCATACGTTTCAGGAAAGAATATGTAGATGAAAACGATCTCAAAACACAGCCATACCACGTATACGATGAGGTACTTCCAGTCGATGTTTTCAAGACCGATGGGGTTGACAAAAGATCCTGGGGTACGTCAGCATCAGTTGGCGATGATTGAACAGGTTATGGTAGTGCGGTTGGGATGGTGTGGGCGTGAAAGAAGCCGTTAGTGGGCGCCTACCGAACATAACTGCCGTCCTACCAAACAGTTGAAACCAACTCAGCCCCTTGGTGCGGACGTAGTAGGGGAATATTTCGACCATGTAGACGTAGGTCAAGGCGTTGTAGCCGATGCAGTACGCTATAGAGAGGTTAGAGTACCGTACTGGTCACCGCGGCCGGAATGATACTGACCGGGCGAGTACAAAAAAATGAACACCAACACCGCATATCCACTCTCTTTTGACTGTGTGATGCGGTTACGGGCTTGTGCAACAGTCCAGGCAGTGTAAACAGCAAGCAAACAGCTCGCGCACAGCAAGTACATCTTCCGCCTTGGAAATCTTGGAGTGATGCTCGCCATGACCAGACTGACGAGGAAGCCCCAGCTCTCCTTACCAACATTGTAGCGGACTTGGTCGTAGCTACTCGTGATGCCGATTTTCTCCGCAATAGGGACGAAGTATTGGCTGATCAGATTCTGCGCTTGTCAGGTGTTTCCTCCTCCTCGGTTTTGATAACCTCGACTTACGTTGCCAGAGAACTGCACAAAAAGACCCAACGCAGCAGCAACCAGACTCCGGTGCCGCATACCCTTCGTCTGGAACAGCTCACCCCATCCCCTCGCTCTCGACTCGTTTTCGATTTTCAGCGCCGCCTGGATCTCCGCCAACTCGACGTGCGGCAGCTCCGCGCTCGCATCGCCCTCAGCATGATACTTGATCAGGATCTCCAACGCCTCCTCGTGCCGATCCTTGCTGATGAGCCATCTTGGACTTTCTGGAACTGTAAAGGCGAAGACAATTTGTATCAGCGAGGGTGTAGCTTGCAGGATCGAAGGTAGCCGCCAGCTCCAGTCGCTCTGGATGAGGCGCGTCTGCACGATGATCCCGGCGCCGAGAACGGCTCCCACGCCGAAGAACGCGTTGAACAAACTACCCAGAAATGCGCGCTCTTTTGGGTGGCCTAGTTCACCGAGAAGAGCGGCGCCGGCGATGATGGCGTACACAATGCCGTGACCGAGGAAGATGCGAGAGAACACAAACATGGCGACTGCAATATATTATATCAGTGCTATTCGAGTAGACGGGGAGGATTTGGACCTACGGTTTTGAGAGAGGCCTTGCATGATGGCGCCTTCAGCGATCAGTATTTATCCATCATCTCGGTCGGTGTTCGTAACCTTACCGATCACCATGATCACGCTCCCAAACACAATACTTTTCCTCCGTCCAAAATGATCCGACACTAGTGAGATGAACGGGATACTCGTAATCGCGCCCAAGTTGTAGCAAGCAACCAGCAAACCCAGCTGGCCGCCCTTGGGGTGGTTAAAGAATGTTTTCCAGTAGGTCAGAGCTTGCATGCCGTTCATCATGGAGGAGTCGAAGCCGGATGTTGACTCGATGAACAGGCAAAAGGGGATGAGGAGCAGGTAGAGACGTCGCAGGTTTGGCTTGTTCCACCATTTCACATGATCTTGGGCGACGAGGTTCTGGATGATCGATTCATCAATTGGGGCGACTTGGGGTGCCATGGTGACGAAAGTCCCGGAGGATGAAGGAGACTGAGGAAACAAGGCACCCGAGGGAAGGGGGGGGGGGGGGGGGTTGTACTACGGTTTTTACTGCCTCTAGGGCTCTGCTGAAGGACACTGAGCACCAATCTCGCAGCAGCTTGATATACACACACCGGCGGCAACTGATCGGTCGTTCTGTCGGTCATTGCGTCGGCACAAGGAACGCCGACGAATGCTACAGTGCCGTCGCCGAGGCTGGGCATTGAGGGGTTGTTGATCATACGGTGAGGTGCTGATAAGAGTAGGCTTTAAATTCCACAAATAAGCCTCCATTGTTGCACTTTTGCTCTAGAGCTTAATTCGAAGCTCGAAGGTCTTGCGCTGCAAGAGCTCTGTAGCTTTCCCGTATCTTAATACCTCGAAGGCCTCCAAAGTTCAGGTCCAGGTATATGGGTGATGAAAGACGGTTTCTGCTATATGGTGGCACGGAAACATCGTGCTCGCGATCAACTTCCCCGCAGCCCGAATCTACGGGGTAAACCAATTTGGCCACGGACCGCACCGAATACGGTAGTGATCCACATATAGTTGCTTTACCCCAGAAAATGTGTAGCAGATCTATCTCTGAATCCTGAGTAACTGCGGGGAAGATTTACCACTGCGGTGCTAAAGGTCCAAGACGCCAATACCTTGATCCAACTTTCTAGAGCTGCCATCGTTAGAAAACCTATAATAACAGTACTTTTCATTGCTTCTTCCCTTGTAGCTTGTCATCAACAAGTCAATTCAAACAAGGACACTGGTAGAGTAGTGCCTTATTGTAGCTTATCTACGGCGCCGTTGAAGTGTTATTTAGCTGCAGGTTATGCGAAATTTGGTGTTTTGGGCAGCGTACCAAGACCAGCGTCTCAGACGTTTCGCACTGCAGTGGTAGTCGTTGGTATGCGGCTAGCCCTGTCCCCGCTTCTACATGTGTGACATGACCAGTCTACTGATCCGTAGTCAGATCATAGGTCGTTCGCCGAGCCAATGTGAGTCAAGAATACCATCCGAGCGGTCTTTGCATGCGGGTTCTGAAGATTGGATTCATACCGGGCTTAGGTTGGGGGTTGGGGGTTGGGGGTCAATGTATACTTTCGGAGCAAACTCTTCCATGTGCTCGCGCATGGGATTCCTCGCGATGATCGCAGGTTGTCGTCGATGGCTTGTAAGGCGCTCCACCAAAATCAGGATTCCACCCCGGGAATCGGTAGGCCGAGCCGCGCCCAGTTGCATGCAACACCTGCTTTTTCGACGTCGTGTGTTCAACTTGGTCAATCTGGAGTCGGATTTCGTAACCTCCGAGGACCGCATGACGGGGTTCTGCTAAGCAACAGTCGCGCTCAGCAAAGATCACCGCAAATCTTTGTTAGTAGAAGCGACGGAGAGGAAGGGCAGCGCGGGCGGCCGGCGGAGGTCACGATGCTGGCTTCTGTGTTTCGCAGGAAAGGGCGAATTGAATGAGTGGGCTTGTTGAGGTTCTCAAATTACGTCACGTTGCCTCGCGACCTTTACAATTGTCAGCTCAAATCGTGACAGTCTCCAGCCTCGAATTCGATACCACAGTCCTTTCTCTCTGCTCAGTATACCCGTTCTTACCTCTGAGAAGTAACACGATGACATCTCTACGATCAGCGACTGCAATGCGTCGCGCCGCTTGCAGGAGGCCGAGCTTGTCGCAGCTCCAGCCCACCACTCTTCTTTATCGACGAGGGCTCGTATCGCACCGAGACAAGAAAACACCATATGAGAAGCGAGAAATTGCTGGCGATGGGAAACACGGGCACTTCAACATCGGCGGAAAGGTCTACGTGGTGACAGGAGGTGGTCAGGGCCTAGGGTTCTCGATAGCAGAGGGGCTTGTCGAAGCCGGCGGCACCGTCCATGTCCTCGACAGATCGCCAGAGCCAACAAAGGAGTTTGAGGATGCTAGAAATCGCATGGATTTTGAGTTTGATGGCGCTCTGGAGTACCATCAGGCGGATGTGTCAGACGAGAAAGCGCTGGGCCGGATCATCCCAGAAATTGCAGCGCGGAAGAAGCGATTGGACGGGTTGGTTGCAGGTTTGTGAAGGCTTTCAGGCATCTGGCATCCTAGCTGACATGATGCACAGCGGCAGCGATTCAGCAAGTGACGAAGGCCATCGATTACAAGCAGACAGATATCGCCAAGATGATGTCAGTCAACTATACAGGGGTTTTCCTCGCAGCGCAGGCTTGCGCTCGCGAGATGTTGAACTACAAAAGTGAGGGTTCGATGTGTTTGGTGGCCTCGATGAGCGGCACGATCGCCAACAGAGGACTTCACGCTCCCGTATACAATTCTTCGAAGGCCGCGGTCATCCAGCTCGCCCGGAATCTAGCCATGGAATGGGGCCGGAAGAGGCCAGATGGTTCAGGTGGAATCCGTGTGAACTCCTTGAGCCCTGGTCACATCGTGACGCCTATGGTGCAGGAGAACTTCAGGAGAGGCGAATCAAACCGATCTGAGTGGGAGGACAACAACATGCTCGGAAGAATCAGCATGCCAGAGGAGTACAAGTCAGTAGCGCTATTCATGCTGAGCGGAGCGAGCAGCTATATGACTGGACACGATCTGAGGATCGACGGAGGCACCACTGCCTGGTGAATTGGTCAGCTGGTGTGTCATGAACTCTCGGCGAGCATTATTAGCGTCTTCAGCGTTGGCGCGTATTTTTATAGCGAGCAGAATGAGCGCTTGTGAATTGCCTTGAATCCTGCAATGCAGATGAAGTACAGACTGTTGGAGTGTGAACACGAAGGAGGGGCATGGGAAAGGGCAGCCGCGTCCAGGGCAGCCGCGTCCAGGGCCCCAAACACCTTTCCCAATCGGGCGCGCTAGCTCACAACACCTGTCAAGATGCCGAACTCTCCTTGGGAATCTGTATCAATACCACAAGCAGTTCCATAGACTCTCCGGAGCGCACACAGACCACCATGGATCGGATACTACGCCTCTTCACATTGCTGATCGCTGTAATTGCGCCACTCGCCGCCGCCCTCAAATTCGACCTCCACCCCGTCTCGCCGCACGACGCTGCAAAGTACGAGCGATGCATCCGTAACTTCGTCGCCAAGGACCAGCTCGTGGTCGTCACAGCTATTCTGGACGGATACAGAGGCGATGGACAGAAGGTCGATATGCATGTATGTACAGTTTATCTGGCGCAATGTGGGGAGCATCCACCATGCTTGACGTGCGCTAATAAATTGACAGATTCGCGATTCCATGGGCAACGACTACCACAAGCCCAAGGATGTTGTTGGTGAGAACCGCTACGCCTTCACATCGCACGCCGATTCCGCCTTCGATGTCTGCTTCGAGAACGTCTATTCCGGCTCACAGCAAGGCACCGGCCCGCGCCACGTTGAACTTGACATCGATATTGGCGCCGACGCCAAGGACTGGAACGCCATCCAGGCCGGTGAGAAGCTCAAGCCTGTTGAAGCCGAACTGAGGAGGATCGAGGAGGTCGTCGCGGAAGTTGTCACCGAGATGGACTACCTAAGGGGACGCGAGCAGAAGCTGAGAGACACAAACGAGAGCACAAACGAGCGCGTCAAGTGGTTTGCGTTTGGCACCATGGGCATGTTGGTAGGTCTAGGCGCATGGCAGGTCGTCTACCTGAGGGCGTATTTCAGGAGCAAGCACCTCATTTAGAAGTGCAGAGGCATACCATGTCTCTGGGGACTAGAGAATCAGTGGAAACAGAGGAATTTGATCGGATTTGAGGTTGACGATACAGCATTGTACGAACAGCATGAGTTTAGCGGTTGGTATTATGGCAGCCATGAGCTTGGGCTCGAGGTTGCAAGAATGGCGTTGCCGGGGCATATTCCAGATGAACTTTTCCAAAAGTCAAGTCCTTACCCAGTGCAGACTTCGAGAGCTATGTGACTGGTTTTCAAGCAATGCTGACAACCTTAGCAACTCCAAATATACAAACCAGCTCCCAAAACCAGTAAATCGCCGTCCTATCGAAGTATGCGCTGATCCAGTTCCGCGACCTCCACAGCCATTCTATCAAAATCTTCGGCCTTCAAGAATCCAACGTCAGTGGCGTAAACGTCCACGAACTCTGCAGAGACCAATTCAGGTGTCTCCTCGATACCGCCTATGGCCTCAGTGGCAGCACGTCCCTTTATCGCCGATGATGCAACATTGTCTGCTCCACTCAAAACAACGACCCTCGCCGTTGGAGAGAGCGCCCTGACGCATACAGCGGTCCCCAATGCCCCGTTCTGGCATTGCACGTCTCCGTCATGACCAATGCTGTCAGGCTCCAGGAGGAGGACGTCAACACCCTGGCTTGCCGTACCAATTGTAGTGGACGGATAGGTGGTGACCCGCAATCGTGGATATGCCGGTGGAAGAGGCAAGCCCTTGTCTAACGATGTCAGAACCGAGAGGTGAATCTCCAAATCCTGATCGGCAGTGAGTGCGTATTTCAAAGCCGCCAACACCGCAGTCGACACACTCAGCGTCAGTATCCTCAACATCTTACCCTCCGTTCTCTTGACGTTTCCCCAAGCTCCACACAGCCACCGCCCAAACTTTTCGCCCAGCCGCTCATTCTCCATCTTTCTGGCTTGCACCAAATTATCGAATACCTCGCCAATCACCATCGGTATCTCCGCTGTTCCCCTCCTTCTCTTCTCATTCCACCGCTTCACAACGCCCGCCAACGATCTCACCAGCACATTCCTCGCTCCAACCTCATGCGTGGGCAATACGCTGGCCATCAGCTTCACGGCGTGTAATAGCATAGTGAAGAACTCCGGCCAGGAGGTCGCGATGCAGGATGCTAGGTCGGCGATGTGTGAAAGGTGCTCGAGAGCTGTGCCCGCCAAGTCGCGGTTCAAGCACGAGGATGGAGGTTGGAGGGCCTCAAGACACTCTTGTAGGGCGGTGTCAAAGTGTTCGAGCTCTTCTTGTGGTGGGAGAGGGACGGGGGGTGGGAGGGGTGGTAGTTCTTGCTCGTACACTTCTGACGACGAAAGGGCATGAGGAGCGGGTGTCACAATTGGTTGGCGGGGGACTGGTGAGTCTTGCGCACATCTCTCTACATCCTGTATCGCACGACTTGTAGGTTTCACAGTCGCCTGACTGAATATTGAGTCAGCTCGTGTAGCATCGTGCGGTGTGACTGTCCTGCCGCTGGAGATGGACCCCAGTCGCGTTCGCCGCGGTACCCAGCTCCTGAGTGAGAAAGCGTGGGAGACCACGCTTGGTCTGCGCGACGGTAGCGAGGGTGACTGAGAGCGCAGCGAAGAGACCGAAGCTCGAGCGTTGGGGTTCGTTGCGAATGTCGCTAGTCGTGGAGGCGCGGCTGGAGGTTGTTGTGGGCGTGGGCGCGGCCGGTATGCTTCTGCTATGGCGAGCTCCAACATGATGACAACCTCTACTTCCGAGAATCAGGGTGGCGCACTTGTGATAACTATGCTGCGAGGCAATGGAGATGTCCAAACACGACGGCGTGAACAAAAAGCTGTAATGGAGGTTAGCAGTTGGCAAACGGAGAGGCAGATGGAGGGCAGGCAGCTTTAGTGGACAGCACGGTGCACGGCGAGGTGAAGGCCAGATGCAAACGCCAGAGTCGCGTTTGCCGCGGTCACTCTGTTCTTTGGTCAAGTCATCTCCTCAGAGCCGTGGTACCCTTTTGCCACATCACGCTTTCAATTTCTCCAGCGTCCTTGTCATTGAGCGCCAGGTAAGGCTGGCTCGGAGAGGAAACTAATTTTTTCATCCCACACGGTCTCCAGCAGATTCTGAAGCCTTTTGAGAGGGAATGGAGAATTGGTTAATTTCCGGCCAGAACACCTCACAGACTAACCGAAGTCGTGACTCTTATGACCTTCGTTCAGAAATCACTCCGGTTCTGCCCTAGCGTAGCACCTTAGTAGTCAGTGCAGCGCACAAAAGTGTGAAGCAGCTACATCTTATGACTGGGGGAGGTACGAATTTGAACTTCCCTGTACGTATTCTTTTTGCTTGTTCCGGGAGTCTCCAGGTGGATCTTAGGTTTGACAAAATTGTTGGTGCCCCTGCTACAACGATTCATGTTAAGATGCATGCCATCAAAAGATAGCATATTGAACCGCTTAGAGCGAACTTGAAGAGAACCGTGAAGAGATTCAGTAAGACGAGTCCAACTGTAAGCGCTTTTACTCCTTGATAAGCATCTTGGTTGCACTGCAACTGTCGGGATCTGTTCCCTGACGCAAGTGACTGATCTTGTCGCGGCAGACGTAGCCGCTGTATGTATCAATAGAAAACTTCGCTGAGTTACTTGCTAGCTAGGAGGTGACCATATATATATGCCCTGAGACGTGCTAGTCCAAGGTAATCAACAGAGGTGACGATCAAGGCCTGTAGGACCGACTTACACCGCAGCAGATCTCGACAGGATGCACTGAACAAGGCCACGAAAACTATGAGACTAGCTTAATGACACCCTCTGCAAAGCGATAGAGAATATTCACTAGTGTATTTGCAAGGAATCGCACTGTTCGTTGTCAGAGTCCTATCAAATCTTGAGTATAGCACCTTCCTCACCACGACTTCACAACAACAAAAACAACAACAACGTCTCTCGCCATCGTAATCCCAGCCAGCTTACATTATCAATGTGCCGCATATATTGAAGACAAAAATTGTATTGCACCATCGTGTTTCTTGACGATCAATTCGATTCAAGTGGTCTCGCATGCAATCTCCCCGAAGTCGACGAATCGTCCGATATGTTCGCCGCCACGCTCCAAACGCGAAACCAGATTGCTGAATTTTCCCGCAGCCAATCAGACTAGGATAATACAGTCATTTCAGACGACCACCATACGGATGAAGACGCTACCTTGTCTGGCGAAGTAGCCCGGCGCGCAAGGGACGATGAGATACTGGAGGAGATGAGGGCAGGTCGTCGTCTATGGAGGGAAGTCGCCTAATGACTGAGTTATCCAGCATCTTACGTCACACTTTGCCGTCGCTGATGGGCTTTGAGCAACTTCGATGGGAAAATGTAGACTCTGTACTCGATCCAGAAGACCCTCATCCCGCCTTAATCTCGTACAATCACCGCATCCGGTTCTTACCTACGAATACCCCCGAGAGCATGAAACACGATCGAAAGGATATAGTAACAGCGTTTGCATCTTTACACCCGCATTCGCAGGAATATTATATTCAGCAGTCCAATCGTGCGGAAGTGTTCATTTACGATTCGCAGGCAATGGGGGCTCTTTCAGCGCAACATCGTCAGGCTCTTCCTTTCCAGGCCCATTCACAGGAACAGGCCATGAAATACCAGATTCCCCCATCTCCGCAGGCACATGATGGCACTGCACGGCACATGAAAAATTCGCCCATGCAGCCACTACAACCTTTGCAGCACCCACAATATCCCCAGCATGAGCATGCACAGAGGATCCAGCCACCGCAACCGCTTCCATATATCCCGCAGCACCTAAAATGGCCACCACCAGATCAGCAACCACAATGGCCTCCGTATTCCGGGGACTCAGAGCACTCCGACACACCGCTGAATCCCTCCACGGCCTCGGATCCCGACCCTGAGCTATCCAGCATGAGACGTAGTCTAGAATTCCTTGAACTCAAGATCAAGATCGAGCAGGCGCATTATTATACCCTCTAGGCTCACCTGAGCCGTTGCTGGACGCTGTTCGATGTCGACCGGATCCGCGTGGGGCGGGGATGACGCGAGCATGAACTGGACTTTCAATTTGCGGTGCATGCACAGGAGATTTCGAATGCCAAGGTCGGTATTTCTGAACGCCTGCAGTCTCTGGGATACCTTGACTACTTCTATGGTCACTGATTAGAAGCAGGGAGCAGCACGCGCATCGGAAGAATTCGTGCAGGCACTGCAGTTGGAGCGATGGGAGATGACTGAGAAGATCGATGCTTTAGAGGCGGCGGATGAAACATTGTGAATTCGATGGTTGTGTTATGTGAGGGGTGGGTGGACGACGCGCTGGGGTTGAGAGTGTTGGGTGAAAGTAATGGATGGGAACTTTGATTACCTCTTTCTTCTGACTACCTCCGCGCTGCACTTTCGACTTAGCATCTTGACAGTTAAGTGATCACTACTCAAATCTAGAGTCGTCATCTCCATACCACAAAAACTTGCAGCGCTGGTAACATTGAAGACCCAGAAGATCTTCGCAAATCGCAGGCTCCCCTCATATCGCACATCACACTGCTTCCAAACCATCTCCCAGGGTCCAAGAGTCAGGAATACAACGTGAGCAAGCAAACGCGCCACGCGACATCTCTCATTCGCCATCGCACCCGTCAGAGTCGCATTAGCCCTGCAGATCTGCATGCCTCGGACCGTTCAGGAAGGTCGGCGATCCTGAAACAAGGGGGAGTGGCCGACGCACCAGTCAGCGCGCGTTGGCAGGGACGCAGAGTCGGAGGCTAGTAGGGGGCTTGGACGACGTCATGTATGCAGGCGTAGGGGATGCTTGACTTTGGGACGGAGGTGTGTGGCTGGGTGGAATGAGAGGCCGCTAACAAGTGTTAGACTGAGATCATGGGGGGATATGGTGGATACTTTGTACCTTCACAAAATTCCCGAAGACGACAAGAATAGGAAGATGATTGTGGTTTTAAAAGTTGTAGTATTCATTCTAGAAAGCTCCAAGTACAAAGTGCAATGTAATCCGTTAATCCGCCCAAGAGAGTGGCCTGAGCGCGTAGTGCTATAACATGGTGTAATACAAGGGGGTTCTCGTGATCCATCCAACATGATATTGCAGATGGTTTTAGTGTATCAAGATCAAAGTCCATGACCGCGCAGCAGTCCGCTGGAGTCATAAGACAGCCACAACGCCATAACGCAAGACTGAAAGCGGATTAGGGGAATCGAACAGATAGCTTAGTAAAGCAGTCTTGGCCGTCGTAAGAGTAGGGCGCAAGGTGGTCGTAACTTGGTCCCGGAGAAGCTCGGACAATCCAGAAAATGTCCGCAACGACGCCAAGAACTTCAAAATGGCCCCGATTGTCTCTATCTGCGGCGTACGCAGGCAAAGATTCCGGTGCGCCCGAGGAACCACATACATCCGAGGAAACGGACTACAGCCAGACCAGCGGTCGCCCACAGGAGGGCCTGGAAGAAGTGGGCAGTACGAGTGGTAGCGGACGATGAGAAACCGAAACGATCAAAACTGTCCTGGGTGACGATGACAGCGAGCAGAACGTTGGAACCGATCCAGAGCGTACATAGGTGAGTACGGAAAGCCTTGTACGAATCTTCCAGGGTCTTTTCGTTATCCTCAACAGGAGGAACGTAAGGTGCAAGAGCACGCTTTACGGTGGCCTCGAACTGAGAGTCGATATCGGCCTGCGGAAGATCCGGTTCTTCAATTACCGTTGTCTTTCCATCCGCACCCTTCTCTGTCTTCGCGGAGGGAAGAGCCTCAGCCTTGTCGGAACCCTTGGTACCCCAAGAGACATCGTGCCAGTTGGAAAACGCGTAGACGTTGAGAATGTTGACGTAGGAAGACATGATCAGGAGGTACTGAGGGAACGAGGTGAACATGTGCCATGGGTCCATGTACATGAACGAGGCGACGTAGTAGAGACCGAAGGTAGCCGCGAGCGCAATGATAATGATACCGACACCACTTGACGAGAAGAATGAGTCGGCGAATGCGGATGCGGACGACGTGTCGAGTTTCTGCGATGTCGGGCTCGTGAAGGCCTGGACGACAAGATAGATGGACAGGATGACAATGTAGAACTGAATCAAGGCGAAGACGGAAAACGAGATCAGGTAAGACCAAACGGAACCCTTGGGACGGTTACCGAAGGCCAGAATGAACTGAAGACCGAGGAAAGCCAGGTAGATGTAGGTGACGACGACGTTGAAGATGGGAGTGACTTGGTTTCCGAAAGGCCAGGCGCTTCGTGAGTCCGTCTTCGTACCGACGAGAGACATAATGACAATGGTAGTGAGATAGAAGGAAGCCATGGAGAACCAAGCAAGGATGGTGTTACAGATGGTGTAGATCATCTGGATGTGGAGGAAGAACATGCGGACGAAGTTGTGGCCAGACTTGTACATGCGGCCGAAGTGGAGAAGTGAGTAGATACCGGCAGCGAAGGAACCGTTCAACCAACGACGACGCTGTCCGATGAATTCAGCAACGCCTTCGGGCACGTCAGTCTCACCCTTGGAGGCCTTCACGTAGGTAAGATGCCACTTAGAACCAGCCTTGGCGACCAGCTCGAAACAGAGAATACGATCTTCAGCCAAGAACATGTTCTTCTTGAAAATGTTCATGCCCTCGATACCCTTCTTTCCGAGAATCTTGGCCAGGGTGTGGTCACCGTGGAAGTACTGCTCGAGCGGACGTCCCATGATGGCGCGGTAGCGGTAGGCAGAGAAAGCACCGGGCAAGACAGAAACATATCCGAAAGACGATTCCAGTGGCTTGTCGAGAATATTACTGATCTTGTACTCGAAGTTCTGGGACGCAACGAGCGGGTTGAGCAGGTTCTTCCAGCCCTTGCCAAGCATTGCATGAATTTCACCACAAGCACCACCAAGGTCCTTGTCGTTGTAGAAAGCCTCCCAAAGAGCGAGGAGGGACTTGGGGCCGGGCTTGGTACCAGCGTCGAGCAGGATGCAGACTTCAGGGTTCAGAATGCGACCAATGGCAGTGAACAGCCATCTGTGGGAGTTGATCTTCTTCGTGTTCTTCTGCTTCAGGCAGAACATCATCTGGACGGGAGGGAGCGTGCTGGCGCTATCGTCGTGGGGACGGATCAACTGCTGGTTGGGTGTGACGGACAGCTGGGTGGTGTATTCGAACTGAGCTCTGTCAGAAATAGCTGAATCTCGCAGTTTGTTCGCAACTTACAATGTGAGCAACGGTCTCGTTGCCGTCGATGTCCTTCTTCATGACACCATCCTGGTAGATACCAACGGTAGCAAGCAAATCAAGTGTGCCCTTGTCGCAGGGGTCGATACCGTCGAAAACCAAGCAGACGACAATCTTCTGCCAGGCTGGGCCTCCCTTGTTCCAGAACTCGGACTTCTTGAGGTTGACAATGTCACGGATGTTCTGCATGACACCGTGCAGAGTACGGGCGGTGAGGACCTTGTCTTCGTTGTAATATGTCACAGCAATCAAAAGCTCGGTGTGACGATTGTACATGGCCGGGCGCAGATTGTAGCCGTTTTTCAGGGTGAAGTCGTTGGGGTCACATGTCGCGGCGGTGTCTGGCAGCTGTCAGCGTCTGGTCCTCGCAGCACGTCATTTTCATCACCTACAGCGCATGTGTGTGAACTCCTCGCTGCCGCTCTCGAGATCGTTGCGGTACTTGGCCTGGATGGCGTTCTGGATAGCAGAGGGCACGGGGTAGTCTGCGGACAAGACGGAGCCCTGAACGAGCTTGACCTTGCGCGTCATACCACGCTTGAGACCGCCAGCAGCGGCGACCGCACCTCCGGGCTGCTGGCGCTGTCGCCAGGCCTCGGTTGAGCTGGTCTCGCTCCTCTGGTATGGGGAGGGCGCACGGTTGGGAGCGCCAAAGTCAGCAGCAGGCTCATAGCCGCCAGTCGCTGAGTAGACATCGGACCCGCCGTGCGCCTCGGCTGGGTGCTGTGTCGGGCGGTCGGTCGCGTATGTCTCTGTCAGGCTGTAGGTTGAGTGTGGGCGGTTCTCAGGGTGGCCGTAGAAGGGGTCGTGATTGGTGCCTGCCGCATTCTCGTGCAGGAGAGAGCGACCGACCTCGTCCTCGTCGTGCCTGCCGGGAGTGTACTGGGCGCGTCGTTAGCATCGCCGTTCTACTGCTATCATCACGTCTGGCGTGCAGGCGCGAGGGGCGGTCACGCACTTCGTTGTTATGGGCATCCCCATAGTTTTGCTGGTTGTACGCCATGACGTGCAGCGGTCAACGGGCTGGCACTACGGATGGCGAGGGTCCAGTAGACTGTTGGTGTGGTGCTGATGAGTGCAAATGGAAAACGAAGGGAACAGCGCACAGCTGGGGTGATAAAGGGCAGGAATGTCTGGCACCGCTTTCAATTCTCCTCAGCTCGACATGAGCGACAGCGCCTCGCACCAATCGGGCGTAGCGCGCAACGCTAAGCGGTGCCCGGGGTGTGAAACGAGACGAGGAATGGCGAACTACCTTGTTTTACAATGCGGGTGGCCCAGTCCTTCATCAGAATGTGAGCGTACAGTACCGCCGAGCCCTGCACACGCGTGCTTAGAGCAGTTGTGATTGTCTTTACCGCAGAGAGCGCAGCCAACGCCTGTTCGAACTCGTTGCACGGCAGCAAAGTTCACACGACAACCATCATGGCCGCCAGTAGCGCTAGGACGCCATTGCGGCCTCTAAAATTAGAGACGCGCCTGCACACCCAGCGCCGCTGACTACTGGCACTGCTCAGCCTCACTACCACCACAAGAGACAATCGTGACCGCCTCCTCGCTGTGCCCGGTGGCGTTGAATCTATTCCCGAAGCGCGTTTCTGTAGGTATCCGCCGAATAAGAGTCTCACCGCCGCTGGCCGCAAGTTGCTACAGCGCCGCATGGGCGTCGATGCATTTTGTTCGCCTGCACCGGCGAGCGACTCTGTGGGATTGACCGTTGCGCGTCCTTTCATGCTCCATCGAGCTAAACGTCGCCCTGTCAACGTCAGCGAAGAGAGCTAGCATCCCCGTGCACATCCCTGGACGCTGTGGACAGCTGCTCTGCCTCATGGAGTTACACCCTCACGACATGCAGTCTCACTGTGCATCTGCATTGTACGGTGAACCGAGCTTTACATCTCTCAGCCGTATCTCGAGCGGAGCCCCGCCGTAGTTCTGCGTTGGCATCAAATTTCACTTCTCTCGCCCATGCTCTCTTGAGGCTTCGCAGGGACCGCCCAGAAATTAAGCACTCCTTTTCGATGAAGTGGGTCCCGCGGTCCCTGGATCTCACCGTTGAGCCACCCGCGCCGCCACGAGACCCTTTGTTGTCAAGATAAAGTTAGAAGTCGCCCCTAAAATGCTCTCTCCTAGCAAAGTTACATTATTTGTTTTCAAGCAAAAGGCCTATTACAGACTGTGTTGATCTGATTATTGCGCAACGAATACGACCGATCGGCGATGCTACCCCGAGGGCCGACTAGGTACTGATACGAATCGAAGTTGCATCGGTGTGCAAGGCTTGCACCCATGATCTTCAAGAAGACCCGGTGGCCACTTTAAGTGCCGAACTTGTTGCGAGCTTCATCGATCTCAGAAAGACAGGCGAAGCTATCGACTGCAGCCAGTAAATATAGATTCATGTTCGTGGTAGAACAGTAAGTGTACTGCGCTGCCAGTACCTGCGCAGGCGGGGATGGTGCCAGCTTGTACCTACCAACTGCGTCATCAGCCTCAACAAACCACCACTAGCTGTGAAAGCCATGCGCACAGCTATGAGCGTACCGCGACCTATTTCCTGTTGATCGAGTGAAACCAGAGTGACATTTCCTGTATGCTGTTACAGCCGTCGTGTGTCTCAAAGTGTACCGCTGACAACGTTTTAGACATGCAGCTGAGAGGATAGCCGAGCATCAATTAAAGCTTTCGCAAACATCCGCTATCCGTACCCAATCTGTTATTATGACTCCAGCCGCAATTCTGACAGTCCTGCCAAAGTCTAGAGCACATACGGAGAACGGCCCTGCCGCCACCGAACCCCTAAGACAAGATGTAACCGCCTTTCATGGCAAAATATCAACACTCGAAAACCCAGATTTCGAACACCCGGATCAGTCGGAATCATCAGGACCAAAGTACAATGAAAACATCGAGGATCTCGTGATCGTCTGCTGTCATGCTATCTTCCATCCTGATGTCACAGCTCCAGACTTCCCCACGCACAGCCCTCACGATGAAGGCAACTGGCACCTCGCAAAATTCCAAAAGTCAGACCCAGCAAATGGCAAACCTGGCGAGCATGAAACCTTTCTAGCACACATACAAGCCAGTCTCAACGTTATGACGACTGGTCCGAATGCTACCTGGAAGGAAGATGTGTCCTGGAATCAGGACAGCACGATCGTTGTCTTCAGTGGCGGTGCTACGAAGCAGGCTTTCACACCATTGAGTGAAGCTCGCTCCTACTACCACGCAGCGCTGGCTCAAGAGCTCAGCCAGGGGCACATTGGCGGTGGTCGAGCTCATCAGCTGTACATTAAAGGAAGGATACTGCTCGAGGAACACGCCACCGATTCCCTTCAAAATCTGCTGTTTAGCATCTTATTATTTCGCCAGACGATAGGCCGGTATCCAAAGAACATCCGTATCATCACACATGCTTTCAAGTCGAAACGGTTTCTGGAGCTCCATGCACCTGCGATCCACTGGCCGAAAGATCGCGTTCAAGTCCAAGGTCTCGATCCCGTCATGTCAAGCACTGATATTGAGAGTACACTCAAGGGAGAAGAGAAGTACGGATACACCCCTTGGCAACATGATCCTCTTGGGACCGGGGAGATACTCAGCGAAAAGCGCAAGCAGCGCGGGTGGAAGGACGAGCAAGCCACTAAGCTGAGTGACGGCTTGGAGGCGAGCGTCAAGCATTTGCTCGATGGCGAGGCTTCTGATGAGCTACCCTGGGCGAAGATGCCGAAACGAGAGGTAAAGAACTCTACTGGGCCACCACCCCTCCGCTACTAGCTGCTGCGATAGCTCTCAGTCCCGTGGTGCAAGGCCACACAGCACGACATCCTCTCCCAATGGCACCCACTTCACATCCTTTAACCTCGCGACCGGGACCTTGTTTCCGCCTTCTTCCCGCTCGTTCGGGCAGACCTGCACGCCTCCCTCTCCCAACCAAACTGGCGCAATAGTAACAATGACCGTATCAACTAACCTCACATTCCGCGCCGCCAACAGATCATTGATCACCGCACCACCACCCTCAATCATCACGCTCTCAACATCCCTTCCCTCCAGCTCATCTAGAATATGTCCCCACGACATCCGCCGCGACGAAGGCTGCGCACCAGCTACAATCACCTCACCGCCCACAAGCTCTAACACCCTCCTCCTCTCCTCATCGACCTCCCTCATAGTGAAGACCCATGGCGCTCTCCCCTTCCCCTCCCTCGCCAATTTGATGACCTTACTCTCATCACTCCATTGCCACCGAGCCTGCGGGTCGATAACAACTGGCCTCGGTTGCCCCGACAATCCCTCGCCGCCATACCCGCCGACGCCTTCGAAACGGCAGTTTAAGGAGGGATCGTCGGCGATGGCGGTCCCGACGCCGATCAGGATCGCGGAGTGCTTGGAGCGTAGATAATGCGTCATTGCTTTGCTCTGAGGGCCGGAGAGGGCGGTTTGCACGCCGGGGGCGAGGGATAAGTTGCTATCGAGAGAGGTTGCGAAAGTGAGGGTTACGTGGGGCCGGCCGTATGGTCTGTTGGAGTGCTGGACGCCGGTTTGAGGTACATATGGGTCGATCTGGTTGATTGAGGATTGGGAGAGGGTGAGGACGTCTCGCGTGGGGGGTGCCATTTTGACTTGACCAATAAGCTTGTCGATGAGTGTTCACCGAGGTTTTGTTTGGCAATGCCAATACTTCGTACTGATGGCGATCTCCAAGATTTAGTGACTGGGCGTAATGTTGTTGTGGGGAAGGTGGGTTCTAAAATGGCTACCTGAAGTCCATCAGAGGTATGACTCGAACAGTACTTTCCAAGAGCATACCTTCACACAAATATGCACATTACTTTTGTGGTACTGATTGTGCATGCAGTGGAGCTGACCAAACGACCACGGCAAAACCGCGGCTCGAGCCAATCGCCCCACATCCCAACCATGGTGGCACGCCTCCAGCCGCGAGAGCTACCTTTCTACCGCCGGCGGAGGGTACAAGTTGTGTTTGTTTTTCTCTTCCTACACTTCCTCATCGTCTGGTGGCTCAGCCGACGTCTCAAGTCTCGAGAACACCGCCACTAGCACCGTCGAGCCAGCTTCACCGCGCTGTTTGCTGCCCGCCATTCTCCCCACCAGCCGACTCACTGCCTGCGCCCAAAGCGACGTTCGCAATCGACCTCCTCTCACACGCGACACCGAATACCTCTTCCCACTGCGGGCACACCTCCACGCAATACCGCCAAGATGATGAAAATATGGTCCATGGTGCGTCATGTTGCTGGCGGTGCATGCAGCGCCGGAGCTACCGGACAGCCCGCTGACGGCAATGCAGAAGAAGAAGCAGGCGGAAGATGATGCCGCTGCCGCTGCAACAAGCAAGAAGAAGAAGGTCACACCCGCGCAGCTACGCGCCCAGAAAGGTATCATCCCCCTCCTTCCCGCCCACAGCCGTGCGCGCCGACTAACAAGCACCAGATCTCGAAGAGCTCTCGCTCGGCACAACAATGAAAACGCACTTCCCCAACCCGGACGACATCCTCAACTTTACCCTGACCATCGACCCGGACGAGGGCATGTACAAGGGCGGGCGCTTCGTGTTCAGCTTCGCGATCAACCAGAACTTCCCGCACGACCCGCCCAAAGTCAAATGTACGCAGAAGATCTACCACCCGAACATCGACCTCGAGGGTAACGTGTGCCTGAATATCCTGCGCGAGGACTGGAAGCCGGTCCTGAATCTGAACGCGGTGGTGGTCGGGCTGCAGTTCCTGTTCCTCGAGCCGAACGCGAGCGATCCGCTGAACAAGGAGGCCGCGGAGGATCTGAAGGTGAATCGCGAGGGGTTCAAGAGGAATGTCAGGAGTAGTCTGGGCGGAGGGACAGTCAGGGGGCAGACGTTCGATCGTGTGCTGAAGTGAGTGCGCGATGCCGACTGCACGAGCGGCCGAGGCACTCGAGGCACAACACACACAAGAGCATACGCGATTCGCAGTCTGGATGCGCCGGCGAACTCGGCTGATATACTGTGTTATGCTGGGCATGCGCTGATGTGCAGTGGAAGACGGATGGACGTTGATGGATCACACGACATACTACCCTTAGAGCGAGCATCTAAATTCGGCGTACTTTCGAGCGCGGCGTTACATGTAGGCTGCTTTGCAATGGAATAACTCACACACGGGCTTCCGCTACGCAATCATCGCATACAGTAGTCTTCGTATCTAGCACTCCCTACAGTTTGCGTCTGAGCGCGACGAACGACACGACGTTGATGCGACCATGCAGCTCTTCTCGGATACAGCTGATACTCCCGATACTGTCTGCTCCCGGTGCTGCCACTTGTTGCTGCGCTTTGCGCCCTGATCCAATCTTTGTAGACTTTCTTCGTGATAGCTTGGGACTTTGAAGGACTCCAGTATCTGCCGTATTCAGACTCACTATATTCAGACTCACTATTTAAACGTGATTCATTGCCAGGATGAAGAAGTGTTTTCGATTGCGTGGTTCATTCATATCTGCGTCCCATGCTGTGCTCACTTTTCCGTTTGGCGTGTGATGTGTAACATCTCGATATATAACAGCCTCTGCGCTATGGGTCGGAATGAATTGGATTTGATCACTTCGCAGACGCGGATTGAGACAAGATCGGTGACTATTGCTTGACTCTCGGAGGTTGCCGGTGTCCATGTTTTTTCGAGTAGTTATTGGTGTTTGCTGGTGTCTTTGCATGCGCTAGAGGGACTGAGAGCACACACATCGATGTGCAGCGCCAGAGCTACACGTTACAATACTGCTCCTCGGCCTGTTTCGTACATCTCTCACTTTCATTACCGACCGACTGCTCATGCCGCAGTCCAGCCATCGCAATTCGTTAACGCCCGTGCGTATGACGTAGCTAGGAAAATTTGGCAGCTCGTCGATCTAGGCACGTCGTTCTCAGTGAAGCTCACTGACTTCATGGGGATGTGAAGGAGATGTCGCGAAGGGAAGCTCCAATGACTGGTCGCGCATTCGGAGCCTCAGCAGAGCCTCCACTCCAGGCCAGACATGTGTGACTGTGAGGGCAGGCCCGATTTTCTGGAGCAGTGCGGATGCTGATTGGCTCAGCGGCCCCGTCGGGGAGGAATCTGCATCTCCGATCAATGCTCCAGCCCCGAGTTCGGCTGGAGCTTGGACAGAAAATCGACTCCACACAGCAGCCAGACGTCGCCCATAAAGAGACACAGTCCCCCATACTTCTCCCATCAAGATCCCCTCACACACTCTTCGCACATTCACAATGGCCTCGAGACAAGCTCCCCGCGCTCTCCGCAACGTCGCCAGGCAATTGGCTGCCGCTCCTGCCCAGAAGCGCACCTTTGTCTCGGCCATCAACGCTGCTTCGCGTGCTGCCCCCAAGGCCGCTATCTCTGTCCAGTTCCAGCAGACCCGCGGCCTCAAGACCGTCGACTTCGCCGGCCACAAGGAGACCGTCTACGGTGAGCAGTGCCGCCATTGAGTGCAATGGACTGATTGCTGACGAGGTTTGCAGAGCGCGCTGACTGGCCCAAGGAGAAGCTTCTTGTAAGTCCGCCGTGCCTCAATGGCATCAAATGCAGTCTCAATGGCATCGTGGCTGACAATCCCGCAGGAGTACTTCAAGAACGACACCCTCGCCCTCATCGGCTACGGCTCGCAGGGTCACGGCCAGGGTCTCAACCTCCGCGATAACGGCCTCAACGTCATCGTCGGTGTCCGAAAGAACGGCACCTCGTGGAAGGAGGCCGAGGCCGACGGCTGGGTCCCCGGAAAGAACCTGTTCGACATTGACGAGGCCATTGGCAAGTCCACCATCGTCATGAACTTGCTCTCCGACGCCGCCCAGTCCGAGACGTGGCCGCAGATCAAGCCCCAGCTGAAGGGAAAGGTGAGCATACAGACTCGTACGACGCGAGTCATCAATACTAACTCTCCCAGACCCTCTACTTCTCACACGGCTTCTCGCCCGTCTTCAAGGACCTTACCAAGGTCGAGGTCCCCACCGATATCGACGTCATCCTCGTCGCCCCCAAGGGCTCCGGCCGCACCGTCCGCACCCTCTTCCGTGAGGGCCGCGGCATCAACTCCTCTGTCGCCGTCTTCCAGGACGTCACTGGCAAGGCTGAGGAGAAGGCCGTTGCCCTTGGTGTCGCTGTCGGCTCCGGCTACCTCTACAAAACCACCTTCGAGAAGGAGGTCTACTCGGACCTGTACGGCGAGCGCGGCTGCCTGATGGGTGGCATTCACGGCATGTTCCTCGCCCAGTACGAGGTTCTCCGCGAGCGCGGCCACTCGCCCTCCGAGGCCTTCAACGAGACCGTTGAGGAGGCCACCCAGTCCCTCTACCCCCTCATCGGCGCCAACGGCATGGACTACATGTACAACGCGTGCTCCACAACCGCCCGCCGCGGCGCCCTCGACTGGCAGAAGCGCTTCAAGGACGCCCTCAAGCCCGTTTTCAACGACCTGTACACGGCCGTCGCCGACGGCACCGAGACCAAGCGCTCGCTCGAGTACAACTCGCAGCCCGACTACCGCGAGAAGTACGCCGCCGAGCTTAAGGAGATCGACGACCTCGAGATCTGGCGCGCTGGAAAGGCTGTCCGCTCGCTTCGCCCCGAGAACCAGTAGAGGTCTCTGGCGATGTGAGAGGGTGCTGTGTGTAGATATACTGTCTTGTATTCGGATTTATGATTGCACTTTGGTCGCGCTTCTCTTCTGGCGCAGGGTGTGGTCTACCAAAAGGAAGGAATTAGTGGAAAAGCTGAATGATACCTTGCTTTCATGATCAACTCACCATCACATTTATCGCGTTGACTGAAATGAGATGGCATGTGCATATGTCTTGATCAGTACTGAGTGAGCTTGAGTGGTCGCATCATTAGGATGGTGTTTACCTTGCCTTGTTCACTTTCAACATATGCTTACTCGTCCTGTGAGTATATCGGCTGTTCCAATGCTTGCGGCAACCTTACTTCTCCATCCCACCATCACATCCCTTGAGTAAATCTAAGCGGGCTGTAGAAGCCTTCCACGGTTCGTTTGCGAGGCCGCACAATTCCATCACTTTCAGTGGCCTTATGCCACTTCCCTGAGCATCTCAATCGCGGAACATGTTGTTTCTGTCCGCGCAGGGCAGCGCTTCTCATAGGCCAGCTCGCTTCTCGATTAGGTTAGGTCTCCCGCTTTCACGCACTGTAGATAATCGCTCCCTCAGGTAGACTTAATCAACAGTTCACACAGCGACTCTTATTAGGCTATGAGCCCCTCTTTTTAAACGCAATACAACTGTGGGATAGTACACCTTGCACAGCGCAGGTATTATTGCAGCGTATTGATGGGATAAAGAGCCTACCACAGCACCTGCAGTTACCCGTCTGAGCTCTAGAACTGCCCTATTTCATCTAGTGCTTCTCTACCATTACTATATCTATCTTACACTATGGCTCTCCTAGATAAGGTTGTACCGAAGCTTCGGCTTAACGGCTCTAACCACTTCCACTGGGAGCGCGCATTCAAGCTCTACGCCTGATTGCAGGGTTATCACAGACTTCTTGATGGCGGATGGCTCAAGCCAGACGTTCACAAAAGAGAGATCCTCATGACGCTGACTACAACTAGCAGCGTCTACCCAGACCAAGCGTCTCTTTAAGCGGCTCAGGAAGCAGTCTACGAGAACAACAAGGCAGTTAAAGAACAATACGCCTATAACTAGAAGCAGTACCGTCGCTGCGAGTCTGCCACAGCAGCTCTTGGCCTTGTGCTTCTGGCCACTGTCCCCTAGTCTCTCTACGAGAGCGTCAGCAATCTAACTAATATTGCTAACTAATTCAACACTATTGTGGCCCACTTCAGGGACTAGGGCGTGACAGAGGAGTGCTCTATCTAGGCTAACTTCTTCAAACTACGCACTCACAAGTGTAACACTACTATTACATTTATTAACAAGTTTAAGGCTAGCCACGCAAAGCTAGCTCACATCAAGGACTGTCAGCTTACTAACAAGCAAGCAGTGTATTAATTCATCCTAGCGATTGATACGTTGTACCCAGACTACGCCTAACAGCACCAGGCTAACCTGCGCAACAACTACCTCCGAGATATTACTAAGACGTGTGCTGAGTTGCTTAATAAGGCTTGTTGTGACAATCCCATCAAGGCAGCTTACTCCTCATATCTATTTAAGTTAGCTAGTAGGACTATCTGTCACAAGTCTGTTAAGCAGAAGCTTGTCACTACCTCTACAACAGAGGCAGAGTACGTGGCCATGACCTTCGCAGCCAGAGAGGCCGCCTAGCTTCACTAGCTGCTTCATCAACTTGGCTACAAGTCTGACAATACTCACCCTATTAAGCTATTTAGCAACAACAAGCCTTCTATTAAGCTCCTCCACAGTGACAGCCACTATGAGCGTACTAAGCATGTAGATATCTACTATCACTACGTCAAGGAGCGTGTCTGTAATAATCATCTCACAGTTAAACATGTCTGCACAACAGCTATGACTACTAACAGCCTTACTAAACCTCTTGATCGCGTAGCTTACGAGCGATTTCTCTGTTAAATTGGCCTTAGCAAGCCTACAATTGTTAACAACACCACTAACAGCACCTCCAACGTCACCACCAGGCTGACAATTAACAGTAACTGCTAGACGACAGCGTCAGCAGCCACACATAAATTGAGTATAGTGCAGGACAAGATGGGCAACAACAGGCGGAGGATAGTTAGGATTACCATGTTTCTAGCGTGAGCTCCCAGAGCTTCAATTCACTCGCTGTGGGGGTGTGTCCGCGCAGGGCAGCGCTTCTCATAGGCCAGCTCGCTTCTCGATTAGGTTAGGTCTCCCGCTTTCACGCACTGTAGATAATCGCTCCCTCAGGTAGACTCAATCGACAGTTCACACAGCGATTCTCATCAGTTTCACTATCTAGATAAAGCCGCGGCAGGTACGACATGTGATCTCAAGCTCTCATAACGCGAAACTAACTACTGCAAGCCTGCGAGATCCCCAAAGAGGTCCAATCTTCACGAAGCTCACCTCGACCTCCTTGACGATGCGATCAAGTTCAAGAAAGCCAGGCTCATTGACCTACTGAAGGAATTAAGCAAGCGTTCCGAAGTCAAGAAGGCGACAAGATGAACCGCGCCGACGAAATTCAGGTCATGGACGCCTCGTCCGCTTCGTCGTGCGTAAAAACGCCCAGATACGAAAGCTCATCAAAGAGTACAACGAAGAGGAAGGATTTGAAGGCGAGGACGACGATGATGATGAGGACCTGGAGGAATCGTACGCCAAGGGAGCCATCCTCATGGAGAAGAAGTCTGCGCTGGAGGAACACATCAAGGAATAGAGCGACAATAATGTCGCTTACATTCTAAGACCAGGCTTCAGGGCATTTCTGGATTACAACGAGCTCGCAAGGTATATGGCCGGGATCCCTGGCTGTTTGACTGCCTTTAACAGCTGGTAACACGGTCAAAGGCGAGACTGAGTGGTAGCACCACTGTGCAGTTATAGAGCTATTATCGATTTGTAGTACAAGAAGGCAAGGCACCCACCCAAACCTACGGCGACTGAATTGGCATGAGCACTGCTAAACGTTTGGAAGACTTACACTTATCAAACACATTGCTGAGCAAGACAAGAAAACGATGAAGCGATATGATTGATCAGGAGGAGAGGGTGGCTACTATGCAGGGGGCTCCGACTAAACAGTTCGTACTTCTAGCAGCAATTTTACGCTATTGCGAAGTACCTTCTCGTACGACCAGAGAACACATGCCAAAGTAGCTCGCTGCCACTGGCGTATACAGCACTCACAATCACGACTTCCATATCCTAGCTAGCTTCGACTCCAAGCAAGCAACAGATAGGACCTCAACCTGTGATCCAACAGTCTGCACTATGAGGCTTTCAAATGAGTGCTAATAATCACACTTTCTTAAATAAGTTGTTACCTAGAGTACAGAGGACGAGTCGCAGCCACACCAATGAGAAGTTTCAGCGCGTTAGAGCCAAGACGCCTTCTTTTGCAGTTCATGGCGATACAGACGTGCATTAAGTGGTGAGATGAACTATGCCCAGTCGGTCTTCTACACTAAAACGGGTAACATATATTTCGTACATGTCGAGATCAAGCGTTCGCCTCACCGTCAGTGCCTATGCCTAAGATTAAGAGTCCACAATGCAACGAAGCTCAACGGCTCGTCTAGTAAGCAGCTCCTGTAGGGGTAGCAACCTTGCATGCAACAAACATTAGTGAAGAACAAAAAGAGAAGGCAAGAAACAACTACGATAGAAGTCACAAGAAGCATGGTTGCTATTCATCTGGCACTCACTGCAGCCACCCCAGCTCAGGAACTGTTGTCGATAGTAGGTCTGACAGCAGCGACCACTGAAGGACCGAGTAGCCTTGTCAGAGGGGTTGATGCAGCGACCACAGCGATTTTTGTCAGAAAGGCGGACCGATGAGCCAGCGGCCTGCTGGATAGGGGCAGGAACATTGGCATCATATCGGCCGCGAGTCGAAGGCTTATCGGAAGTGCCTAGACCGGAGTACTGAGCAACAGTAAGATTGTGCGGATTCTGGAAGGTCTGGACAGCCAGCTCATGCTCATCAGTGTTCTGATTGACCCAACGCCTGGCCCAGGAGGTCCGTTGAACTTTCAGCCATCTAATCCTGTAACTGCGTGAGTAATTTCGGTCGGAGACTGTGATAAACGAGTATATTGCTATCTGTTGTCGTGTTCTGATGTTGTTGTTCAAGCTCTCAGCTCTCAGGTAAGTGCACTTGCCCACCGGGCAGTGCCTGCTACAATAGGATATCATGTGATCTGAGCCACGTGGTTACAAATCCCGTTCCCGAGATTCAAGTCAAGAGATCTTTAGAGCTTGCTCCACGATATATTGTGTAACTGCCTGGTGCAGTGTCGGGTGGAGGCTGGGATCAACAATTGTATTGCTATCTGTTGTCGTGTTGTGATGATTGTGTACGGAGCTCTCAGCTCTGAGGTAAGTGCACTTGCCCACTGGGCGGTACCTGCTACAACAAGATATCATGTGACTTCACCCACGTGGTTACACACCCCCTTAGCTGAGGTGCTAACTAAAGCTAATCTCCCTTATTCCTGTTCTATATTATATCCATGATCGTTGCCCTATAACTATGCCTAATACTGTCCTAATACTAGTGAGTCAAGCTTGCTGAATTAGGGTTATTATGTCCTTTAGGCTCTGGTAGGTAGTTTTTAACGTCTTTAATCTAAGCTGTTGGACAAATTTAGCATGCTTCTAGCGTACAAGGATCTTGGTGAGTCCATTAGCTGGCATAAGGTTGGTCGGCTTCCACTAAACTAATATGCGTCCAGCTGCCACCTCCTGCCTGAGCCAATGTTGGTGGACGTCCACATGACGCAAACGCGTGAATAGCTTGTCCTTGTGCTTAGTAACAACTCCTACTGTCTGCAGGTTGTTGCAGAAGATTGTTGGTACTATCTCTAGGTTGAGCTTGATGTGCTTGAACAGTCAATTCCATGCCTGCAGCTCGCTGGCTGCTGTCGACAGAGCTAGCAGCTCTGCCTCGGTGGTCGATTTCGTGACGGAACGTTGGAGTGTCGCCTTCCAGTCGATAGGCATACCGTACATCATGAAAAGATATCCCTGAGAGCTGCGCCGCGTTGGCAGGTCGTCCGCAAAGGCTGCATCAGAGGCACCGTAGAATAGTGGCTCTGTTCCAGCACCCCCCAGGCTTGAGCCTGTGTATATCGTGCGACTGCTCTGATCTCCATGTGCACTGATCGCCAAATGCTTCTGGCTGATCAAGTACTTCCAGACGTGGTACGCTGCGCTGACATGCTTTTGACCTAGATTCTGTAGATATTAAGATAATTTAGAGTGGGCTTGCGCAACATCAGGCCGAGTGTATGTCGCGATGTAGGCTAGTGATCTAACTAACTCCTGATATAGCTTTGTGCGCTGTTCGTCCGGCTCCTCCTTGCTTAGGCCGATATTTTCATCTACTAGCGGTACTGCTGGATATTTTGTGCTCTCTTGAGCAATGTTGTATTTAGCTGCTACCTTTTTGATAAAGCTGTCTTGCATTAGCCAGATCTTCTTCTGGCTGCTATCTCGGATCACGCGTATGCCGAGGAACCATTTCAGCTCTCCCAGAAATCGCATGTCGTATGCAGCTCGCAGCTGTTGATTGAATTGGCTGTAGGTGTCCTTGTTCTTAGAAGCTACAGCTATGACTATATCGTCTACAAAGAAGAAGACAATTAAGTAATCATTGCTGAACAGACAGGGCACTCCTGGCACCTGCTGAAGGCCTAGCTTCTCAAGCGTAGCAGTGAGGTGCTTGTACCATAGTCGCGGAGCATCTCGAAGTCCGTATAGAGCTCGTTCAATCTTAAGCAGTTGGCCAAGCTCGCTCTCATATCCTTCTGGACATCGTACGTAGGTAGGTCGGTCAAGTTCTGCGTTGAGAAAGGCGTTCAGGACGTCGTACTGGTACAGCTCAAGGT